GTGAATAGGGCCTAGGAGCTCGAACACCTTGCTGTTTTTAGTAAGTTCGTGACGTTTCTTGAGTCCCTCGTTTTTGTCAGGCTTGCACTCGTCCATGTGTCCGGCAGTATCCTTATACCACATGCGCATGGACATGTGAGAATTTTTGGCAGGCGAGTCATAAGCCAGGAGTGACTCCATATAACTGCGATACGGATAGGTCATGGCAGATTGTGAAATTAATTTTTGGTTCAGTGATACGTCTACCTGGCTCCAGAGTGAGTGTAGCATATAATTAACAGGGGTAGCATCACTGTTGTCCCCTTCACCCAAGTCACTGCCATTTTCTTTCACAATTTTTCCCTTTACAAGTAGAAGTGTGTGTGCAGGATCAATGTATTCATGTCCAGTACCGGGGACACAGAATTCGATGGTGTTCGATTGGTCAATGCTTGTAATCGGTTTGAAGTGAGTCCATTGTCCCCCTTCTAGCACAGTTTGTGTGGGTGGAATCGCCCACAAATCAAGTTCAGAGCGAAGCGCCTCAGATGAGGCGGTGTGCAAAAGCGACATGATTTAGAAAATGTGCTTTTCTGCTGGATTGACGGTCAGCTTGGATCTCTTGAGTGTGTTTCCTGTTCGAGCGCCGCCTGAGGACTGAGGCCGTCCGCGTGCTCTGCCTCGCTTTATACCTCTCCCTCGCATCTTGTTTACCAGGTTTTTACCCGCTTCAGAAAAGTGTTGTTTAACGCTGTTTCTTAGAGGGACTTCACCTGACGCAGCATCAGCAAGGATGTGACTGCCAGCGCGAAGGGCTTCACGCCCTACGGCGTTAGCCCCTTGTTTCAGGTATGGGAAAATGTTGCGGAACAGTCCACCTAGGAAGCTTCCGATACCCGCGCCCTTCTGTGTTGATGAGCCCGCATAAAAGTTCATCCCAGACCCTGTCTGGGCCTGTTTCACGTAATACTCCTCAATGTGTGCCATGATTGTTCTAAACGCGCTGTCTGAAGTGACACAGCAAGGTCGACGTTCCGTGATCAAATGGCACAAAACTGCCCGTGTGTGTCCTTATATTGACTTCCAGGGTGTCGAAAGACTTTGTTCTCAATTTAAAATAGATGGGCGGGTCACATCTGTGAGTGGACATTCCACCATATGTTTTCTGTGTATCGACGGGGATTGTGCGAAGTAACGGAGCACGTGTGTGTCCTACAATTTGGTCCTCAATGATGTCGAGATAGACATAAAGCTGAGGACAAACGCCCAGACTTGTCTCGACAGGGTACGTACCTAAAAGTTCTTGGTTTGTTGAGTATGGTCCGGGGTGAAGCAAGCCCAATTGCATTGCAAGGCGTGGTGAAAATGAATATTTTGCGTCTGGTGCTTTTAGAAAAGGGTGGAATAGAATGTATCCGTTTTCGGTTAGCTCAACAACACTTGTCCGTCCATTGCCATCCGGCATTTCTTCGATTGGTGTTAAAGTCTCGTGGAGTGCGAACAAGATGTTTTCTCGCGTTATATAGTGTCCCGGTGTGACCGAAAATGTATCTATTTCGCCATCAGAATATTTTATTTCTATTAAGTTTTCTCCGTCGGTCACTTGTTCAATTGTGTTAGGATAGTGAATATCTAGAAGAGCCACTTCCCATTCTTCATGCAGTTCTACTCGTTCGGAAAGTTGTATTTTGTAGTTTGATGTTTTGTTATCAGGATACACCTTTGGGCTAGCATTGCTCGGGAGTGTCATGTAAAAGTCCATTATGTTTCTATAATATCTTTGTTAAAAACCCAAGAGCGAGTTGACACGGGGTAACCTCTCCAGTGGACGAACGATTCTTTTCTGACACCCGTTCCCCGTTCCTTGACTATATATGCAATTTTGTAAAGCTCAGGCTTTTTGACGGGACTAAGTTCCCAAGAGTAAAAGTGTCCTTCGAGTTCTTCGTTTTTATCCAGGTCAGCAATGCGGTAAATGGGTTGTATATGAGGTATCACTTGTGTTATTTTAAAGATTTCTTCCGACCAGTTCCAGGTACATCCTTTTTCAAACCTCTTTTTCTCTCTGGAAATGCGAACAAAGTCTCCCACTTTCAACTTTGGTTTCACTTTTTCACTGCGCAATTTTTTTCCGTATAATATTTTGTAAACTTCTAGGACTCTTTTAGGATTACTGGCTTCGTGTGGTGTCATCTTAAGTGTTGTGTGTTTTTTGTGATTGTACGCATGTGTTATGTTTTCTAAGACACCGTTTGTGTACTGATAATTTTCTCTCTGAGTAAAAACCCGTTGCATCCACTGTCTCAAAGTTCCAATAAATCTTTCAGTGATTGAACATTTGGTGTCCGGGTTATTTGTGTGTGCGTATTCAATGTTGTGTAGTTTTAAAAATGTTTTGAGAGTCCTATTGTTAAGTTCACCACCCTTATCAGTTATAAGCCTAGCCGGTCTCCTAGTAGTGTTTTGAAAAAGGTTTTCAAATGCCTTCTTAATTGTGTCAGCTTTTTTGTTGAGTACTGGTATCGTCCACGCGTACCGAGAAAAGACATCCGTCACGCACAAAACAAATTTGTTTCCCTGATTGTCCTCTTGAATTGAACTAAAATCTGCCAGATCAGCTTGCCAGCAGTCGTCTATGTTGTCTGCATAGGTCACATTTCGTGGAAAGACGCGTCGCGCTCTTCGGTGAAGGGTGTACGAGTCCTGCTCCTGAAGGTAGGCAGCCACTTGATTTTTTTTAACTTTTCCCCCTGCAGCCGTTTTCAGTCGTTCTACAGTGCTGTACCCCGCAGGATGGCGAGTATCTTTGAAGATTGAATCAAGTCCATCGCTTCCATTTTGTGTTTCGGACTGCACCTCTGTAAGGGGTTTTCTTTGTTTTGGAAAGATGTCGTGCCCATGTGAGGTCGTGAGGGATTGTCGAGTTTGTTTTCGTTTCATCGTTTTCACTTATTCCAGCACCGTCTTGCGTTTGTAGAGCCCGTATGTATTGTTGGTTGCCTACGATGTCTAATGGAGTATGTAGTGATTTAAGTACCTTAGCAAACGTATGCCAACGTGAAATTTTTGCCTGTTTGCGAGTGCGAACCACATCAGAGATCAAGTCAATGATGCTCGAGTACGTTTCTCCACCGACTGACGTTGTTCCATTCCTATCCCAACTAATATAGGCTTTTGCTTCTGGAGTTGATAAGTGATCATACAGCGCTGAAGCAGCGTTTTTAAATTTTAGAGGAATGAGTGAAATGAGTCTTCGTTTCAAAACAGTGTTTTGTGGTGTCTCAGATTCGGTTTCGTTCTCATTTTCATTGGTATTTGATTCTTTTAAAATAAGTGACGTGGGCTTTCTTTGTTCGTTGACAAAATAAAGATACCGCTGCAGAGCTTGGTCGTACATTTTCCATTTATCACTGTCTGCAGCTCGTTGTTTCAAAATGCGGCTCATTTCTTGGTCCAAATCGTCCATGACATCTCCAGAAGAACGGGTAGCGGGCTTTTCATGCAATTTTGTCATTGCCTCCTGAGGCACGAGTATCAATTTCTTGCAGTGCTCCATCGTTGAATAATTAAACGCCGAAGATGATTTTTCCGAGGGTAGGAGCCAAAACGCTGAGCAGAAGGGGAAGGAATGAACCTCCTTTTTGATTCAGAACCTTCTTCTTAGTTGTCCAAGACTCTCCTCGCTTAGCTAACCGTTTAAGGATTGCTTTGTGTTTCTTTAAATTTTGTATTTGTGCAGGTGTTAGTGGCACGTTACCGCACAAAGTGTTGTCACAAAGTTCACAAATGGAGTGTACAAGTGCCTTGTCAGCGTGTTTCAGAATGGCCTTGCGTAGGTGTGGACGTGCGCGCTGCAGAACACGAAGTAAATCTTTCTGAGATTGATTCGTTGAAGAGGACATCACGAGACCTTTAGAAGTGTACCCTTCGGCTCATCGTCCGAGAATGATCTACAATGTACGAGGGAGGGCACTTTTATACTTTCCTTTCGGTATATAAACTACAGTCGTTTCACCAGGAAAAATGTGAGTTCTCAGTCGCAAGTGGTCTTTTTGTCTCACGTGGAAATCGAACAAAATATAGGAGTGTCCCTCGCGCGTAGCGTCTTCATACGCTTCCAGCATTCCTTTCCAATGGGTGGGGTCTACTTGCAGGACAAACGTTCTTATTTGTTGTACATCCCGTGGTGATTTTAAAAGAATAACATAGTGTGCTTGTAAACTAATCTGTCTAAAGTAAGGAGGGAAAATGGACTGTGAAAGGAACCAGTAGGACAAATTGCGGTGATGTGATCCTTTGATGGCAAGTTTTAAGAATTCTGGATTTTTTACTTGGTCCAAGAAATCATCGACAATGACCAATTTGGGACCTTCTCCCGGAGGAAAGTGGTCCAGCGAAGGTGCACCCTCGATGAATTGGACAGAGTGTTGCTGTGCAAGTTCATCGTACATATTTTGATATTCACTGTAATACCAAATGACTTTTTCAAACGTGGCCGTGAACATTGCTGCGCGGTTTTCCACAATCTTTTTGACCAAGAAACTTTTGCCCGCTCCGCTTGGAGCGCAGACCAGGGCATTGGACGGGTGACGGAAACGCAAATCCATGTTGACGGTTTTAAGTGAGCAGTTGAAGTGAGTGGTTTTATGTGTGCACCGACGTTTTTATATGCCAAGGAAAGGAGCACCATTCCTTTTCAAATTTTCGCAGGGAGTAACACAGCACGAAAGAGGTGCGGGCGGACGCGGCGCGGGCGGACGCGGCGCGGGCGGGGCGCGGGCGGGGCGCGGCGCGGCGCGGGCGGGGCGCGGCGCGGGCGGGGCGCGGGCGGGGCGCGGCGCGGCGCGGGCGGGGCGCGGCGCGGGCGGGCGCGGGCGGGGCGCGGCGCGGGCGGACCCACGGTCGGGGCGCGGACGGGACGCGGCGCGGGCGGACCCACGGTCGCGACGCAGCGACCCACGCGGGGGCGCGTAAGGACCCCTCGGTCGCGACGGAGCGACCGACGCGAGAGCGCGGGCACGGCAAGGCGTAGGTATGGCGACTAGAACTGAGGAGGAGTAAGAAGAGTGACGGGGGCTTTACGGACTCCGATAAAAGCACGCGCAGAGCAGCCAAAAGTTCCATTCACTCCACACACGAGCGTCACTCTACATCTCTGTGCGCAGGAAGCAACGCTCAACGACCGACGTTCCCTTCATTTTAACCCATTTAAAGAAATGTCGGCACTAAACGGAGCCATGGACGCGGAGAGAAACGCCACGGAAAGCCCGCCGAGAGATGAAATGATGGCTCTCTTTGCTGGTATCGTGATATGCGCTCTGTTGATTCACTGCCTCGAAGGAATTTGTCTGCGTCCACGACTAGTTTTCCGAGCGGGCCCAAATAAAATTGAGACTGGACAGGGTGAAGTTTCAGGCACTGAGGATAATCAGACTGAAGGAGGACCGCCTTTGCGAGGTGGAGAGACTGGCGGAAACGAAGCTGTAAAGCCCAGCCACACAGGCAGTGGGACGGAACCTGACGATAGTCCAAGACTGATGAAGGGGGAGAGAGAACGCGGCCCTGGGGTGAGAAGCACCGACCTGGATGAACGCGCCGCCGAACGCGGCCCTCAGGAATAAAAGTGGAAGCAGGCTGTCAAAAGCACCATTCTACGCGCACACCTCACACTGGACACAACCATGGAGCCAACGCTTGAAACCAGGAACGCCAACTTGCAACCCGGACAGACACGCACGGTGACCAACTCATATTCAGATAGTGGCTTTGGCAATGATGGCGCAGGGATTCAAGTAATGCAGTCTCAAGATCAGCCCGAACGTCCAGCACTTGAAAACAACTCTGCTATGAACACCACAGGTGACGCAAGCGCACTGGGAAATGGCAGTGGCGATGGAGTCACTCGGATAGACTATGGATACGATGAGGCAGATATCTCGGAAACACCATTTTCCCCTGAAACCGAAAGCCACTTGACAGAAACGGCGCCAGCAATCCCAAGTCACGTAATAAATGAAAGGCGTGGAATTTACGATGCCTTTGAAGTCAAAAACAACTTAGTCCCATTCATGCAACCCATTCACCCTCGATATTGCACATTGGATCGCAGACACGAAACACTCAACCGGTGGCCAAGCGGAGCCCCAGTCACGGCCGACGCACTAGCTGAAAGTGGTTTCTTCTACGCGGGGTACAGAGACATCGTTCTATGCTTTCATTGTGGAATATCATTATCTTGTTGGACTGAAGGAGACGTAGTGGATCAGGAACACGCAGCATACTCGCCTTATTGCGCTTTCATAAACCGTACTAGGGGAACAACATACGTGGAGGATGTACAGAAAAAGTTACTCTCAGAACAAGAAGTGCCAAATCATTTTAAGTCTTACATAAAGAAACATCTAACTACTCAAACATCTGACGAGGAAACAAAATTGGATGCACGACGCAATGTGGATAGAGGGTTTTGTAAAATATGCTTTGAACGAGAGGCTAATGTCGTCGTCCTTCCATGCGCACATTTCTATACGTGTGCACAGTGCTTACCAGGACACTCAAAATGTGGAGTGTGCAGAGCAAAAGTTGACTTTACTCTGCGAGTTTTTGTTTGAAGAGCCCTAAACGTTTTTTTAAATCAGAAAATGTTTTGTATGTATGTATGTTGTAAAAATTCAGAATTAAAATTGGTATAAATATAAGGTGTTTTTCATTTCAACGTCCCTCTTTCCTGAAAACGCCTGATGGGTAGGCAGTCAGATGCAAGGATACTCAAAGCGCCTGATGGATAGGCAAACCGCACCTACATGGCCTTGAGAACGGCACGCACGGTTGAGAGAGACATGAATGAGATGAAGGAGCCGAACGGGTAGTAGTTAGCTCACTTGTCGTACGTGTCAGTCTGCCTCGGAACTCTGCCGAGTGAACATCTGGGCTAGCTGGTGACCGGTTGGGACGTCATCGGCCACCTCCAGAGGTCCCCGATGACAACCACACTCCCAATGCAAAGGTACGCACGCGGCCCCTGATGGGTAGGCAACCCAATGAAAGCACGAGGCGCCTGGTTGTAGTCAACCCGTAGCAAGGATGCTGGACAGCACCGGGTTGAAAGGGCAACCGGAATCACGAATACGGGAGCGCCTGATGGGTAGGCAACCTAATGAAAGCACGAGGCGCCTGGTTGAAGTCAACCCGTTGCAAGGATGCTGGGCAGCACCGGGTTGAAAGGGCAACCGGGAGCACGAATACGGGAGCGCCTGATGGGTAGGCAGCTTGCAACATCGTGGCCTTGAGAACGGCACGCACGGGTTCGGATGACTCATCGAGGCACGAGTTGGAGGAGTCAAACTGGTACTGGGTTGCATTGCCCCTGCCCCTGGCAGGTAGGCAATGCAACCCAGTACCGGTTATACTACTACTCACCCCAAAATACTCAATGGTTGATGACAAGTTTGTTAAAGTCAGCTGTTCTTTTGCTTTTCTGTTAGGAACCAAAATCATGCTCGAACGGCTGATTGTCAACACAGAAGGAAAAATCGTGGCGAATGGCCCAGGCCTTCTGAGTAGAAAAAGGGAATTGGCCAAAATACGATCCTCTCAAATCCATGCCCAAGAGAACATCTTGCAGGACATTGCAGAGGATCTTCTTCAAAATGGACCACGTATGTAATCATTTTTTTTAAATGGGGTTTTGTGTTTTTGTCTCTTAATTATGTCTCTGAACTGTGGCTTTTGGTTCTGTCCATGCCAGCTTTCTAACGCTTAATGTAAAAAATTTTGTTTCCTTGTCATGCACAGAACAGCAAGTTTCCAGACTTCCCAAGCAGAGATCCGAGCAGGAATTGCAGGAAATCAGAAACAAAATTCAAAATCTTCCATGTTTCCAAAACCGGCCATTGACAGTAAGCAATCATAACTGAGGTTGATTAATTTGAATGACAAAAAACCTTTATACCTATGTTTTTGTTGCAGGTAGAAATTCTGAAAGACAGAGGAATATTTCTGGACAGTGGAAAAGTGGCAGTATTGCGCCAAGACATGGGAGATGAGCCCTCCAAGCATTATCAAGCTCTGCTCAATTTGGCCCTGGAGCCTCTCAAGGGTGTCGATGGAGTTTCTGTGACTGGAAAGAGGAACTGCGTGGCAGTGCCAAAGGAAATTACAGAGACCCTGCTACGTAAGTACTCTGTGAAAAGTTTGTTGATCAATTTTACACACGAGCAGTGCTTCATTAATGCTTCTTTTTTTGCAGTGTACACAACACAAGTTTTCATGGCACGAGGCGGTGATAGGAACAACATGAATTTTAAAGCATCAAGTAAACTGGCCAATATCTTAAGCAATGCGAAGCAGAAGAAGAGGAGGATTGTTTCTTCCACATCAGCCCCTCGATCTGAACCCTCAACTCCAGTTACTACACGTCATTCAACATCTCAACTTTCTACACCAACATCTCCTAATTCTACACCCACATCTCAAATTTCTAATCCCACACCCACATCTCAAAATTTTATTGCATCCACATCCTCACCACTACCAGGCTCATCCCGCTCCAACACTACTCCTCACTCACCATATTTTGTACAATTAAAGCCAGTTACACCAGATCATCAATACTCACGACCCACCAATTCCCATTCATCCTCCACAGTTCTTTCTTTTTCACAATGGTAATTTCTGAAGTATAAATCGTGATATAAATATTTTCTTTTCTATGTTTGTTAGAAAATTTATAGTTTATTTTTGTTTATTTAAGCATTTCTCTGTGATGGTATCTGTTAAGTTGTTGCTGTTCTCATATATTATATCTATAAATATATTTATAAATGTATTTTGGTTTATGAAAAAAAGGGATAGAAAACTAAAAATAAATACTGAAGTTTACTGCAGTTACTTATATACAAATAATTTTCCCGCTTCACCCTCTCAGAAAATAGAAACAGAGCAAAGAAAATTGAACAGGGATGGGGCTGCGCGCCACGCGGTGTGCGCATGCGCGGTTCGCGCTAGGTTCGGAGAGGGTGGGGGGTCTGGTTGGGGCTTGGAGGCATACCCATCGCGTCCCTTTGGGCACGTCTTCTAGGTATGAGAACTGTAGCGTTGCACCGCTGGGGAGGGCCCTGAGGCCAGGCAATAATTTTGTCGTTTCTTTGGCATAAAAAGTGCCGTTTTAATGACAGCCGAATCGTGCGAAAACGACAAAATTACGAACGATGCGTTAGTCGTGATTTTGTCGTTCTTTTCTCGTGGCCTGATCGTTTCTAAGCCGTTGGTTGACCGTATATTTGTCATACCGAAACGACAAAATAACGCCTGACTTACGTCGTCTCGGGCCATACGGGAAGCAACTGCTACCAAGCTTCTTCTGCTTGTAAGGCCTAGTAGTTTACGGTTTTCAGAGTGCAGTGTAGGAAACATTCAAAGACACACATATAAATTCCTACAAAGAACTGCTCGTTGTAATACAAAGAAAACGAAGTCTTCGCAGCCTACGAAGGAAAACGTTTGCAATACGAACGATTTTGTTAGTAAAACAAAGGAAAAGTCCTTCGCAGGCTGCGAACAAGTTCTTCGTAGGCTTCAAAGGATTTTTCCTTTGGTGTGCAATCATAAAGTGTGCAACCATGAAACATATATTCGCTTCACGAATAAAAAAAATCCTTTCTTGTGGTAATTAATGCTCACCGCGGGCTTGAGCCTCTCGTTGATGAGGCTCGAATACTTCGCGACGAGTCCGGCGACTTCGGCCGTCTCGGACTTCTTGAAGGCGTCGTCGGCGTCGAACCGCGTCGCGACGAGCTTCCGCAGCAGCGCGATGGCGTCATTCACGGCCTTCTTGGAGGCGGCCTCGGAGTACGCGGCCGCTTCGCGTTTGACTGCAGCCTCGAAGCTGGCGTGGAGCTCAGTGCTCAGATCCGTCCACTGCTGCCGCAGGACGCCAGGGAGGGCCTGCCCGACCTTCTCTACGGCGGCCGCGGATGCTTGGAGGGACTGCTCCTGCAAGCGGAACATCCCAGCTCAGAGAGCGAGAGCCAGAAGACAGGCGCGGATTCAGGGGGGAAAGGGCGCACTGAGAATCCAAACGCTATGAGTATAGCGTCAATTGGTGCAATGCAAAAGCATTGCACATGAAGTGCAATGCCTCCCTATTCCCTGCGCTTGGATTCAGAGGGAAGGGGGGGAGGGCTGAAAGTTAGGCAAAATTTGGACCTTGCCCCTATAGGTAGGCAACTTTAACGACATGGCGCCCCCCCTCAACCCGTTTCTGGATCCGCGTCTGACAGAAGACCGGCTCAGGCAGCCGAAACTTGAGGCGCATTTTGAGCTCAATAGCCTCTGAACAGGAATCGAGCCACAGTGTGACCCCATACCAATGGGTTCCTAGTTCGGAGAGGAATCCATTGGTGGGTCAAACGTTTGGTTCGAGTCGCATTTAGCGTTTCTGAAGCTCCAATCTCGTCTCGAGTTTGGCCGTTTGGCCACTGATGTGAAGGGGTATTGACCGCATTGCCACGTGTGATAAATTTGGGTAACCACAGTTTTGCGCCTACCACACATTATCTGTCTGTAGACTGTACCACACTTCGAAGGGCAGTGTAAATATGTGGAAGTCCGCTGAACATACCTCACCCGGAGCAGAGCCAACGAGGCTGGCAACAAGGAGGACTGTCAGAGACCACATCGCGGAAAGTTCTGTAATGCGTTCCTTTGGGTATGGAGACTTGTGGCACTCTCGTCATGGCGAGCGAGCAAATATGTGGTGAGCACTCAAGCCGTGCACCTGTCCACTACCCACTCGCTTCATGTGCACGAAGTAGCTTTCTCAGTAGGACTGCAATTTGTTGACTTTGCACGTTTTTGTGAATCGTATATTATGCCGTTCAATTTTCAGACGTACACACTCAGCAAAGAAAGGGGTCGTCCACATATTACGTAATCACCTAAGGGGGAGGGGGAGGTATAGCTGAGGCTTACGCTTGATTACAGAGGGGAGAGGGGGGTGACCGTTTTGATTACGTAATCATTTTTTAGCCACTTTATGCAATTTCGTTGATCTAAACATATACGGAAATACTGCAGTACACCGACACCAATCGCACTTTCCCATCCTCCAATAGACACATTGACGATTATGCGCATTTATCATTTCGCTAAGAAGCTCTTTTGTCTTGTTTTAGGAGTTTCATAAAAAGAATGAAAATCTTCTCATTAATGTGAACAATCGTCAATACTGTAAAAGCGAATAAAATGGAAAACCCCTAATATTCTTTTCAGTGATCGTTTGCAGACAAGATACACACAAGTTCGGTTGCCGGCAAAGAAGGTTTTACTAGGTCACCGCTCGGCAGCATCATCGATCACACTGTCAGAAAACTCCGTAAAAATACGGAAATTTAACGGAGATTGTCCATTTTTTTTAACGGAGATCTCCGTTTTTTTGAATTATGGATTTTCTCCGTAAAAGTATGGAAGTTACGTATATAAATGAAATAGAAGCCTTACTTATCAAAAAGAACAGACTAATTCACGTTATCGATGGGTTGGGTGACCAACTGATTAGGTGTTCCAAGAGTACGCCTTCCCTAAAGCGACCTCGCCTTTGGGTTTCCGTCCATTCATCCGATCCTAATAGCATGTGGTCAAGTGGATCTTCAAACAGTTTTGGAGAATATCACTTTCGTCTAAAAGGACACTGTTTGCATTAACATCGAAGGTGGAAGGAGGGATGTAAATCGTTAAAATGCGTTTATTTCTGCAAAAATGCGGTTCATCTCCGTAAAAATACGGAAAATCTCCGTAAAAATGCGGAAAATCTCCGTAAAAATATGGAAAATTTACGGAGCCTCCATTCCCAAAATTAGAGTAACTTTCTCCGTAAATTTACGGACTTTTTTTCTGACAGTGCATGGGAAATAATTTCAGGACTGGTCGTCCTCACTACTGCATGGTAAAAACGGTTTCTGGATTGCCCAGGAACTCCCTGGAAATCGATTAAGTCTCGCCCATAGGCTTAAATTATTACTTTTTTTGTCACTCGTACCGTGTTTGGGAACATATATAACCGCTAGATCTGGTCCTCTCATTTAAAAAAAAAATTGTGGATTACGTAATCTTCCGTTGGGGGGGAGGGGGTCGGACCGTTGATTACGTTTGATTACAATGGGGAGGGGGAGGTCAAAAATCCAAAAATCGTGATTACGTAATATGTGGACGACCCCAAAAGAGTGAAAACAGAGACGATTGAGATTTGATTTTCATCGAAAAGCGTCGCACGGGTTTTGGTAGGTTTGCTTTTTTCTTCTTTTTTTTTCTCGTCGTTCGATTTTGGTCGTCATTTATTTTGTAAACCTTTTGACCTTTTCACTGGTAAAACTAAGGCGTACTATTACGCCCTTCGTGAAGCGTCTGTTTGCAGGAGTCAAGCTCCAAAAGTGTTGGACCCTCCGACCGGCACTTCTTGGGCAGTCGGCTAATAAAAACACCCTCTCATCCTATTGTAGAATAAGCTCATTTATGGCATGATTTACATTCAAAGGAATGTGGGCACATTGCTCAAAGGAACGCGACGTTTTGGTACATTCGTTTCAACGTGATGTCGCTCCTGGAATTCCAGGAACGTGTACCATGAGAGTGTACGTAGGCGCGATCTTCTTCAAAAGTTTTCGCGCCCTCGCCAAAGCGAGTTCCTTTACAGTCTAAGCAGTAGGTAACTCGGTTCGGGGTTTGTACACTGGTAAAACTAAAGCGTAGTTGTACGCTGCATTCAAGCGTACAACTACGCTTCAAGGCAATTCCCCCATGCATTTAGATAGGAAGAAAGGAGTGCATGGACCCTTGTACGCTTGAAGAAGGGCGTACTGGCTGTACGCTTCACGAAGGGCGTAATAGTACGCCTTAGTTTTACCAGTGTACTCCTGATCCCCTGCTGAGCACGGCAGCAACGCCGCGCGGCGTTGCTTGAGGAGCGACAAGCGACTGCAGTGGACTGTGTCTGCCGACTGCCGCGCTTGACAACCAGCGGCGGATAGTTTCGATTGTTGATCTGCGCGGGGTTGCCACGCACGCATACCGCTGCGCTCGATCCACGGATCGCCGAATAACCGTCCAGAGTTCCCGCGTTGAGCATCGGTAATAAGAAAGTATTGGGTATTTTCACGAATCCCTAAACCGGAATTCAAAGAACAAAAATAAGAACTGAACACACTTCTGCGCATAGAGAACTTAATTTCGTCGATCTTGTACCGAAAGTAAAGTGAGTGGAATGAGCGAGTGTGGGGAAACCACGAACAGTTTTTTGCCGAGTGCTACGAATTCTTGTTCCGAATAGGGTACTCCAATGAATCTTGAAGCGGAAGGACAAGAACAAAAGTAAGCATTAATAACAGGAAAAGTAGCGATATACATCGGCAACTTTGGCCCGTCCCGTACATTAACAAATGTGTGAATTTCGCCTTTGTTTAACCCTGACGACTTTAAACCAGGGTCTAGGGTCAAAATAGATGTTATTTTCGTCATCAGCGCCCTCAAAAACATAAGGAACAATGCAGAAACTCGAATGAAAAGAAAGTTTAAAATATACCCCACTGGGATTTGAACCCGGGTCCGAACTTCTCCGATTCGTTCGAAAGTGGCACCATTGGTTTTTTCTCGTCGCACCGATTCCGAAAATACCCCTAAATGCCCTGCTAGCTGTATCCGTTGCCGAGATCCTCCTCGACCCCATGTAGACCATGATGCACCTGCAGCAGCGCCCCCGGGGCTCGGATCGGATTTGCTGCCACCGGGCGGTTCTTAGGGTCACCCAAGGAGGCTGCATACCAAATTTGGTCAAGATCGGACCACGGGAAGTCCTCGGACGAACGAACGGACGAACGGACGAACGAACGGACGCACAGCATGCATCATACTATATGCCCGTCCCTCCGTCATTTTTTTACAAAAAATAAACGGGACGGGCCAAAAACAGCTTCAGCGCATGCGTAAACGTTTCCCCGCCACACGGTGCGCATGCGCAGAAGCTCTTTTTAGGGCTCACTTTTTTTCTTGTTCTTCCGTTTCAAGATTCATTGGAGTACCCTGTTATTAGTCTATAAGCAGCTTTTCCTCACAGCGTCGGATTTTTAAGGGTTGTGCGGCTCGCAGTCACATCCGCACACTTAAAATCCCGTAGGGGTAAACTCTTGCGTAATACCCTGACTGAATCCGTGTATCACGCCCAACACTGTGCGAAAAAACCACAGTGAATCCCGTTAATTTGTTTGGGGGTCGTCCACATATTACGTAATCACGATTTTTGGATTTTTGACCTCCCCCTCCCCATTGTAATCAAACGTAATCAACGGTCCGACCCCCTCCCCCCCCAACGGAAGATTACGTAATCCACAATTTTTTTTTTAAATGAGAGGACCAGATCTAGCGGTTATATATGTTCCCAAACACGGTACGAGTGACAAAAAAAGTAATAATTTAAGCCTATGGGCGAGACTTAATCGATTTCCAGGGAGTTCCTGGGCAATCCAGAAACCGTTTTTACCATGCAGTAGTGAGGACGACCAGTCCTGAAATTATTTCCCATGCACTGTCAGAAAAAAAGTCCGTAAATTTACGGAGAAAGTTACTCTAATTTTGGGAATGGAGGCTCCGTAAATTTTCCATATTTTTACGGAGATTTTCCGCATTTTTACGGAGATTTTCCGTATTTTTACGGAGATGAACCGCATTTTTGCAGAAATAAACGCATTTTAACGATTTACATCCCTCCTTCCACCTTCGATGTTAATGCAAACAGTGTCCTTTTAGACGAAAGTGATATTCTCCAAAACTGTTTGAAGATCCACTTGACCACATGCTATTAGGATCGGATGAATGGACGGAAACCCAAAGGCGAGGTCGCTTTAGGGAAGGCGTACTCTTGGAACACCTAATCAGTTGGTCACCCAACCCATCGATAACGTGAATTAGTCTGTTCTTTTTGATAAGTAAGGCTTCTATTTCATTTATATACGTAACTTCCATACTTTTACGGAGAAAATCCATAATTCAAAAAAACGGAGATCTCCGTTAAAAAAAATGGACAATCTCCGTTAAATTTCCGTATTTTTACGGAGTTTTCTGACAGTGTGATCGATGATGCTGCCGAGCGGTGACCTAGTAAAACCTTCTTTGCCGGCAACCGAACTTGTGTGTATCTTGTCTGCAAACGATCACTGAAAAGAATATTAGGGGTTTTCCATTTTATTCGCTTTTACAGTATTGACGATTGTTCACATTAATGAGAAGATTTTCATTCTTTTTATGAAACTCCTAAAACAAGACAAAAGAGCTTCTTAGCGAAATGATAAATGCGCATAATCGTCAATGTGTCTATTGGAGGATGGGAAAGTGCGATTGGTGTCGGTGTACTGCAGTATTTCCGTATATGTTTAGATCAACGAAATTGCATAAAGTGGCTAAAAAATGATTACGTAATCAAAACGGTCACCCCCCTCTCCCCTCTGTAATCAAGCGTAAGCCTCAGCTATACCTCCCCCTCCCCCTTAGGTGATTACGTAATATGTGGACGACCCCTTGCCGGGATTTACTGTAGTTCAGAACACAGGATTTTCTGTGCCTGTCTACAGTATTTACTGTACCTGGTACAGGATATTCAGTACTCCACTCCTGTGGTACAGTAAGTCCCGTACAAAGTACAGTAGATCCCGTAAAAAAGCACAGTAAATCCTGTACTCTGAACTACAGTGACAGCTGTACTAATCACTACAGGATTTACTGTGATTTTTTCCCACAGTGAAGTCAAGTGAACGTACTACCGTGTTTGGTGAAATGTGCCAAATTTTGGCATTTCAGTGCCGTAACACACGTGTAATATCCCCATATTACGCAAACGACTTTGTTTGTTCAACAAACTATTTTGTTTGTAATAAGAACGGTTTTATGTGCAGTAGAAATGAATCCTTCGCAGGCTCCAAGGAAGCTCTCTGCAGGCTCCCCAAATCCCTGAAGTATCTGTTTCTTGAGTTGGAGTCTTGTTCTTTTCCTCTTTCAGTGCGCCCAATGCTGAGAATCTGACCGCCTATTCTGCTGTCTACGTTTAGTCCTGACGTTCTGTCTTTGGCAATGGCATCTAACCAGGATTCACGTAAGTATTAACTTTTTTCCTCCAAGCAGCTCGTACACTGTGGGCCTCGTATTGAGATTTTTATCATTGAAGACGAAGGCCCTTCTTAAATTTACTGAAAATCGTTGTGAAAAACAAGGAATCGTTGTGAAAAACAAGGAATCTTGTGAAAATATCAGGAATCGCCCTGAGTATACACTGGTGAAAGTAAAGCGTAGTTCCACGCTTTCAAGCGTACAATTACTTTTCAAGACTGTACGCCCTTCTTGAAGCGTACAACGCTTCAAGGCAACACTGAAAACTTAACTCGTCACTTGATGACATTTTCAAGGCTAATTTTCCTTACAACAATGTCATCAAAGCATGAGACACTTCCACCAGCGCCGAGTGGAGAAAAAGAAGAATAACAAAAGCCGGAAACAGTCCATAAAAGTCGCTAATTTTTTCATATTATGGGTTTAGTTGGGTTCTAAAAATTGTTAGAAGTCAAAGACGAGTTTCATGATTTTATACCACCCAAACCTTTAAATAAGACGATTATGGGAACTGGTTCCGGTACAATTTATTCCTCTTGTTCTTCTTTGGGCGTTCTGATGGATCGCACTGCAAAAAAAATCCATCTTAATTTTAAGAAACTAGTTTGTGAAGCAGTTTACAAAGATTTTTTGCTATTAAAAGTAAGAAACTTTCTCCTCTTAAAACTAATGACCAAGTTTTTAAAATTCATAGATCATGGTTTATTAAAATTCATAAACATTTGACTAAAGTGGGAGAAAAGAACGTCTATATTGACGTCCGATTTCGAGTGTGGATGTCAGAATTCTGAAGTGCATCTCACTTCGTGTCACATAGCAGTGTCGGTTGTCAAAAAATAGTCGGAGCACGACGGCCATAGAATTGTATGTCTTCCATCTTCCGACTGTGCCTCAGCGGAGGAGGTGCCTGGACCTAACCTAATGGCCGACAGCAGACGCCAGCGAGTGGCAACATGGTTATGCGTTTTACTCAACTCCAGTGGAATATTTTGTTAAAAAATTTCAGCTAGCGGCTAGAGAAGACATTTACTAAGGCAATAGATGGTATCATTTGGCAAAAGAAGTTCTTTTAGAAATACAAATAGGAAATACTTATTCGGGAACGGACACGGCGCTCTAAGCGCCACCTAGCGGCAGGTCTGTGAAACCTGACCTTGAACCCAGCGGCTGACTGTGGGCCATACCGTGTGAGAAGTGGCTTGTCGACAGTTTGCGTGAAGTAATCAAACTAAACCTTCGGTTTACGTTGAATGTTACAGCTATCACTGAAGCGTTCAACTTTAACTTCAATCATTTAGTTTCAGAAATCTGGTTATGAAAAGTCATCAGTCATGAGGATTTTAAGAAACCAATTTTTACTTTTGGCAGGCAATCTTAATTTTGACAACCCTGTTCCTAAGTTTTAAAAGTGGTTTTAAAATTTACCAACTATTTATTACTTTTCATTTTAGTTTTGGTAAATGTAATAAAGTATAGCACTTTTCACAAACTTTTCTGAGTTTTCATATCATTTCAAAATGTTATTAAATTTAAGACATTTTCATGTCTTAAATTTCAGAATTTTTTTTGCAGTGGAAGTGTCTATTGATGACATTGTTGTCACGCCCATGCAACACTTAAGTATAGGAGCTTTGATGAAAAGGTCATCAATTTGTGATGGGACTGTCATCATTTGAAAGTGATGAAAATATCATCCACGTTTTTGTCATAAAGTGACAACAAAGACGCGTCCTTATAGAGTAACCCTAACCGCTGGAGTAGATCTAAGACAATCCTAACACTTTCAGGCACCTCTGCAGGTACGTACGTAGGATAGTTCTAAATCTGCACTGACCTTTAGGGTTGTCTTGGATCTGCTTTGTCAGTTGTCTTGGATCTGCTCTTACACTTGCGATTATTCTATTAGGACGCGTCAAAGTGCTCTCAGTGTTTGCGCCGTCATTCCAGGTCGAGGGGCAAACAACTTCGTCAAAATTTGTACACCGTTGTTTCACGTTTCATAGATCATATTTCAACGTTATTTTTTGGGTATTTCAACGTTATTTCTTGGGTATTTCAACGTTATTTCGCATTATTTCACGTTATTTCGCGTTATTTCACGATACTTCACCGTTATTTCACCGTAATTTCAACGTTATTTCACCATTATTTCACGTTATTTCACCGTTATTTCACCGTTATTTCACGTTATTTCAAGGAAAATGTACACCCAAATTCAAGTTGTCTGCTCTCGTTCCAGGTTTCTTGCGGTGGCACTGCTCCGTGTGCGGCAAGCCGGACGCGCTGGGCTGCAAGCGCTGCCAGCTGGACTTCTACTGCGGCCCGGAGCACCAGCGCAAGGACTGGCCGCGCCACAAACTGAGCTGCGGCGCCGTGGCCGTCGTCGACGGCTTCCTGGAGGCGACCCGCGACCTCCCTGCCGGCACCCGCATCGTCAGGGAGGTGCCCGCCGTCATCTCCCCGGCGCAATCCGTCAAGCAAGGATTTGTGAGTACCCGAGTTACCGAGGGGGCCACACTGTGCAAAAAAACCACAGTGAATCCCGTTAATTTTTTTTGCCAGGATTTACTGTAGGTCAGAACACAGGACTTACTGTGCCTGGCTACAGTATTTACTGTACCTGGTACAGGATATTCCGTACTCCACTCCTGTGGTACAGTAAATCCCGTACAAAGTACAGTAAATCCTGTACTCTGAACTACAGTGACAGCTGTACTAACCACTACAGGATTTACTGTATTTTTTTCCGACAGTGCACCACCCCCGTAATCCTGTGTACTAATTGGCTGGTAATCTCCGGTAGTCCATGCCGTAATCACGTAATCTTCGACAAAATTCTGTCATTTCGCATTTTTCAACGTTTTTAAGCCATTTTCAAACGTTTTTGACCCATTTTTCAATTGTTTTGAACCAACTTTTTAAAATTTCTGGGAAATTTCCCTTATTCCCACAATCTTGTGTACGCCTGGAATGAGAGTGGTGGCCCCCTCGCATGTTACTCAATATACTGTGTACATAGTACACGTTTGGGTGCACTGCACTCTCATACACTCTCAGACTCGTACTGACCTTTTCCTTCCGATTATTTACTTTTTCTCATTTGCTTACTTAGTTTTTTAAGCCGCAGTTATAAGTAGTATTTCGTTTGTAACCATGTACAATATTGTTCACCATAAAGACTAAAGTGTCATCAATTGACTATTTTTTAAGTCAATTGCGTATTGACTCTTTGTCAATAGCAAACTGACTTTGACTCAATATAACGAACGGTGCCAAAAACTCTCTAGGCTAACAAAGGACAAAAAGTCAATAACAGTCTGAGAGTGTTTTTTCTGTACCCGATTACATGAAGTCTTATGGGACTAGCTCGGACGGTTCGTACCCTTTTCCGTACTTCCGTACCATTTCCATCTGTACATTTTCCGTTCAAAAGTACGGAATTTTTTACACTGATTGAAGGCATGCTTTAATTTTCTTCGTAGTCCTTTTTTTCTCTTAAGAGTGAACGTTACGTTTGTACGTTCCGTACTTCCGCACCATTTCCATCTGTACATTTTCCGTTCAAAAGTACGGATTTTTTTTTTTACTGTGATTGAAGGCATGCTTTAATTTTCTTCGTAGTCGTCTTCTTTTTCCTTTTTAAGGTGATGTTTGTCCGCAGATGCTGTGCGTTGGCTGCTGCGGCGAGATGGGCCCTGCCGGCGACTGCACTCCGCAGTGCGCGGGCTGCGGACTGCCGCGGTGCCGCCCCGACTGCGACCACGACGACGAGCACAATGCCGAGTGCGGCGAGCTGCAACGAGCCAACTTCAAAGTGGCTAGGGGTGAGTTACACACTTGGACACTGTGAAAATTTGAGTCGTCACTATGCATTCGTTTCCAAAATGCATCTGTTCGTTGACGTTATGTATCTATTTGTGTACAATTTGCATCTGTTTATTTACAATTTGCATTTTGTTTACATTATGCATCTATTTGTTTACAACATACATCTGTTTGTTTGCAATATGCATCTGTTTAGATGATCTGGAGTGGCTCGGTGCGCCTGTGTGGAACGGTCTCGCGGTTTTGCGAACTTATCTGTGGGCGCTCAAGAAGCCCGCCGTGGAAGACAGCCTTGTGAGGACCTTGAACCGCGACTTGACGGCTCTGGAGGTAGGTCACTGTCAAAAAGAAATTTCGGCTTCAGCCTTTTAATATTTTGCCTTCTGTAGGAAGTACAGTGTTTAATGGCACCTCGGAGCACAGTTTCATCGCTGTGCTCTGTACAGCGAATTTGATGTCATTTAACCTTTTATAACACAATCACTGGTTAAATAACGTAGTTACCCTAAGGCAACACTATTAATAAGTTATATTGATTGTTAAAAGGCAACACATTCGAATTCTAGAAACTTGTACTTTGAAAAAAAAGCATTAAAACTTGCGAGTTATAATTTTGACAATTAAGGTAACGTTAAGGTCTGATTTGAGATAAGTTAAGAATCCATACCTTCTAATTACCCCGAAATTCTCATTTATCACCCCGGCTTGCGTTTTCTGCCGGCTCTGCCTGGCCCCTTGTCACGTCCTCCACTCTGGTAAAGTAAACAAAAAAGTTTTTGATCTTTTTCTTTAAATCTCTTATCCATGTTGGGTTTGTCTTTGGTTGCAGCCGCTGGCTGGGTACTGGGCACACGCTAAGGACTGGCTGCTGAATCAGGCCGGGATGTCGTGGTTGCCCGAGGACAAGCTGCGTCGGGCGTTCCAGCTGGTGGCGGGCTGCAGCATCGCCTGCGACACGGAGTACTGGGCTCTGAGGAAGGACGGCACCAGGGGGGTGAGAAGCACAGTGGGCCAGAAGACCGGTGGAGGCGGCCAAATTCCCAGACGCGTTTTGAGCTCCAGATAAATGGGACTCGAATCGAACTTGTGACCCCACCTATGGATTCCTCGCTCCGAGAGCAATCCATTGGTGGGGTCACATGGTTGGCTCCAGTCCTATTTAGCGACGCTGGAGCTCTAAGCGCAACAGGGGTTTCGACCGCCTCCACACAGTGGGCCAGAAGATCGGTGGAGGCGGCCAAAACTCTAGACGCGTTTTGAGCTCCAGAGTCGTAAATAGGACTCGAACCGAACGTGTGACCCCATCAATGGATTGCTCAATGGATTGCTCTTCGGACGAGGAATCCATTGGTGGGGTCACACGTTCGATTCAAGTCCCTTAAAGCGACTCTGGAGCTCAAAACGCGTGTAGAGTTTTGCCCGCCTCCACCGGTCTTCTGGCCCACTGTGCTCCACCGGCTGTCTGGCTCAGAAATTTCCGATCTTATTGCTCTGGGCTCCTATGTGGTTGCAGATACGGGCACTGTACGTGAGCAGGGCGCGCACTGAGCAGTCGTGCCAGCCGAGCCTGTTCTGCGTGGGCATGGACTCCTGCTGCATGGAGCAGGCCCTGCTCACCACGCGCGCCGTGCGTCGCGGCGAACGCCTCTCGACGGACCATCGCGACGACCCCCTGCAGTGTGCCGCGGAGCGCCGCCTGGCGGCCGACCACCTCCAGCTGGCCTGCTCGTGCGGCGCGTGCGTCGACCCCACCCGCCTGGGCACGCACCTGGACTCGCTGGCCTGCATGCACTGCCAGGGTGGGTGCACACAGTGGGCCAGAAGACCGGTGCACGGTAAAAACGGTTCCTGGTTTACCCAGGAACTGCCTGGAAATCGCCTATGTCCCCGCCATAGGCGTCCTGGGAAAACCAGGTACCGTTTTTTACCGTGTGGAGGCGGTCGAAACCCCAGACGCGTTTTGAGCTCGAGAGTCGCGAAATGGGACTCGAACAGAACGTGTGACCGGCCGCGCGGGAGAATCTGCAGTCCGAATTGTACCCAGGAACTGATGTCACACTATGCTTTAAAGTGAATAAGGAGGGTAGTTGTAGTGTGGCTCAATTGTTCTAAAAGTGTTCACAAATGTGCTTTTTTGTGTGTTGAATGAAGTATGCATCGGGTACAGTCTAACTGCAGATGACCGGCTGCAGTTCGAGTGCGGTTAAAATACAGTTTAAGTACACTTAACTGTACTTGAACTGTGCTCTAACTGTCGAAAAACTAGTAGTTTTTTAGGACCTTTTCAGTTTCAACTGCAGTTTGGCGGACAGTTCACAACAGTTTTGACAAAAATTCGGCTTTGCCATAAAAATTCAAAATTTTTTATTTCCAGCCTTATGTTACCTCCCTCACTCCCTCCCTCCCTCTCGTTTTTTTTTTTTTTTTTTTTTTTTTGAGTTGTTGTTGAAGCTTGTCAGTCAGTAGTCGAACCCGGGACACAGGGTTGTCAGACCGCAACGCTGCCAACTGCGCTACGGAGACGTGTGAGGGTCTGGCGCCAGCGCGGGCGATGCCACTGGGCATGCCCGCGCGCTCAGGTAGACGAGGGATTCCCGCCACTCCGCGCTCGGCGCGCTCCACTCCACGAGGAATTTTCCCGTCATTTGCCGAGACAAGCTGATCTGGAAGCAGCGCGGAGCTTCACTCGGTGAAATTTAGAACATTAGAATCATTCCAAGGCCGTGACGCGAAAGGGCATTCAGGGTGAAGTTGGAAGTACTCTTTGACTTCTATAGTAATGAACTTTAATTGTAGTTTTTGACTGCATTCCCAATTGACCCCGGGACTGCATATGTCATACACTTTTCTTTACTCTCCATGTGTAAGCAAAGAGCAAATTAGAAGTATATTTGTCACGGCATTTGGATTTGGAAATAAGTTGAACTTTGACTGTGGTTTGAACTACATTCTGGACTGCCAAAGCACACTGCAGTTGGATCTGGCAACAAAAATGCAGTTGGAGGACAGTTTCTGTCCACTTTAAAGCACATAATTGACTGCAGCCAGCTATACAGAACTGATGGCACTTTAAATGCAATTTAAGGGCAGTAAAGAACTGCAAAAAGGAACTGCAGATGAGCCACTGCAGTTTCAAATACAGTTTGACTACTGATCCTTTCGCGATCCATTGGTGGGGTTACGCGTTTCGTTCGACTCCTGTTACGCGACTCTGGAGTTTTGAACGCGGCTCGAGTCACGGTAAATGGCTCCAGCCAAATTGGCACACCAAAATTCTCCTAAAACTGAAAACTCACAGAAATTCATTTAAATTTTGTGAAATTTTTCTCAAAATGTAGCAGTTGTCTGCTGGCCGCCACCTAAAGGCCCTTATGCGCCGGACGGTTGCGGCCTAAACGCCGTGTTCAGATGGTCTCGCCGTTTTGTGGCGAGACTTTTGTGTCTGACCGTTTTGTGGCGAGACTTTTTTGCGAGGGGGCAACCACTTTGGATGTTTGGGGACACAAGATTTCTTAAGGCTAAAGATTTCGTCGGATTTTGCAAGATTTTAACCGTTATTCCGCCCAAAATTAGCTTGTTTTTGGCCTTTTGGGGTTCAAGATTTCAGATTTCCCAGAGATTTCTAGCGCTAAGGGGGCGCCAGATTTCTAGAGTGGTTGCCCCGCCTCGCTTTTTTGTCTGACCAAATTTTGGCGAGACTTTCAGGTCTGACCAAAACTTGGTGAGGACTTAAATGTCTCGCCATATTTTGGCGCGAAGTCTTTCCATCCAAATTACAGTGCATGCTTGCACTGTAAAAAATTCCGTACTTTTGTACGGAAATGGTACTGAAAAATATAGTACGGAGGTACGGAGAAAAGTACGGAACGTTCCGTACTTGCTCCATATGAACCCATGTAAATGGGTACGGAAAAAAGGTACGGAACGTTCCGTAGTTGGCAAGTACGGACGTTCCAGGCAAATTATTGACCAGACATGTTCCGTACTTTTTCCGTACTTTTTTCTCACAGTGTGCTTCACTGTCCGCAGGCCTGGTGGTGCCGCTGCCGGTGCCCGCCGACGCCCCCTACGGCCCCAGCGAGCGGGGCGGCCGCTGCAACGGCTGCGGCCGCGAGTCCTCCGCGTCGGACATGGCGTCGGCGTCCCTGACAGTGGAGGTGGAGCTGGCCAAGCTGGAGCGCTGCGCGCCGCCCTCGCGCGGCCCCGCACCCTGGGAAGCGTTCCTCCGCAAGCACCTGCGTCCCAAGGGCCCCCTGCACCCCACGCACCTGCTGGCCCTCAAGGCCTCCAGGCGCCTCGCCACCGCCATGGCCGCCGTGCTGTGCAACATGGGCCGCGAGCACACGCAAGGTACGCACCCACTGTAAAATATTCCTTACTTTCGTACGGAAACGGTACAGAACACACTAAATTCTTATGGACTTTTTTATGCATAGTTATGCATGCGCAGAAACGTCCATATGTTATGCATAATATTATGCATCACTGTGTACATTTTATGCAGGAAGACGCATAAAAAGAACACAGTGATGCATAATTTTTTACATACCTTAAGGACGTTTCTGCGCATGCATAACTATGCATAAAAAATGCGTCCTTATGCATTTAAAAAGTCCATAAGAATTTAGTGTGAAAAATATAGTACGTTCCGTACCTACTCCATATGTACCCATGTAAATGGGTACGGAAAAAAGGTACGGAACGTTCCGTAGTTGGCAAGTACGGGCGTTCCAGGCAAATCATTGACCAGACATGTTCCGCACTTTTTCCGTACTGTTTGCTCACAGTGCTGCACTGAAAAACCAAACGTGGTCCTGACCGCACCACTTGCCAGTCTTCTGCCCCACTGGGCGTTGGTCACAGTGCTCACATTCTCTGTTTGTGTACTTTGAACGTCCACTATTGTAGCTTAATTTGTACAAACGAAAGCTATGTACAACTGTTTACGTATATTAGGGACAATATTTCCGTTTTGTGCTTAAGTTTTTATAAAACTGTCCTAATTCATGTGTACATAACTGGAGGGATGAATCACTCCGCGTTCTGGTGTACACATGAGTACGGGTGTGCACACCTTACAAAACTCAAAAATTTCACATTTTTATGCGTTTAAAGTACAGGCTCATTTTGTACTCACGAGGACACCAGTGATTCACCCCTCGACATAGCTTTCCTATGTACAAATATGGCCACAGTTATGGACAAAGAGTCCATAGAAATTACGTGTGCAACCGTGCTCTTTGCAGAGGAGATGCGTCGCTGGGAGCGCACCCTGCGCGTCCTGCTGAAGACCCTGGAGGTGTTGCGGCCCGGCCTGAGCTGCCACAGGAACAACGTGCTGATCCCGCTGGCCCAGCTGCAGCTGCTGCGCGCCATTCACCTCAACAAGGACGACAAGCCGCTCGCCGTGTGCCGGGTGAGTGTCCCACAGTGGGCCAGAAGACCGGTGGAGGCGGCCAAAACTCTAGACGCGTTTTGAGCTCCAGAGTCGCTATGCAGGACTCGAACCAAGCGTGTGACCCCACTGATGAATTCCTCGTTCGGAGAGCAATCCACGTTCGGTCTTCAATGAGGAAAATTTGGGGCATTTTAGCTAAACTACACTCTGCGGTTTATGTCTCTCCACACCTGGCGCAACCGGTTGACTGCTGGCACGGCACGTTGCAATTTCAAAGTTCGTAAATCATCAAAGATTTGTTGTTTCGATTTCAGGCTCCGCTGGTTGAAGCTCAAGCCTTCATCGCTGAGCTGGCGCTGGCGTTGAACTTCTACAAGGAAGGCGCGGAGGGGCTGAAAAAACTCCGCTTCTTCGAGTCGCTGTGCGTTCGCTTATTGAATGGCGCATCCCCTTTGGACTTCTTAGTGGACGGAACGGTATCTCAGGATATGTTGGATAGCAGCAGTGACAGCGACTAGAGTGTTTAGGAAAGCTGTGACCTGCACATGAATTTGTTGGTCAAATCTTTGTTTTGTTTCTGTGGGATGTTCGATCGCAGACTTTCTCCTGCGAATTGTAAAGCCAATGTTTATTCAATTGTAACTCACCTAGGAGATAAAGACCATTAGATTACTTCTACATTATTTAGAAGACTTTATAAGACTCATTATTTAGAGTCTCAGGGTACTTCAAGCTCTTCGCGAAGAAACCGCTCCCAGCTTTGTATTTAAACCACCGGTTCCTGTAGAGACTTGTAATAGTAGGATTTTTTTCAGCTTTAATTAAATGAGACTATTATTGGAACAAATTTTTTGCAGCCTATTATCCCTGAAATGTTCACGTTCCAACGGTTGTCATGTCAGATTTTCCCAAACACCGCTGTGCGCGCGTTACCGGAGACATTCCCTCTTTCATTCCTAGTGTGCCCTTTTAGAGCAGCAAGTTTCATAAATACTCAGAAGATCATTTACTGGGTTTTATTCAATCATACAGTAGTACATCAACGTAAACTTAAAAACACAAGGCACAGTTCAGTTGCATCAGTATAAGAAACCGAGTGGGCGGTAATAAATGAATAGTATAATACTTAACTAAGAAAAAGTTGTCAATATTGAACCTCCCAAGAAGGTCCCGAACCATTGGACAAACCCTATTTTACCACAATTTGGGTCCAATACGTTCGGTTTTCAAATGCAGCGTGTGCAGCACTGACCTACTTCAGTACAAAATCAGACAAGGTGGGTTAAATCTAATTCGGATAATCTCCCTTTTCGGGATACAGTAATTGGATTCTCACAACACAAAAGAAAAAAAAATAATGGTGCCCCTACTTGACGGGTTCACAAATGTAGTTGTTTGTTACTTGGGAAAACAATTGAGAAACATTCGAGCCACTAAAGGACCACTTGCTTCGACGGTCACATTAAGGTGTCAACATCATAGCCACAAAAGGAACACTTGCTTTCAAGGGTCACAACAAGAGGTCAAAATCAATGGCACACTCATGATCTCTGGTGGTGTACACTTGCGAAAGTAGGCACACTGAGAATGGAAGAGTGTTTTCGGGCAAGGTATAAACTTCAGCCAACATAAAGTGAGCAATATTTCATCACCCACGTTAGGGCGATAATGGTTTCCTTACCCAAATTTGGTCGATAAAGGGTGAATCTGCTAGAAGGCATTATCACTCAAATTCGGATGAGAAAACCCCAATCACCCAAATTTAGGCGATGAAATATCTGCACCCTAAATTGGGTGGTGAATGTACCTCGCCCAAAACGTCGACTCTTTTATTCTTAGAGCGGCACTCCGGTGATGTGTAAGAGAAACGCTGGGTGTGTCCCTAGTCCGTCGGCTTGAAACTATTTGAAAGGAACAGGAGGATGCTTTTTCTCCGTAGTTTCTAACCCCTACAAGGTACAAAGATTTAGTAAGCAAGCCGATTGTACGTCTCTTGTCCAACTGCAAGCTCGCTCACTATGCCCCTCTATCTGGAATACGGGTTTGAAGCCTTGAGCGAAATGGCGGACTTGAGGCAACCCTGCACATAGTGGGCCAGAAGACCGGTGGAGGCGGCGGCCAAAATTCTAAACGCGTATTAAGCTTCTGAGTCGCTATATAGGGCTCGAACGGAACGTGTGACCTCACCAATGGATTGATCTTCAAACGAGGAATCTATTGGTGGGGTCACACGTTCGGTTCGGGCCCTACTAAGCGACTCTGGAGCTCAAAACGCGTCTAGAATTTCGGCCGGCTCCACCGGTCTTCTGGCCCACTGTGCTGCGTTTCTCTACATCTAGGACCCAGCTGATCACGGCCACATGCAGCAGCCGCTGGGGCAGCCAGCCGTCCTGCGGTGGGAGGCCATGGCGCGTCGACTGAGGGTTCCACGCAGCCCCGCGTGGCATCCCCGGCTGCACCACTCGCAGCTGCATTGGCGAGGGATGTCGCCTCCTACGTGGAGGTGGAGGCGCGCGTTCCTCGTGAGGAGCTCCTGGACCGCGGAACGATGCAGCCAGGCGTGCGGGCAGCCTGATGACGTCATCCTGAGCGCGGTGAGGCTGGGAGCCGACGTGGGGGTCACTGACTGCAGGAGGCCGTCCAGATCCACTCGGAGCAGAGAGGTGTCCAAAGACAGTGACCGCAGAGAGGGGAAGCGAGGGATGAACCCGGCGAGCCAGGTCAAGTCCATCAAATGAGGGGCGCCCCAACGCAGGTTCAGGACCTCCAGGACCCTGGCGGAGGGTGAGGCAGCCAGAGCCTGCAGAGGGGATGCCGGGTCCTGCCTCGGCACTGAGAAAGACACCGTTCTCAGATTCGGCGCTCGACGGAAGAACTCCAGAGCGTTGGGAGTAAAAAACCTGTCAGAGGCGTTCAAGTGAAGGGTTTCCAGCCGAGACAGGCCGTGCGAATAGACCAGCTCGTTGCTCATGTGGCAGGTAAGCGAGCGCAGCCTCGGCATCGCTGCCAACAAGTTCACGGGCAGACTGTCGCCGGTGAGCAGAGCAACTTCTTCGAGAGTTGCCCCGTGTGTGGTGAGGAGCAACTCAAGGAAGGGGTCCTGAAAGCGTGAGTAGCTCAGTTTGACAAGCGAGGACCTGACTCTCGCGCCATCACGACGGGGATCACCTAGTTCACTGTTTTGACAAACCGATATCTTTAGTTCGCGCAGACAGGTCAGCCTGTAGACCGCCTCCAAAAGATCATAAGCTGTATCAATTTCAAGTGACATGCCTAACAGCAAGTCGAGGGATTTCAACCCGCCCAGTGTGGCAAATTTCTGAACTATGGCCGTAGCCGGAGCGACCTCGGTGTCGAGTCTCACAAGCACACTGAGCTCGGTAACCGCACACTCTGTGCTAGCCACCAACGACGATATTGGTCCGAGGTCTCCGAAGAACACTCTCCGCAGGCAGGGGGCCAGACGCAGGGCCGCGCGCGCCACGCCTCTATCACCGACGACCGACCGGACATGAGCAGTCTTCCAGAGTTCGCGGTGCAGGCACAGGTCGCGAAGCCTACGGCACAACACGCGGCACGCCAAGAGCTCCACGGGGGACAAGTAGGCCAGCACGGCCAGCAGCACGTCGTCTGGGAGGTCCAGCAGCTGGGGGCACAATCAGAGAGGGGAGTGAGAACACTGCAAACCTAACTGTCTACTAAGTACACACTTACAAATGCATGCCTTCAAGTACGCACTTACTAACGCATGCTTGGCCAAGTACACACTTACAAATGCATGCTTGCAAGTACACACTTACAAACGCATGCTTGACGCATGGAGTTATACGGCGTCAAGTGTGTACTTGCAAGCATGCATTTGTAAGTGTGTACTTGGCCAAGCATGCGTTTGTAAGTGTGTACTTGCAAGCATGCATTTGTAAGTGTGCACTTAGTAGACAGTTAGGTTTGTAGTGAACCCAAGGGGAAACAACAAGAATATTTGCACACCAAAATTCAAGGGAAATCTTGAATTGATTGCAAGACCAAGGTCTGATGTAAGATTGCAATCATGACTAGAATGGGCTTTAAAGCTGCAATAATTATGAAGCAAAATTGTTTTTAAAAATTAATTGAGAGAAAAATTTTCCTTGAAAACTGTTGCAGATTTAAAGCCCATTCTAGTCAATTCTATGACATTACTGGGGATGAGTCTCCCTGATATTTCCCCCTATGGTCTGAGCAAGTATGCGAACAACATCTTACGAGAACAAAAATTTTATAAGTTTCTAATAAAATTCCCTAAAAGTGTCCAACGTCAAATTACTTAATGTCCAAATGAAGCTTACTCCTTAAAGGGTTTTAAAACAGAAATCAAAAACTCTTAATCCTTTAACAGCAAAACAATATTTTTAGTAAGTGCTTTCAACGTGTATGAGCCCCCTTCAGAAACGACAAGTAGTAGTTTGCACAAATTACTTGCTGATACTGACAAATTAAACAGTGAGGCATTCAGCTCGTAGCGACGCTAGCTACTAAGTTGACGTTGGCTTCGTAGGGAAATATTGAACGAAGGCCAAAACACCCAAATTGAAGGTTAAAATGTACGTGGCTATGTATGATAGCCCCTACAGTACAGGTTCAGGGGGGGCTATGTACATTACCTCTCGGTGAATCTCCAACAGAAAAATTTGCTTAAAACTCGGAAAACTTGGAGCAGCGTTGTCGCACTCGTACGAGACCAAGGTCCTCGGATGTTACAATAATGCCCGCATCGTCGAGTTTTTACTCAATTTCGGTTTTTTTGGTCAGTTAGCACGATGAGTTAACTAAATAAGACCCCCCTCTTACAGAGGCAATCACATAAGCACGTAATTTTCCTTACACTAGGGCTTTTTTGAGCCTAGTGCTTCAAATGTATGAGCCCCCTCCAGAAACGACAAGTACGTAGTTTGCACAAATTACTTAGCTGATCACTGACAAATTAAACAGTGATGGTGTACCTTGTATTGATGGAAGGAACAACTCACCGACTGATCCATTGTTGAGGCAACACTCTGGATGCCAAGGTTACACTGAACTTCTACCATCAACGGTGAATACAGCGGGACGGTAAGTACGCCGACTTCGATCAGGGCTAGGGCGAAAAAGACCTGAAATGTAAACGGACGTCTATATTTATCGCAACGCAAAGCGGGAACAGCCTCTCTGAACTGTTACGGAGCTCAACTCGTAAATCTGTGAACTGTTACGGCGCTCAAGCGGGTCAGCTGTCATAGGAATTTAACCAAGACATTGTAAGTTCTGCAAAGAATTGCTTCGTAATATGAAGTAAACTACTCCGAATGAAGTATTTCGACCGAAAGAAGAAGAAAAGGAAATTGCAAGATGGCCGCCGCTAGAACATAACAAACCCTCACTTGTTTTCTGCTCGGGAGCTTCTACGCATGCGCAGAGCAGAAAACATAGGAAAACAAGTGAGGGTTTGTTATGTTTTAGCGGCGGCCATCTTGCAATTTCCTTTTCTTCTTCTTTCGGTCGAAATACCTCATTATGAAGCATTTCTACAGTGCATCAATTTTCTTTGCGAAGCTTACCTCTGACTTCACCGGAAACGGCTGGCGCTGCTGCGGGGAGAGACTGCGGACTGCGCGTTTCTCCACTGTAAGGGCTGTAGGCTGTAGAGGCCAAGGCAGCAATCTGCTCGCCTCGTGAAGCTTCCGCTGCTCGCCTTGTGAAGCTTCCGATCTCAGCGCCTCACACACACGACGTCGTCTGACTCCCTTCCACTCCACACCCCACCATGAGTAGGTAAGTGGCCTACTTCTTACTGCCCACGTAAATCTTTACTCTTCCGTAACGACCTTTATTGGAAATAGAGAAAAGGAGAAACGTAGATGACACTGGAAACAGTACTTCTGTAACGTGAACGTGTTCACGTTTGACACAATTCCTATTCATGCGACTGGGCACCGCAGAGAAGTTCGGACCGGATGTACGAAGAAGAACTGGAGACAGTATACCAGATCAGTGTCCTCGCATTTGTCTTGTGGCCAACAATCTACTCAAGTAAAGTTTTGTATTTTAGAGTAGTCCATTCTTAGTCAGTGTCTTTGGATGATCTATGATTTTGACAGTGAGCTTCTGATTGTGAGCTTCGGGTGGACACCAAAGTCATGCACGACCTATCAGAACTTTGGAAGGAAAAAGATGGTTGTTTCCAAGTTAAGTGAGCATTTAGACGCTTTCTATTGATTTGCTTCGTACATAATACAAGTACAAGGTAGGTGTACGCCAGACCGTGTCTTGTAACATTCTTCGCGGTGCTGCGCCAGTTCCAACAATCCACACCTGGCGTTTACACCTACCCTTTTGCCACACATCGCCACAAGCAGCATTCGATTTCAATATATAATTCCCCCGACCCCCATTTTGAGTACAGGGCGACAAGGTTCCCCGAACAAACTGTATTTGTCGGTCTGACACCTTCAACAGCGCCGGCTTCTTCAACAACGCTCCTGACTTCCGGTTTAGTCCTTGAGTAGTTCTTTAAGAAGTAGATATCATAATGTCGGCCGATCTTTCAGATTTTGTTTAGGCATGTTTTCTTTCCTTTTGATAAAAAATGAAAACTCTTGCCTCTAAACTAGTCTAAATAGTCTAAATTCGGCAAAAAATTAAAACCGTGTTTTTCGTGTTACGTGAGAGAGCAACGACTTAAAATAACCAATATTATCTTGTCGTGGTGTACGTGCTCCAAGTCGTTACGTCGACTTAAGTCAGAGAACCACGCCGAGTATTGACTCGTCGTCTAAAGATTTGGATCGGATATGAGTTTGTTGCCCTGGCTAGTGACAGTTTCGTGTGAGGAAATAAGCAAATTTAGCACATTTTGCGTACATGCAGGGCCATAGTATGAATTTTTGCCTTGGTGCTCGGGGGTAACACCCCTTCCCTCAAATTTTTGAAATTTTCTAAACTCTCAGACAGACTATTGACTTTTAGTACATGGCATTGACATTTTTCAATAGTACCTCTGTTTTTTTTTGTGCAACAGTAATATGTACTTTTGACTTTTGTTCGCATTATCTGCACTTTTGTCGGTAATTATTGACAAAAAATAATTCCTACATAATTTTATGCAGCTAATTGTTCGTATCTTACAAGAAAACACTAAGTATTATTTGATCCAGGAAGCGGAAGAAGGGGATAACTCAATTTTGGCCATTTTTCAGGAGAAACAAAAAACTGTTAGCAGGGAAAACTAAAACAAAACAAATGAATGTTGCAGATGTTAATAATTTCAAAAAGCATTAGTAAAATTTTGAAAAAAGAATCAAAAGTGTAAGGTCACTCCGTAGAGGATTTCTGCGACTTGTCACTTTCCGTTGAAATGGAAAACAGAGTCAGCTCACCTTATATTTCCTTAACAAAGAGGAATTTGGAGACAAGTCAAGTAAAACAATAGTCTGCATAAAGTGTATGTTACTCTGGTGTATTTTTTGGACTTAGCTCTTTTTTCCAAATTGAAATTTAAAATTAAGGGGGGGTTAAGTTGAGTTGATTCTTTTTACACTAGATTCATAAAAACACAAGTTGAGTTATATCCTTTTGCCAATTTGTCAAACGGACTCATGTAGACTAAGGTTGAGTTATCTCCATTTTCCAATGAAATTTAGACCGAAAAAGGGGTTAAGTTGAGTTATACCCTTTTCCCATGTGGATTTTCTCCTAAACTGCTTGGAATTCAGTCAAATAATTTGGTGTAATGATGTAAACCATTCTAAGGTACAATAATAAAATAAAAACTCAATTTGGGGATAAGTCAAGTTATTCCCTTCTTCCGCTTCCTGGATCATTTTTTGTAGGCCAAGTACCTGGTTACTGACGATAAAGTCAATAAGAGGCTGAGAGTGTAGGCCTATTGTCTTTGTAATGACAAACTACGCGGCTGGCAGTGATGGCTCACAAGTTGCATCGGCCTAACTTTTCCAGCCTGGCAGTGCTGGTGTCTCCCGACGGCGATTTCCAGCTTACGCTGCAGGTGCTTTGCAATGACGTTCCCCTGCGCGCCGTCTCGCTGGTGGACCCCGCCACGGGCCTCCCCAACCTTCGCTTCGTGGCGCCCGCTCCCGGGGGCCGCCTCACCATGCGGCTCCACAACGGCGGCATGGAGGAGGGCTGCACCTTCAAGATGCAGCGCGCCGAGCTCGCGCCCACGGACTCCTGGGAGAAGGGCGAGGCCGGGGTCGTGAACATGGTCAGCGTGCTCTACCACCTCACCAGGTACGTTCATTCTCAGCGTGTAACTTTTTTTTAGCAGATGATACATTATACATAACGACTTAAAGACAAAAGAGACAACGATTCCGCTTCGTGCACGTTTACCCACCCGCTGTAAGCCGCTGGGGCTCCACGCTTGCCTGCCTGCCAGCTTGCCAACAATGACAGAGCTGTGTCCTACAATTATGAAACTTTTGGTTGATCTAATAGTATCTTATAGTATTATCTTGAAGAGCACTTCATGAAACGGAACTCTGCTTTGATGTTCTGGACTTTCCTGAACTTTTTTTCACACTGCAAAGTCAGTGGCAAGTCGGCTTGCCACAAACTTGGCAAACCATTTTGAATGACCAAAATTGGCAAGCTTGCCCCAGAAATACTCTCCAGCTTGTCAATTTTGTGGAAAGCAAAAGCAAACTTATCACTGGGATTTTTCTTTGCAAGGTTGTTTCGTAAAAAAAAAGTGGTCTAGAAGGGATGAAAAGGGAAACTTTTCTCCAGTGACCTGAAAAATTTCGTGCCCTTACCTCGCAACACAGCACGCTAAAAACCCTTTCTCTGCAAACTCAAGTGTGTACTGGTACACTCCACTTGGAGTCAACATGCATGTACACTCCAACCCGGAGCATACCTGGCATGTACACTCCAACCCGGAGCATACCTGGCATGTACACTCCAACCCGGAGCATACCTGGCATGTACACTCCAGGTTGGCGTGTACTTGCCAAGTACACGTCAGGTGGCGCATACCTTCAGGTACACTGTTGCGGAGGATCCCTATTCTTTGCGTGGTAGACCGGGCAGCAGTGTACGTGCAGGTATGCGCCACCTGGCGTGCACTTGGAAAGTACATGCCAACCTGGGGTGTACATGTCAGGTATGCTCCAGGTTGGAGTGTACATGCATGTTGACTCCAGGTGGAGTGTACTATGGACACACTTGAGTTCGTAGAGTACGAAGTATTCGGAGCATACATAGCACAAATTTTGATCGTCGTACCAAGAAATAGTTCGTAACTTACCAAGTATATTCTTTGTTTGCCCATAATACTTTGTTGTGACAAGCTACTTTTCTTTGTAAGGCCGAAGTTCGACTGGTTTTCAGAGTGTGGAACTGATTCGGGCCGCACAGTGGGCCAGAAGACCGGTGGAGGCGGCCAAAACTCTAGACGCGTTTTGAGCTCCAGAGTCGCCTAACAGGCCTCGAACCGGACGTGTGACCCCCCACCAATGGATTCCTCGTTCGGAGAGCAATCCATTGGTGGGGTCACACGTTCGGTTCGAGGCCTGTTTAGCGAGTCTGGAGCTCAAAACGCGTCTAGAGTTTTGGCCGCCTCCACCGGTCTTCTGGCCCTCTGTGGGCCGTGCGTCCGTTGCAGCACGACTGTGCTCCGCGACGAGAGCACGGGCGGGCGCGCCATGCTGGTGGAGTCGCTGCGGGACGCGCAGGGCCGCGCCGTCGGCGAGGAGGACGCGGAGAGGCTGGGCCTGGCGCGCACCAAGTGGCGGCTGGGGCTGTGGCCGCGGAAGGGCGCCCCGCGGCTGGACGGCTGCGAGTGGCGCCTGCTAGGGGCGCAGCAGGGCGGAGAGGCGCCGCTCTTCGTGCGGACTCCCTCGGGCGATGCCGTCGTGTCCGCGTGCCCCACCGAGTCCATCGAGTCGCTCAAGGTCAGAGCGCCACACTTGGTATTAAAATTTGTTGTCACAGGGTTGCCACAAGCAGGGGGCGGCAACGGCCTAGGAGGCGCGTGAAGCCATGCGCGAGTAAAGTGCAGGGGTTACTTATTTTGCTTCGATCGTAAGATCTAGACCGTTGATTGCAAAACGCTTTGCACAGATCGAAAGAGCACAAAATTTGGGGTGCATTTGGCCTAGTAGACTGCCCGATACTTCCAATTCAACCGAACACAAGGGCGAAATCATTTACATCAACATGGCGCATTCGAGTTTTTTTTTCAAATTTTATGATTTTTGCGTTTTTCGGTGTTTTTACTGCACCTTAATATTAGGTAAGGGAGCAGTTTCGAGAAGGGCAATTAGCCTAATGCACCCTAAATTTCAAGCCCTTTCTATCGGTGCAAAGTGTTTTGAAAAGCACAGTCTAGTTTTCATAATCTCGAACAAGTGCGCAACCTCTGCACTGACGGCGCGAGCATCGCTTCACGTTCTCCCTACGCCGTTGCCACCCCCTGCCACAAGACTGAAAAACCTTGAAGACCTGGAAAAGTCAGTTATTAGGGGCTTCGGAGGAAACCTAGACCGGAAGTCGAAACTAAAGAGTGTCGCGCGGCCGTGATGAGCGGTGGTGGGGGCCGAGAGGGGCCGAGTGGGGGTAACGTGCGCCTGCACCTGTATCTCATGTAAAATTTATTCGATATGCTATTGAAAATATTTACTATATCATTGTAACGCTCTAAAATCACTAAGCCGTAGAGTAAATTTTCTACAATATACTCTGCAAACTGAAGTGTGTACATAGTACACTCTTATTAGAGCATGCTTCCAAGTACACTCTTATTTACAGCATACTTGCTAGGTACACACTAAAATAGAGTGTACATTGCATGTACACGCTAAATGAGAGTGTACCTGGCAAGTACACTTAAACTGGCCCATGCTTTTAGATAGGACTTATCGAGTGTATTTTAGCGTGTACATGGAAGGTACACACTTATTTAGCGTGTACTTTTCAGGCACACTCTATTTTAGCGTGTGCCTAGCAAGTATGCTGTAAATAAGAGTGTACTTGGAAGCATGCTCTAATAAGAGTGTACTATGTACACACTTCAGTTTGCAGAGTAGAAAAAATAATCAGGTAAGGTCTGAGAGTGCGGAATCCATTAACGAGAGCGGGCTTGCCGGCAGGCCACCATCGAGCATGAGCTGCGCATTCCCCGCGCCGAGCAGCGGCTGCGCGCTGCGGACGGCGCCTGCCCTGAATGGGTGGCCGACGTGCTGGCCAAGGGCTTCCCTACACTGTACGTGTGCGGCAAGCTGCGTCTGGGGACCCACCTCTGGCTGTACGTGCACCATCCCAAGGGAACCAAGTTCGTCGTGACCAAGTCCACGCGCACCGTGCAGAGCGTGTTGCGCGGGGTGCTGGGCGTCCCCAGCGAGCTGCACGGTCTCTACCTGGACGGCAGGCAGCTCCAGGGCGACCGGCCTCTGTGCCACTACAACGTGGCGTGCCTCGACACCCTCGACTTGCGCGAGTGCGGCTCGCTGCGGATCAGTGTCGCCGTGGAGGGCGCCTCCGCCCACAGGTTGGAGACTCTGGAATCCATTTTCTACACTCGAATCGAGCGTGCGACCCCATTAATGGATTGCTCTCCGAACGAGGAATCCATTGGTGGGGTCACACGCTCGCTTTGAGTCCTCTTCAGCGACTCTGGAGCTCGAAACGCGTCTGGGGTTTTGGCCGCCGGCGCCGGTCCTCTGGCCCACTGTGCGTATCTCTATCCCAGCTACTACCCCGAGACGGTGGAGGTGGGCGTCGACCCCGAGGACACGGTCGCGGTACTCCGTAAGAGGGCCATCTGCCGTCTCACCTCGCAGCCTTGGAAGCAGGAGAGCCTAGACCGGAACGATGCCTGCGCGCTCTACTCTGGGGACGAGGAGCTGCAGAGGGATTGCACCTTGGCCGAGTGCGGCATAGGCACACCCTCCATGAAGGCAGACCTGTTGGTTTTGCGGTTTGTATGACACAGAGAGTTTAATCTGCCCATTGACTTTAATGCTGGTTTTTGGACAACATGAGCCAGCCACACCCAAAATTTGGCATGCCCTGAAACAGGGCAAATGAGTAATGCGCGCTCGGCCATGGGCGAAGGCAAGTTGCTTGATGATTTGTAGACCATGACTAAGCGACCATGTTGCGCAGAAACTGGGCGGCAATGCCACCCGAAAAAGTGGTGCAGGTGACCAAAGCCCCCAGTTTCACGCCATGATTATGAACACTTTTTCTAAATAGCCGTCAGAGGGCAGTTGCCATTATGAACGCTGTTTTCGGTAGTTTCAGAATCAAATGTTTGGACACATTGAAAGGGTTGGTTTAGGTCTTTAAAATTTGCATAAAATTCTTTGCAAATCTAAGAAGTGTACACATCAACAGGTTCTTGAATGAGTACACATCTACAGATGCATACTTAGCTCGGAACACTTCTGCAGATCCACACACTCTCATTCCAGGAACGTGACATCACGTTGAAACGAACGTGACAAACTCTCTACAAATCGAAGAGTGTACATGGTATGCTCTAACTGGAGCATGCCTGCAAGCACGCTCTAACTAGCGCATGCCTGCCAAGCATGCACTTACTAGCGCATACATGCCATGTACACGCTTCCTGATGCAGACAACTCCCTATCCCTTATGCACTAGATGCATGCTTCAGTTAGCGTGTACATGGCATGTATGCACTAGTTAGTGCATGCCTGGCAGGCATGCGCTAGCTAGAGCGTGCTTGCAGGCATGCTCCAGTTAGAGCATACCATGTACACTCTTCGATTTGTAGAGCTGTCACGTTCGTTTGAGCATTGTGGCACATTCGTTTGGTGGGTGTGAATTGGCCGAAAATCAGCTCGTTCACATTCAAACGAACGTGACACAATGCTCGAACGAACGTGACACTTTGTCACGTTCGTTTCAACGTGATGTCACGTTCCTGGAATGACAGTGCACTTGGTCATGGAGTTCACCCCATAACGTATGAATCTGTGGGTGTGTACCTACTCTCTCAGCCACGTATGCATCTGTAGGTGTGTACTTGCAAGTATACTTTCAAGTATACTGTACTTGTAAGTATACAGTACATATGGTACACACTTCAGTTGTGGAGCACACTTTTAGGATGCCGCGAAGATGTATTTCTATCTGCCTGGTTGCGCAGGATTCCAATGCCAGCCCCTAGCTCGAAGGTGCAACTCTTCGTCAGGACACTCCTTGGCGAGACCTTTGAACTGCAGTGCTTCGACTGGAACACAACCGTTGAGGTAGGATATCTAACATCGCAAAACTGAGATCATTTTTTTCGTGGGCCACTGTGATAATTTGTTTACCGAACCCACGCTACTGTACTTTTACAGAAATTCAGGATCATGCTTGCAAAATTTAAAATAATCTTCCCAAGCGTCTGAAGGAAATCTTGTGTCTTAAAATGTTTTGTAAGGAACTTAAAAGAATGGCTAGTGCAAAAGGAATTCTATAGAGTTAATGAACTTTTTTTCCAATAATACTGTGATGCTTTTACTTTTAGCTGCTTTGGTATATGATTTGCCCCTATATTTTGTTTTTAACTCCTTGATCTGTGACTTCAGCTATGTACACAAAGTAACAAGAATGCTGAATAAATAATCTGAATCTGATGACGTTAGGAAAATTAGCCTTGAAATTGTCATCAAGTGACAATTCAAATTCTGACAGTGAGCTCAGTGCGTGCTTTGAGGTTGACTCCGTGTGCTTGCTTGCTAGTGAATGGTTATGTTCTAATTAGTGCTTGGTTTAGACGTTCCGTTTTGTTCTGGAATTTCGTCCTATTATTTTCGTTTTGTAAGTAATTATCTCAATTGGAAATAATATACTTGCAAGTCGTGTCTTCGATTAAGATTCAGACCGCCAAATGTGACTAAATTGGTCTGAATTTTCAGAATTTTTCACCGTGTTCAATTGCCATTAATTTACTTCCCTGACAGGGCCCTTTGAGTGTTCAGAGAAGCGCAGACGGCGAAAACAGCACCTTGTTTGCCCTGTGCGACTCGTACTGGTTTGGCGTAAGCATAATACGAAAGTAGTTGTCACAGTACAGTCTTCACCGGCAAAGAGTAGACGGGTCGGCACTGGACTTCGACTCTTTGCCGACACGAAAACCGAACAGCACATGGCGGTAGACAAAAGCTCCGGTCCGAGCTCGGGAGGGCCATAAAACCATTGTGGCTCGAGCTCGCCCCCTTTGCGTAAGCGGGGACCGTCGCACGAAGTCGACTCTTTGCCGATGAAGACTGTAGTACACGAAGGGTTTCTTTGCATCTTACAAAGAAAATACAGAATAGATTCGTATTACGAAGGAATATTCCGTCGTATTATGCTTGTGGTTAATTCACTGTAACATAGCTCAAATTCCATAGTGAGACATTTAGAGTGCTATCAGAAACTCACGCTCTTCGTTCTGGTGTTGCAGGCGGTGAAGATGGACGTAATGGAAAAATCGGGCGTTCCTCCAGATCAACAGAGACTTATATGGAAAGGGCGACAGCTGGAGGACTGCCGCTCCCTCCGGTCCCTCGCCATGAGCAAAGAGGAGCTCTTGCACTTGGCTCTCCGTCTCAGGGGCGGTGGAGATGAAAAACTAGCAGTGGGCAAAATTGTGTCCGGAGAAGTAGTCCCTGCCCCGGAAGCCAGCCCGTGCAGATTTCCTGCGGACTCAACGTGTGGCAGCCCGAAGCTACAGTTCGACGTCTTCGTCGATGAAGACCTCCCCAGTCTTCCTTAGACGAGCAGTTTCAAAGCCGGACTGCATGCGCGGACACAAGCATACTTGAACTTTCCATGATTTTTATATTTTTACTTGACCTTGCTCTTGATTGTACATTTGTATCGTTTTTATTATCCCTATTGATATGTTGAATTTACCTTTGCCTAACCTTTGCCTAACCTAACCACCCTTAGATGAGCAGTTTCAAAGCCCGACTGCATGCGCGGACCCATTCGTACTTGAACTTTCCATGATTTTTATATTTTTACTAGACCTTGCTCTTGATTGTACAATTGTATCGTTTTTATTATCCATATTGATATGTTGAATTTACCTTTGCTGCTTTAGTTTATTTTAAGCCCTTCCCAGAAAAAGTAGGAAGTTTACATTTCAACGTGAGAACCACTCCCCTACACACGCTCTTACACACTAAATTCTTATGGACTTTTTTATGCATAGTTATGCATGCGCAGAAACGTTCATAAGGTATGAATAAAATTATGCATCACTGTGTACATTTTATGCAGGAAGGTGCATAAAATGTACACAATGATGCATAATTTTATTCATACCTTATGAACGTTTCTGCGCATGCATAACTATGCATAAATTATGCGTCATTATGCATTTAAAAAGTCCATAAGAATTTAGTGTGTACTGACGAGGACTCCTCGAATCGAAAAGTGTACATTGTACTTACGCTCTACCTGGAGCATGCCTGCAAGCACGCTCTAGCTGGTGCATGCCTGCCAAGCATGTACTTGTGCTATTGTGCATACTTGCATGCATGCTTCCTGGAGCATACATCTTGTGCACAAGGGATAGCTGAGCTGTCTTAGGTCGCCCATAGGTGGTGCACTAAAAGAGGGTGGGGCACAGTGGGCGTGGGCGAGAAGACCGTTGCGGGCGGCAAGGAGTCTGGACGCGTTTGGAGCTCCAGAGTCGCTAAATGGGACTCAAACCGAACTTGTTTTCCCATCAATGGATTCCTCGTTCAAAGAGCAATTCGAAGTTAGTCTCACACGTTCTGTTTGAGTCCTATATAGCGACTCTTAAGCTATAAACAGTCCTGGCTTTTGGCTGCCTCTACAAACGGTCTTCTGGCTGTCTTCCCAAGTGTATAGGCAAAACCCAATCCCCGGGTTCTTCTCTACCATTTGAATTTGGCACGGCAATGGATTGGCTTTTATCTTCGTCTTATCGCGATGGATCCATTTCCATAAAATTTCGACAACGGGAACAACGGTGTTCCCCGTTGAAAGAGAGGGTAAAACGTCTTTGTGGGAGGGCGCATCCTTTCTTATGGCGGTCGCGTGCACACTTAATATTTTTGTACAAATTTTGTACGAGACATCACAGTTTTTTGCGCACACGAACTTTTCGTACAAATTTGTTCAAAATTTAGTACAATTTTGTACAAAAGTGGCGGGAAATGTGCAGTTTTTCGTACGAAAATTGTACGTAAATTTCGTGTGCACAAAAAACTGTGATGTCTCGTACAAAATTTTACATAACATTTAGTTTGTGACGTGAGAGTTCGTAGTTTCTGCTTGGTCATGGTTCGTGGTTTCTGCTTGGTCATGGTTCGTGGTATGCGCTTGGTCATCTCGGAGGGGCTGGCTTTGACTTTTTGAATCAATCTTGCTGACGACCCGTGTTTCCGTTGCAGGTCCCTCGGACTCCGGGGCGGAGAATACGGGCTCGCAGGATGGAGAGGCTTCCGGGCGGGATGACTGTCGGGTGAGCACAGACGAGCGCTGCGAGGTTGATGGTGAGTCATTTGTGTGACATTCGCACAAAACACCGTATCTACCGCGGGATTGCCTATGAATATACATTGTTCTGTCAGATGATCACCCATCATTATGGTCTGAAACCATAATACCTCACCCGAGGGGGTATGCACTCGCGTAATAGTCGGTTCACTCTATCTGTAATAGCACGCGTAATAATACGCGTAATAGTCGCGTAATAGCCGAAATTGTCAAAATTTTATCAATTTTGGTGTGTTTTAGGCCGTTTTTAGCTAAATTCCGATTAATTTGTGGCGTAATAGGGCGTAATAGCGTAATAGTCGGTACACAGGTTCAGAGAGCGCATACCCCCTCGACCTCACCGCTCTAATGGATCTTCATCGACTGTCTCTTCACGCTTAATATTTTATGTACGATTTTGTACCCGGTGTTGCATGACTTAAATCCTGCGTAACGATTTGCAGAAAATTGCGCTCAAATTTGCATAAATTCATGCATTTTTACGCACAATATTATGCAACCTCGTGAGGACCTGGTCCCCACTCACTTAATTACAACGTAGATTGTTTTTCGTGCACAGCTTTTGCACAAATTCATGCATGATTTGCGAAGCTTATGCACAAAAACTACATAGTAACTAAGTGTGTGAAGAATACCTCAGTGCAACTTAATACTTTTAGACATTTTTGTCCCATTACATACTGGGCTTCGCAGGCCATCACGCTGTGCTGCAGTTTATGGCTTCCACCTTAGGGCACATTGCACTTCCCTGACACAATTGCCCTCTGAGGGAAACATTAACTCACGGCCGGATACGCTTAAAATCTCAATACGTCGTCGGACCGGAACGTTTAATGGTATCAAATGTGCTAGGATCACTCTCATTCCAAGTACGTGACATCACGTCGAAACGAACGTGACAAAATGTCATGACAAAATGTCACGACAAAATGTCACGACAAAATGTCACGTTCGTTTGAGCATTGTGTCACATTCGTTTGAATGTGAGCAAGCTAATTTTTGGCCGATTCACATCCAAACGAGTGTGACACAATGCTCAAACGAACGTGACATTTTGTCACATTTTGTCACATTCGTTTCAACGTGGTGTCACGTTCCTGGCATGAGAGTGTAAATAAATAAATGCACGAATTAATACAAAATTTGTTTAAAAACATTTATTGCATGTGTGAAGCACGTTTGTTCCACGCTTGCGAGGTTGGGACAGACCTAGACCGTGTCCCTCACTTGCAAGCGTGACACATCGGTGTGCCCTACAGTGCAAAACCAAACGTGGACAACTCCACATTTGAAATGCGGAGGAGTGGAATTTTCAGTCTCCACACTTGCAAGTGCAGAGTTTGCAGTCTCCACACTTCAAACGTGGGGTTGTCCCCGTTTGCACCATGCCAAGAGATGTTGGCCTTGTACATGAGTAGCTCGTAGCTCATGAGCTACTCCACACTTGAAGTGTGGAGGCTACGTACTCAGCATTTCCATGTGTGGAGACTTACTCCACACCAGGAAGTGTGGACTTGTGCACGTTTGATTTCACAGTGGCTTGGACCTGCAGTTTGAGGATTAGGTCAAACACGACACTTCCGACTTCCCTTCTCGTCCTAGGTCCACGCCCGTCCGCTCCAGCCATCAGCGTGCGGCCGGAGTTCCGAGTCGCGGCGTTCGGCCGCGGGAGTCCGCTCTTGCGAGTGGAGGAGCCGCCGTCTCAACCGCACCGAGAAGAGCCTGGCGTCGACATCGCGAGGCCTCCGTCCCCTGGTGTCGCTAGTAGTGGTCCACCGCGCCGACCGCAGGGTAAGAAGTAACTCCCGGACGTGTTTTGAGCTCCAGAGTCGCTAAATGGGACTCGAACCGGACGTGTGACCCCACCAATGGATTGCTCTCCGAACGAGGTGGGGTCACACGCTCGGTTCGAGTCCTGTTTAGCGACTCTGGAGCTCAAAACGCGTCTAGAGTTTTGGCCGCCTCCATCGGTCTTCTGGCCCACTGTGCGGTTGATCCTCTCTCGGCACAGGCCCCGCGGATCGCCGCACCCAGCCAGCCCCTGCTGTTGGTGCCGTCATGCCGTCGTCGTCGGGAGACGCGCCTTCCACCAGCTCCCAGTCCCATCCTCGCTGGAGGCCTTTTGGCCGCTGCGAGCGGTGCCGAGAGCCGGTGACTTCATGGAAGCACTACCTGCAGCACCTGACGCTGCAGCACAACCTGGATTTCTCGCGCCACTGCGTGCTGTGCCTGTCGCACGTCACGCCACCCTCCATGCCCCAGCACCACACGCATCACCTACGAAAGAAGGACAGGTTCGGGTGTACCGAGTGCGATGCGGATTTCTTGAAGAAAAAAGCGTTCAGGCGTCATATGACGATGTTCCACGGTATTGCACCGCTGTTCTGATTAGGCTCAGCGAACTCGAGCTTACTGACGAAGGTTTCGGAAGGTGTCTGTAAACGCCTCTGCGGAGCTTGTCTTGAAAAGCGTTTGAACTTATCCTGGCCCCCTCCAGATGTGTGTGGACAAGTGTTCTGCTGGAGCCCTGTAAATAACTGTAGTATTGAGCGTTTACGTTCACTCTGGTGGCCACATCTCTCGTTTTACGAAGTTTATAATGCATGCACTTTTCTTCAGTTTTCTTCTAAAATAAAAGTCAAAATTTCAATCGTTATTTGTTAACCTGCTATCTTGTCAGTGTAGCTCAAAGTGAGATAGGCAATGAAAAAAAAAAGGTAATCCCCAGAGCGCCTTGACCTTGCTTTCGCAACAGCCAGAAACACGTTCGCTGTCGAGCGTTAACAGTTGCCAATTTTCATTATTTAACGTTGTTTTCGGAATTTCTCACTATTTCCTTTTTCACTATTTTTGTACGTGGTTTCACACATTTATTATTTTGTGCATACGTGCTTTCCCTGCAACTTCGTACGTGATTTCGCACGAATTTGTGCGATTCTGCATTCAAATTTATACAAAAAAGTTCCCCACTTCAAAATTGTTACATTAAATTTAGTGTACGTTATTCAGTTTTGGAGAATCCCCCCCCTTTCCCCCTTTTCACCCTAACGCGGCGTTACGCGGGTCCGGACCCCCCACCCTGTCTCACAGCGTTACGTTGCGCAATATTTCTCACTGAAACGCCACGTTTACTCTCCTTCACTTTTTGAACTTCTAATGTGCTCTCAGCGTAACACCACGTTGCCCCCTCCCTTTTTTAACTTCTACTGCGTAACTGAATGTTCATCCCCGAAGTCTGAGGAGCTCATGAAAATTCTCTGAACGGGTCTGACGCTGTTGGTGGCTAGAGCCACCGACTGGAGTCGGTGGCTTGCAGCTTGCAGACAGGTGCCCAGCGACCGACGGTAGCGCCAATGGTTCTCTCGTGGCGGTGGACGGAAGCTCTGGAAGCTCCTCCTCCCCCCCCCCCCCCTCTCCCCGTTTCCCCTCAACAGTGCAGGTGCAGGTGCAGGCCGTGCAGGCAGAGTCGAGTCCCCACCTCAAACTTCCTTGATGGGAGCAATCATATCAAAGGCCCTGGTTTGCAGCCCGCATCCATCCTTGATCCATCCATGGTCTTGAGGACGGGACGGGACACTGTTTACGCTTGAAAACTCTTGAAAGCCCTGCAGCCCTTGTTGTGGTAAGTGTTTATTTATAACTTGGAAAATAATTGGAACCGTTTCGTTTCCACTCCTTGTCAATCTGAATTTCCCACGAATCTATCGTGCTCCGCGAATCGGGCTGGCATGAAATTGAGCATTGGCCCTTATAGGCCTTGGTGTCTTTCTAGAGCAACCAATGATGTCTGTATACGTAGTTGGTTATGTTGCCCGCAAATGGTTTAATGTTTTCATCGTATTTTGGTCCGTGCTCAGATTATTTTTATTTGCGAATTCCTCGAGGAAGGAATTTTGATCCGTCTGTCCATAACCTCACTCCTTAATAAACTTAATTCTACAATTTTCCCAGTGATATATTGGTTAAAAATTACTTAAATGAAGAACTCAATTTCCTTGGTTTATCTATTTCAAGTCTCTGTTACTGAACTCTCAAGTGAGTGGTATTTGTAAAATGGACTGAAATTTATTTGCCTTTGCTGATAATTATCTTGGAACGCTTAATGTCGCAGAGTTACTTTAATGTCTGTTTTCTCCCCACACATACGGTGTTAGGTACTTCTCTTCATAAGTTTTTTTGTTTTCGTGCTTTGAAGTGTGTCATTATGTAGCAGCGACATTTAAGTAATATTTCTAAGAACAAACAAATATCTCTCTGTTACCTTGCTGTCAAGTGGCTGACAAACTCTAAAACTAATTTCATAAATCTTTGTGAAAATCTTTTGCGTGGTTGTTTTTTTGTACTGAATGCCAATTCTGACAATTTTGTTGGGAAACGAAGGAGAGAAGTTCCGTTCTCCGTTCTCTTACCTTAAATTTATGCATTTAAAAGGAACATTTTGATGATTACAATTAAATTCAGTTAACCTAGTCTACTGTTGCTACACGGAAAAATGGATGGGTTGGAATGGAACTTAGTATGTAGTCAAGTTTCTTTGAGTGTATGAACCCTCTAGTGTTTCAACTACCTGAATCAAGTTGTGCAGCCTCAGGTATTTTCAGTTACCTCTCTTCAAAATTATTTGCTTTGCATTTGTGGTGTTAGTCCAAAATTTGAACCGCATTTTTTATAGTCTGTGAGTAATGGGTGCTTATGCTAACATTTAGTCGTTTCCTTCTCCCTAATTCCCCACACTGTAAAGGAATAGGGATCCAGCCTCCATATTCTGGCAGTAGCTCATTTGATAGAGGAAATAGAAAGCGTTGCCCCTCTTTAAAATATTCCTCTTGGTTTTCCTGAGAAAAAGTAATCAAGACCTGAATGTCGCATAATCTCTCAAATTTGAAGAATAATAAAAGGAAGCCTCATAAATAAAATTCAACACCCTCTACAAGGCTGAAATTTAGCTGTGGCACTCATGTCTTTTCATCATGTCTTTAAAGGTTCAAGTGACAGAATCTGGAGATTGGAGACCGTTCCCTTTGTTGAGAGAAACAACTAAAAGTTTCTGCAAACCTTCATAGCTCAAAAACTGAAGGGAGCTGAGGCCTGTAGCTTTAGGAACACATTCATCTCACAGAAATTAAATTTTAACCATGGAAGGAACTTCCTGTCGCAGGAATTTCCAGAACATGGAAATTTCGCTTTGAAGTATGCCTTATGCCTGCTTTTGTTCGTATTTACAGTGCCATGATCTCCTTTGGGACGATGATCGCGGACCTCAACCTCCAGACGGCCAGAGTCAAGCTGCGCATCGAGCGCGCCAAGCTGAAGGCGGTCCCCAGAGCGGTGCGAGCCGCCGAGCTGCAGCTTGTCTTCACCAAGGTGGAGAGGGACTACGCCAAGGTCGTGGCTGAACTGGAGGAGGTGCGGGGAGAACACCGCGGGTGTTTGGTGAGTGTGCTGCAGCCAACCACAGTGGGCCAGAAGACCGGCGTCGCCGGCGAAAACTCGAGACGCGTTTTGAGCTCCAGAGTCGTTAAATGGGACTCGATCAGAACGAGTGACCCCACTCATGGATTCCTCGCTCGGAGAGCAATCCATTGGTGGGCTCACACGTTTGGTTCGAGTCCCATTTAACGACTTCAGATCTCAAACCGCGTCCCGGGATTGCGACCGCCTCCACCGGTCTCCTGGCCCACTGTGCCACGGCACAGTTTGCTGACAAAGTCGCATGAGGAATTTATTGATTTGCGTTAGGTTTTAGAACAAATGTGTTGAGTGAAAGTAAGTTTTCCCAGTGTTATGTGATGCAAGTGCATTAGTTTAGAAATAATGCAGCGTTCTGTAAGCTAAAGTTGTTATCACTTACTTTCCCACGTCATATCAGGAATATTCCGGCCTGTAGTTTCACTGCAAATCCAATGCAATGTGCATTTGAGTTTGTATTCACACAGAAAAAGTCTGTCAGGTGTCGCTTGGTGTACGAACAAAACCAAGGCATTGTAACGCTTCTTAATACAGAGCATTTTTTCATAATACAAAGCTATTTTACACCTCAATTCTTTTTCCAATTATGGAGCAGATACTGCATGAAAAAACCACAACAAAAGTACAACATTTCCTGGAATTTTTTTTATCGGGAATTAAATTGTACTTTGAAAGTACAACAATTGGTGTACAAAGTACATTGGAACCGGCATGACGAGTGCTGTGCAGTGCAGTGTGCAATCCAGGCCTCGTTGTGGTTCGTACAATTCTCGATTGTACTTTTTACAATCCTTGTTGTACTTTAATTGTACAGTTTTTGTTGTACTATTCACAGTTTTTCTTGCAGTGGATGCATTAGAGGTTTTTAGGGCTAACTCCCACATGTTCTACAGTGAAGATTCCCAATGGGAAAATGTTCCATATTATGGTGTGCAGTGACTTCATAACATACCCTTCAGAAATGGCACTGTACCTAAATTTGACGAATTTCATTGGTACTTATGAAAGGAAAATCTCCACCATAATATGTTGGTGCAGCCTTTCACCTAAAGACATTTACAGTGTAGGCGGATCTCCCAATGTTTGTTCTGCGTGTGTCTCAGGACGAGTCTTCCTCCTTTTTTTCCGTCGTCGGAAAGGCCGTCCACCCGGGCGGCCGCCCGACCGGGGGCCCCGCCCAAAAATCGCCGGACGATTCCCAAAGGTGGAGCTTTTTGGGGGGAAGGGAGGCGGACAGGCGGTTCGCGGAAGCTCGTAAGCAGGAGCTGGAGGTCAAGATGGAGGCGAGGGCGGCGCGGACCCACCTGGAGCAACTACACCAGAAGATAGTGCAGCGCCAGAAGGACATTGCCGACGTGACCCTGCAGCTCGCAGACATGCGCAGCACCCACCGGGAGTGCCTCAGGGTGAGAGCCTTGTAAAAATTCCTAGGAGATTTCGTGTATTACACTGGTAAAACAAAGGCATGAAATTCACGCCCTTTAGGTCATAAATTCTCTCGTACGCCCTTCAAGGGCGTAAATCGTTTTATGCCCTTGGAAAGGGCGTGAATGGTACTGGAAGTTAAAGCAAAATTGTAATGTCCTTCCAAAGGGCATTGACAATTCAGGGAAGTAAATTGTTTACGCCCTTGAAGGGCATCATATTAATGCCTTTGTTTCACCAGTGTACGCCTGGAAAATGCCTTACGCTTGAACTGAGTTACAGTGCATACGGACAGTTTCATGTAAAACGGCCTCTAGATTGCTATATTTCCCTTTCATATTATTTTTACCTCATTAATTTTTTTTTATTTAGAGTTGTTACTTGTAGTAAATGGATTACATCTCAAGGAAAAAAGACCTCTCTGACTTTGTTAACTGTGGTGCAGAGAACAGCAGGCCCAGCTTGGGTGACAATACCCTTAGAAACTTGCGGAGTTCTTTTAAATTTGTGTCAATTAAATGTTTTACTTTCCGCCCACTTTCGATTTGCCGAAGTTCTTTTACATTTGCACAAATTTAATAATTTACCACAACTTTCTTCTGCCAAGCGGTCAAGTTTGCCAAAGAGACGCTCAAAGAATTTTTGTATGTCTGTGCCCAGGAATATGAGTTTGACGGTTTGGTGGAGCACCCTGATCAGTACCAGTGGAAAGACAAGACTTTGCGGCTTTCGGCCAAGGCGATGCACTCCAGGAAGAGGGTGGAGCATTTCATCAAGAAGCTCGCGACGGCGCCCTGCATGAAGACGCTGTCCTTGTTCCTCCAGGAGTACATCGGCGGAGTGCCCCCGTCGCTCAAGTTGGCCCAGGACGCTCTGTCCAAGGTAAGTCAATTTGGGGAAGTTCTGTTAAAAATCTCTCTTTCTGGAAAATTGGTCCCACTGTGAAAATTTGTTAGTGTTGTGAAGACTTACTGAGAAACGATTAAATTGTTCCATTTGCAAGCTCATGCCCTCAGTTGAAAAGCCTATTTTGGCTGTACTTTTAAAAAGTTCTTGCACCCATTATCTTAACGTTAAAGGATGGTCTTGAAATTTTTCACTTCTTTTATTCATTTTGGAAAGATCCTTGCATGTACTACTAGAAATTCATTACATTACTGATATCAATCTGTTAAAGCAGTAAGTTCATTCAAATTTGGCAAAAATGTACAAAATGTACGAGCTGTAGTGACATTCCAGCTCGAAAAGCTTGTCAATACAGTGGCGTGTAATTAGCATTAGGAGTTGTGTATGCAAGAATCTTTTAAAAGTGAATTGAAGTAGTGGAAAAAAAAGATGCATAAAATGGCTACAGCAACCTTTTGCGTTAAGGGAGGACCCTGGTGAAAAAATCGCCAAAATTCCAATAAATTGTATTATCAAAGTTCATAGATAAACATGTGCATAGAAGGTTTCAGATTCAACAGGTTTAACCCCTTTAAGCTATGTGGGTAGTTTCTTTATCATTGGGAAGGAAATAACATTGAGATCAGTTGTCGTTGGCTTCTACGCTCAACTTCACAGCTTTGCTCAGTCGACAAAAAATTTTGTCGTAGAAAGACTTCCTGCGTTCCTGGTTGACACCTACATGAGTCATCTTGCATGGACTCTATTCATTGATGACTTGTCGACAAATTTTAGTGACGGAATCTTGATATCAGCCCTACTTTTTTTTAAAACACACCTAAAAGTTTGAAAAAAGGGAAAAAAATCACTTTTTTTTTAATGTTAAAATTTGTAAACTCATATCTCAGGACAGAAGTTGAATTTGAAAATTCCGTCACTAAAATCTCTTCTATATATCTTTAGGATAACCCAAACAAATTTTCAAGACTTTCCGTCCCAATGAAAGACGCAAGAAGATTTTTCCCCAACGCTCCAAAAAAACACCAAAAAGCCACTTTTCTCAGAGACCGTTCAACATTTTGGATTGAATTTTGTTTTGGGAACTCACTATAATGAACCTAATAAGTAAGCAAAGTTTCAACTTCCTGGGATTATTTTAAAGCCTACTTGAAAGTTTCACCAGGGTCCCCCCTTAAAACAGAATGCGTAAGAAAACCCATTTTGAGGAGGTGAAACAATCTCGTGTTTAATTTATTTAATTAATAATAATATACAGGTCTGAGGGCAAGCCCTGTACAGACATCAAGAGTTTTTTTTACATATCAGGCGATGTGACCATGGGGTATACTGACACAGTAAGCCAAATTCCTCAGCGTGTGGCTGGACCAACACCTTAACTGGGATTCACACGTTAATAAGTTGATACCAAGACTTCGAGTGGTCACAAGTCCTATATACAGACTCAGACTTGATGCTGACATAGGACTTCTGAAGATCATCTACTATTCCTACTTTCACTCTATCCTTTCTTTTATGTGTGGCTTATGGGGCCTGGCCCCTAAAGAATCTATGCGCAGGATAGTCGTCCTTCAAAAGCGCTGCATAAAGACTGCGCATGCGCAGACTTAACATTTATTGACATTTTGGGTGCCCATATCTTGGGAACAACTACAAATAATTAACTTATGTACAAAGTAACTTGCTTAAAAACATAATTTGAATTTAAGTTATTCTATGAACTTTTTCATCTCACGCCATTTCCAAAAGAAAACTTCAAAAATTGGGAAATTGTCGTATGCGTACCCTGTTCACAGAGAGTCCCATAGGAAACTAGGAACCGATTCTGCCGGGTACTGTTGTTCTGTTTTGAAAGCGCTTTTTTCTTTGGTTTGAACGTCCGCACTGAGAATCCAAACGCTATGAGTATAGCGTCAATTGGTGCAATACAAAAGCATTGCACATGAAGTGCAATGCCTTGCCATTCCCATGCATTAGCATAGGGCCTTTTTGGGATGCGTTGCACGTAAGGTGCAATACGGCTGAGGCATTGCACGTATGGTGCAATATCTCAGGTGCATTGCACCATACGTGCTATACTCATAGCGTTTGGAATCTCAGTGCGCCCGTGGTTGCAGGCACCGGTCCACATCCAGGAGCTGTGCGTGACGTTTGGGTCGAGCAGCAAGGAGGCCGTGCTGGCCCTAGTGGAGAAGACCCGCGACCACCTGGAGCGCCTCGCCTTGACCCTCATGTACGACGCCAGGTTCACCGACGACGAGCTGCGGCGCTTGTGGGGCCTGGTGGGCGGCTCTAACATCAAAGTGCTGGCGCTGTCTTCCCCGGAGCTTGTGCGCAAAGTGCAGTTCCCATTCCGGGTGAGAACTTTGCCAGTTCAGAAGAACGGTTCGAGGCGGCAAAATTCCAGACGCGTTTTGAGCTCCAGAGTCGCTAAACAGGGCTCGAACCGAGCGTGTGACCCCACTAATGGATTCCTCTTGCAGAGAGCAATCCATTAGTGGGGTCACACTTTCAGTTCGACACACATTTAACGGCTCCGGTGCTCTAAATGCGTCTTGAATTTTGGGCGCCTCCACCGGTCTTCTGCCTCACTGTGTCTTGGTCGTAGTCTGTCATTTTTTGCTATTCTTTTATGAATGTAAACTGATTTAACTTGAGATAATTCTGGGAGCTTGAGGCGCACTTGAAACTACGTGCTAGGTCACTTAAAATTGAAGCCACCACATAAACCAATTAATTCTTTCTTTCTTGTGGATGCCATTTTAATACATGCAGTTCTTACGGACAAAGTCGTCAAATGTGACTAGAGATAGAGCAGGATAAAGTGTCTGATGTTGGCCCGGTAAAATTTTTGCCATAAAATCGGGTTTGTGATTCCTACGCTTTATCAAAACCAGGGCAGCGATTATTTAATTATTGCATTATTTGCAACCAAACCACTCATTATTTTTCTAGCGTTAAAAGAGTATTATGGATTACTCTCACTGCTCGTTATCACAATTTTGTACGTGGCTGCATGAATTAAAACATATATGTGTAACGTTATGCATAGAATTGTGCTCAAATTTACACAAATGTATGCATTTCTACGCACAATATTATGCGAATTCCATGTATGTAACCACCGTGCAAGTTTCTCTTAAAAAATTCTACATTAGTATACATATTCCGCATGTACATCTAGTGTGTGTATTGTTTTTTAAATTTCTAAATTTTGCAATGAATATTTCGCTTGTATGATCAGCCACACCGGTTTCTAAATTAAAAAATTCTCAATGCAATTTCAGACGAGCCGACTTCAGCTGGAGCGGCTGGAGCTGGGCGACCTCGGCGACTGCAAGCATCCCACTGTGCTGGGGCCGCTGATCAGGGCGGCCAGCGCTACACTGCGAGTGGTGCAGCTGCCGTCTACACTGGTAGAGGGCGATCGGATGGACGTCTTCGAGGCCCTGGGCGAGTGCTCCAACCTGGAGGAGGCGTCCGTGCCCTGCTACCGGTACATCCTCGCCCTGCAGTCCTGCGCCAAGCTGGGGAGACTGGGCCTACAGTGTGTCGACAAGCAGTGGTCGCTGCGCCCCAACGCGGACACCAATGCGGTCGTCGAACTGCTGGGCCTCAAGTTCGTGAAGATGCGCCTCCGCGGGCTGACGCTGTCGTCCTTCTGCCCGGACAGAGACAGGGCCGTGATCGGTGCGGTGTCTGCGTTGAAGAACCTCCGCAGCCTCACCCTGAACACCAACATGCAGAAGGATGCTCTTGTCATCCTGCTGCGTTACCTGCCCTGCCTGGAAGAGCTGCACCTGCTTCGCCGGTTCAGCCTGACGTCCGAAATCGTGCGCCAAATCACTCCTAGGCTCTTGCCAAAGCTCCGACTCCTGGAGCTGGACTGCGATGACAACGAGTCGGAGTGCAATTGCTCTGAAGACGACGAGGACTTTGGTTTCGGCGGCTGCGGGTTGCCCCATGCAGGCTGGCGACCCGGCGTCGATTTCACAGTGAAGCGGGCTTTCGAAGAAGTCAACCCCGACCTGACCTTGATAGTTGCACCCAGCACCACTGCAGAAAAGAAGAGCTGCTCTTCGGAGGGCTCAGATGTTGAGTCGGATGATGGTTTGGAGAAAGAGGCGCTCAAACAGTTTGAACTTTGGCAGGATGAAGAAGAAGAAAGTTCAGAGGCTGAATCAAATGAAGGCTCAGAGACTGAAGAATTACCCAGCATGAACTAGCGTTACCGAGCTGAGTCGTCCATCCAGCTCAAAGTACGAAGGACTCTCCCTTACCCCAGTGTCGCATTTAAATTAACTCTTCACCGTTTGCCCACAAGTACTGTTTTGTATACCTTTGACTCTCTGAGTAAAATGTGTTTTTGCATGGATCTCTCTGCGCTTTTTTAATTAAACTAGTGGCAAATTCTTTGTGTAAAATGTTTCTATTTTAAGTAATAAAGTGCATGTACAAGTTAATTTTTGAAAGCTTTTACGTACATTTATTTACAATTTTGACAATTTTTACTTCTTTGCTACACTTTAGAAAGAAACAGATGCTCGGTGCTCAATGGCCTTTGAGACACACTATTTGGAGTGAAAATGGCATTGCCCATAAAGATGCACTGTTAAAAGATGGTCGTAGAGAAACAATTGGACCAATGAAAATTTAGTCCGTCCAAAACTTAGAGTGTCATCATGAGCCAAAGCAACACTAATGTCGTTGAATCTAGAAGAAGACCAAAATTCTTGTTATCACCATTGACAGTTACTTTGTGTCCAAATAACATCTTTTTTTAAATCATCTGGCAAATTAAAATGAGTAAATAGTATTATTGGAATCATCATCTACTTTGTTCTTCAAAGTTGTAGGAAGAGTACATACTATTATAAGATGTAGAACTTTGAAAAGTAAAGTTAGCAACAAAACTACTCAATCAATATTTGTGGCAGACAAAATATTTCATTCACCTCCAATACTTACTTGTTGTTGTTGGTCAACAACAAAAGCGCTGACCCTGGCCCGAAAGAAGGAGAAGAGCAAAAATTCGGTCAGTCAGACGGTCGATCTAGCTCAATGCGAGTCAGATCGAGCCTGGAAAGAGGCCTGAGTTCGACTCCCCAGTGAGATGGCGTTTTCCTCAGTTACACTGGTAAAACTAAAGCGTAACTCTATGCTTGATTCAAGCATAAAGTTACGCTTGAAGACGTTACGCTTGAAATCAAGCATGGAGGAGAAATTCCCCGCATGCATTTAGATAGGGGAAATGTTGGCGGATGAGCCTGTTACGCTTGATTTCAAGCGTAAAGTGATTACGCTTGATTTCAAGCATAAAGTGATTACGCTTGATTTCAAGCGTAAAGTGATTACGCTTGATTTCAAGCGCAAAGTGATTACGCTTGATTTCAAGTGTAAAGTGATTACGCTTGAAAACAGTGGGTAATATAACGCTTTGGTTTTACCGGTGTAGCTTCTCAAGCCTAGAGCAGAATATTCCCGTACCATCAGTCTAAGTCTGTGCGTTCCAGTGGCTCAGGGCGTAGAGGCCTCCAACGAGAATCAGGGATCGCATCCCGGGGACGAAAATAATTTTCTCGGTTGACCGCCTAAATGCGGTGGCAGTCTGGGAAGAAGTTTGGGAAGACCGTGTGTCAGGTGGCTCAAGGAGCAGAGGTGTCGGCCGCGCTGCGAGAGACTCTAAAAAAGAGACAACATTTTCCTCAGTTTGATTGTTGATATATCTTAGACCCGGTACCATCACTCTAAGTTTGATCGCGCAACTTCCCAGTGCTTGGTTGGCTGAGATGGTAGAGACGTCGGCTGGCGGTTGGAAGTCCTGGGTTCGACGCCCAGGTGAGTGAATCTTTTCCTCGGTTTACTTCTCAAACCAGGTGCCATCGCCATCACTCTAAGATGGACCGGGTCAAATTGTAGTGGATGGGTGGCCGAGATGATAGAGAATTCGGCCGGCGGGAGGAAATCCCGGGTTCGACTCCCAGTCGAGTGAATCTTTTCCTCAGTTAACTTCTCAAACCCGGTACCATCACTCTTAGATGGATCACTCCGACTCGCAGTGGCTGGTTGGCCGAGATGGTAGAGGAGTCGGCCGGCGGGAGAAAATCCTGGGTTCAACTCCCCGGTGAACAAATCTTTTCCTCGGTTTACTTCTCAAACCCGGGACCATCACTCCAAGATGGATCGAGTTGACTTGTATTTACTGGGTGGCCGAGATGGTAGAGGAGTCGGCGGGCGGGGGGCAGTCCTGGGTTCAACTCCTAGGTGAGGGAATCTTTTCCTCAGTTTACCTCTCAAACCCGGTACCATCACTCTGAGATTGGCCGAACCAACACGCCATGGCTGGGTGGCCGAGATGGTAGAGGAGTCGGCGGGCGGGGGGCAGTCCTGGGTTCAACTCCTAGGTGAGGGAATCTTTTCCTCAGTTTACCTCTCAAACCCGGTACCATCACTCTAAGATTGATCGTGCCAACACGCAGTGGCTGGTTGGCCGAGATGGTTGAGGAGTCGGCCGGCGGGAGGAAGACGTGGGTTCGACTCCCAGGAGAGCGAATCTTTTCCTCGGTTTACTTCTCGAACCCGGTACCATCACTCTAAGATAGGACGTGTCTGGCAGGTGTGTTGTCGTAGCTCAGGTGGCAGAGCGATGGGCCGCGGAGGCTGGTTGGAGGCCATGCGGCAGCACACGTTTCCCGTTGGACCTGGTTCGCCACCAGCCAGGTCAGGTTGCTAACCCTTTATGATTGCCCTACTCCACTCTCCTTCGGGGAGGGGGGGTAGGGGGGGAGGGGCCGACGGCGGGAACTCTTTTGCACCTTAGAGAGAAAGCCAGCACTCATGCATAGGGGCGTGCGCCACCGAGGTAGGCCACCCATTTGACACGCTGGGGTTGCGTTGAGTAGCGACAGCAGGGCGTGTGTTCCTCTCGCGTCTCTTATTCATTCATAGCCAGGGTTGGCTCGTACGCGCCGTCAAGGTAGGCCGCCCATTTGACACGCTGCTGCAAAAGCAGTGCTGCGGCAGAAAATAAAAGCCACACCCCTGCCGGGATTCGAACCCAGGTATTTCTTCCCACGGCCGACTCTTCAGCCCACTGAGCCACCGAGGCACCGATTAATGAATTTTCTTCCAAACTTAGAGTGATGGTACCGCACGCAAGCAGTCAGATGAGGAAAATGTTCCTGCACCTGGGATTCGAATCCGAGTGCTTAGTCGGGGCGACCACTTCCTCTGCGCTCTCAGCCACCGAGACATGGGTAATGTGTTACCCGATGTTGATACTGGTGGTACGGGATTCAAGGTTCAACTGAGGAAAACATTTCCACATCTGGTATTTGAACAAGTTTCCTCTCTCGGGACGGCCGCTACCTCTGCGCCCTGAGCCACCAAATCACGCTGTCCGTTCTTGCCCAAACTCAGACTCATGGTTATCTGATTGTTAGAGAAGTGAACTGAGAGGAAAAGTTTGGAGATTGCGGGACTCGAACCCGAGCTTTTCGCATGGCAGCCGACTCCTTGGCTCGCTCAGCTACCAACTCACTCAGAAGAATCTGTCACGAAACTTGTACTTATGATATCATTTTTATTGAACATAAATAGTACAATAATTGATTGCAGATTGATGTATACTATAAAACTTTCTTATGGGAGTGTTATATTGAATTGAAATTGGAGAAAACGTTAGGGTGGTCGGCAGATAGAGAAAATTAAAATGAAATTAGTTGAGATTGACAAATAACTGACGATTAGGCAAACTCCGGTGTGTCCAGGGACGAGATTACAGATGGTAAACTGCTGAAAACATTCAATTGTCTGGGGATTCGAACCCAGATCCTGCTCATGGCGGACGACACTCGTCTTTACTTTTATTTTATTTGTATCGATACAAACATACTCTTGCCCATTGAGCTACCGCTATACAGTCAAGCGACGTGCCTAAACTCAGGCGTGATGCGGCAACAAAAGAAAATCAAGGAAAATAAACAAGCGTCTCACTGTGGCAAAAAGGTACGGAAAATTCTGTTAATTTTTTTTGCCAGGATTCTCCGTAGCCTTCTTATCAATATTCTCCGTACACACTAAATGTCATGGGACTTTTTTTGTCCCACGGTTAATGCAATTTTAAGCACATCCGGTGGTGATGCAATTTTGTGTCCGCCAGGCGGGACAAATTGTCTTGTGAAAGTACAAGTTGCAGCTGGCGCCGGACAAAATGTGTCACCAGACGGGAACAAAATTGTATCAGCGTCGGATGTGCTTAAAATTGCATAAACCGTGGGACAAAAAAAGTCCCATGACATTTAGTGTGTAGGCTCTTACAGTATTCTCCGTAGGGCCGTACAGTATTCTCTGTAAGTCTGCACAGTCTTCTCCGTAGGACCTGGAAGACTGTATAGTCCTACGGAGATCACTGCAAGGTCCTACAGAGAATACTGTGCGGTCCTACGGAAAAATACTGTAAGAACCTACGGAGAATATTGATAAGGGGGCTACGGAGAATTACCACAAGCTGTTTACAGAATTTATCGTAGCTTTTTGCCACAGTGCCCCAGGTCCTTCTATTGCTCCTATTCCTTCTCTTGTCGACTAAAGCTTCCGGTTAGTGATGTTTCATCCGACCGTCCGTCCGACCGTCTGCGACCGACCCATTATAGGGTCACCGTAAGGCTACTTCGTGTCTAAAAGCAATGAAAATTTATCCAAGAAAATACGTAACTACTTCCACACCATCGCACGGTGGGCCAGAAGGACCGGTGAAGGCGGCCAAAACTTTCGACGCGTTTTGAGCTCCAGAGTCGCTAAACAGGATTAGAACCGAACGTGACACCACCAACGGATTGCTCTGCGAACGAGGAATCCATTGGTGGGGGTCTCATGTTCTGTTCCAGTCCTGATAAGCGACTCTGAAGCTCAAAACGTGTATCGATTTTTGGCCACCTCCACCGGTCTTCTGGCCCACTGTGCATCGCCGTTCCTAGTCCACTGTAAAGAACTCCGTACTCTAGGGGGAAATCACTCGCGTAATAATCGGGTCACTGATTCCTAGTATTACGCGTAATAGTAATAGCGTAATAGCCAAATTTTTTAAAATTTTCCCTATTTAGGGTCCGATTTTAGCCTAAATCTGGATATTTTCGAGCGTAATAAGCCTTCTGTAATAGCGTAATAGAACGTAATCGCGAACGTAATAGGGAGTAGTCGGGTCACAGTTTTTAAGAGTGATTTCCCCCTCGTCCGTACTTTTGAACGGAAATGGTACAGAAAAATATAGTTCGGAGGTACGGAGAAAAGTGCGGAACTTGCTCCATATGAACCCATGTAAATGGGTACGGAAAAAGAGTACGGAACGTTCCGTAGTTGGCAAGTACGGACGGTCCAGGCAAATTATTGACCAGACATGTTCCGTACTTTTTCCGTACTTTTTTCTCACAGTGTCCTCCGCTCCTATCGGCCCGCAGGTGTCATGCAGGTGCAAGCGTCCTGCGAAGAAAATTAAAATCACGTCAGATAACTTTTTCTTGAGACTCACCCTCTCATCCTTGCACTGGTGAAACAAAGGCATAAAAATTATGCCCTTAAAGGGCGTAAACGATTCACGCCCTTAAAGGGCATAAATCGTTAATGCCTTTGGGAAGGCCATTAAAATTTTGCTTGAAATTCCCATACCATTTACGCCCTTCCCAAGGGCATAAAACGATTTATGCCCTTGCAAGGGCGTAAAAGAGCATTTATGCCCTAAAGGGCGTAATTTTTATGCCTTTGTTTTACCAGTGTGTTCCGATGTGGTGAATCGGAAGAGTTCGATACCTCCTAACGAGAAGCGCTTACCGGGACCCATGCCAATACATAACCGCTTACCAGCATAGGAAACCCTGCAGCGGTAAGCGGTTATGAATCGGCATAGGTGCCGGTACGCGCTTCTCGTTAGGGTCTTATGTGAAGGCGGTGAAGCCGCCTGAAACACTGGTAAAACTAAAGCGTAGTATTACCCTCTGTTTTCAAGCGTAATCAGTTTACGCTTGAAATCAAGCGTAAGACACTGTTAAAAAAATTTTTTAGTCAAATTCCTATACATGTATATGAAGCTATTTACATATACACGTATAGGAATTTTACCATGCACTCGTATAGTAATTTTCCTATACATCGGTACGGCATTCTCCTATCCCTCGTGTAGGATTTTTCCTATAAAAATATGCTTTTCTTTCGAAACAGAACGTTTGTAGTTCGTCATTACGAAAGTTGTGTAACCTTCCCGATGCAGCAGAGATTTTAAAAAATGTTGAGAACTTTCAGAGAAAAGCCGCGCGCAGTGTTTTGATAGGTTCTCTCAACATTTCATTTTTTTTTCCTCTAACGACTAACAAGACAGAGGGTAATTTCGTTTTTGGTAAAAAAAAAAACAACATAAAAACATGTTATTAAAAAAAATCTAGTTTTAACCTTTTTGACCGCCTTTCTATTTGCGGTAAAGCCTGCGGTGCACCGCACCTAGCGAAATTTTACAAACAAATGTTAAATTCATTAAAATTCATCGAAATTTTTCTTATAGTTCAGTAGTTTTTGCCCAAAATTCAAGTGAAATTAATGAGATGTGAACACCGAAATTCACAGTCATTTCCCCTTGATCTAAACGTGTACGTGAACGTGTGCGGACTCCACACCAAGGTGCCACATTACTTAGCTCTTGACATCACAAGGTCGCAACCGATAACGTGTTTTACAGACCTAAAAGGTGCTACACAGTGGGCCAGAAGACCGGGGCCGGAGGCCAAAGCGCGATACGCGTTTTGAGCTCCACAGTCGCTACACGGGCCTCGAACCGAACGTGTGACCCCACCAATTGATTGCTCTACGAACGAGGTAGGGTCCATTGGTAGGGTCTCATTCTGGGTTCGAGCCCTGTTACCCGACTCTTTTGGCCGCCAGAGCCGGTCTTCTGGCCCACTGTGTGCTACCTGTCTATTTTTTGGAACATTTCTGTTGGAAACCTCAATTTAATCTTTCTTCGGCACCAAGTTCGGCCCGCTCTCTAAATGCATCAAAAGGTTACAGCAAAAAAAAAGAAAGAAAAAAAGACGTATTTTGGTGAGTTATTGAGGGATTCAGCGTGGCACGCTGCGGGACAATTTGGGAAATTAGTTCACAATGCTAAAAATAGACAATGATGACGTGATAACGGCATAGATTACTGGCGATTACCAGTCAAGTTGTACACAGGATACAGGATTACGGGTGAGGCGGCTCCCTCGCTGCTTGTTTCGGGCCGCTGTATCCAAGAAGGCGGATAGAGCCAAATCACACATCGCGTATCACTGTCAGGCCCTCTCAAGTTGCATGATATAGCGGAAAAAAGTGGCTTCTTACACTCGGCACGGCACGAGAGGCGTGCTTCCACACAGAATAAGTAGCAAACTGCAGTGTCCGCTCCGCAGTCTGAGTACATCGAGCACGGCGCTCACTTCGGAGATAAAATGGTCACGTCCACAAAGAAAAGTGAGAATCCGGCAGAGATAAGCAAAGTTCTTCATGCAAAAACGAGGGGGCAACCACTTTTGATGTTTTGGGACACTAGAACTCTTAAACGAAGAGATTTCGTGGGACTCCGCAGGATTCCGGCCAAATTTGCAATTTTTTTTTCCTTTTTCGAGGGGGATTTCGGTTTTTCAGTTATATCCGGTGCTGAAGTGGCCATGCATGGCCCATGGGATTTCACTAGTGGTTGCTGCCTCAAGCAGAACATTAGCATTTTTCTCTTTTGTTCTAGAAGTCGTTGTCGTCGGCGCTCTAGTTTTAGTCATACTTGTTATTGTGTTATGCGCTGTGTTTTTGACCAAAGGCGCGGAAACGGGGTAAGATTTTTTTCCCGTCTGCCTCATTATGCTTGGGCCAGCTCTATCGAAATTTATCATAGTATCATGTTATTCGCTTTTGCATCAGATCTTTAAAAGAGGCGGTTGTGACAACTAAACAAGGAAAGCTAGCGGGGGAATGGGTAACCGCAGAAGATCCACAACACTTTACCTACGCAGCGTTTCGGGGGATTCCGTACGCCCAGCCTCCACTGGGAAACCTTCGGTTCAAGGTAAGCTATCTAGCTTTCTAGCGCAGATCGAAAAAGGCCTTCGTTTGCAGCTTGCAAGCACAGAACTCCACGATTCCACAATAGCAAGGCTTTGTCAAAAAGTCACATATAGATACTACTAAGCAACCCTCTTTTCTATTTAAATATCGTCCCAACTGGCTTGAATGAGTGAAAAGTACGTGTCAAATATGTTCAGTTAGGAAGCCAAGAGCCTGCAGACTTTTCCTTTGTGAGAAAATATATTAAAACATGATGTTGCCTCTCTAAGATTGAGTTAAAATCTTTTTTCTAGGGGCCCAAGCCGTTCCCACCATGGGAAGGCGTACGACCTGCAACCACAGAGGGAAATCCTTGCTTTCACGATGCCACTACAGGTTCCGAAGATTGTTTATACTTGAACGTATACACACCACGAATCCCATCCGCCGAGGTAAATAGGTTTCTTACTTTCCGAGGGGGTATATGGTATGCACTCGCGCGTAATAGACGGACCATATTGATCGTAATAACACGCGACATTGCCGAAATCCACACGACCAAAGGGCAAACTACCCCGAAAATTTTTGTAGTTATTTCAGATATAAGTTATTCGATCGTTCGATGTTTTTCGATGATTCGCAGTTATTTCAATGTTGCTTTAAGGGACCCGTACACCAATATTCAAGTTGTTTCCCCCTCGCTCATAATTTTACCTATTTTGAGGTTGTTTTGGTCAGTTTCTATCCAAATCCCGGTAATTTTGAGGCGTAATTGAGGGTATTAGACGCAATATTCTGGTAACTGGTTTTCTAAGTGCATTCCCCCGTCAAAACTTCAGTAAAAATTAAAAAAAAAACATCAAGTTTCTCATTGACGCTTTTTTATTATTTTTTTTAGAATAATCCTCAAATGGCTGTGTATGTATTTATCTATGGTGGGGCATTTCAGCGCGGAAGCAGTTCTGCCGAAGATTGGGGACCAGATTTTCTGGTTACCCAGGACATTGTAGTTGTAACTATGAATTACAGAACAGGAGTATTTGGTAAGACTATCGATGAAATGTTGAAACAGATGATCAAATAACTTTCATCTGTCCAGTAAAGGATTTTTTTTCATTATTTTATCTTTATTTAGCAAGTTTGTCTCTTGATACGGACGAGGTGCCCGGCAACTCTGGTATGAAAGATCAGCTACACGTCCTGCGATGGGTAAAGGAAAATATAGAAGGTTTTGGAGGGGATCCCTCGAAAGTGACTCTCGGCGGTCATTCTTCTGGAGGCGTGCATGCCAGTTGGCTAACTCTTGTGCCACAAACCAAAGGTAGGATGATTTCTCGCCTGCTCAGTGAGACGATCGGCGCAGGCGGCGAAAACTCTCGACGCGTTTTGAGCTCTTGAGTCGCTAAACAAGATTCAAACCGAATGTGACCTGAGACCCCTCCAATGGATTCCTCATTCGGAGAGCAATCCATTAGTGGGGTCACTCTGTTGGAGCCCCATCTAGAGCTTCAAACGCATCTCGAGTTTCGGCCGCCTGCGCCGGTCTTCTGGCCCACCGTGGCATACTAAAAACTTTGCACAGCTTCAAAAAAGTCTTAATTGCCCCTCAAATTTCAGGTTTGATTCGAGCTGCTATCATACAAAGTGGCACAGCTCTCTGCGGTTTGTCAATCCCCAAAACAAATATTGAGTTGGCCAAATTGGTTTATGAACAGCTGACCGGTACGACAACGGATGATAAATCAGCAATGACGAGCGTGTTCAAGTCTGCTGGTATGTTGGATCTTTATTACGCCGGTGCAAATGCATCTTTGATAATGAAACAGGCCAAGGGCCTAGGGGTGAGTTGACATTTAATGGCACTTCGAGTACTGCAGAATGCAATTGCGCCATTTGGCTCTGCTCCAGTAGATGAAAACATCTGGGTTTAGAAAGTTATCAAAACATGAATAAAGATCTTTCCGTACAGATGGAAATGGCTATTGCCTACGCCCCATTTATTGAACAACGAGAACAAGGCGAAGAAGAGAAACTTATCACAAAAGACCCTGAAAGTTACATCATTGACAAGGACGCGAACAACATTCCCATAATCCTTGGCGAAACAGCGCAAGAATGGACTTTGGCATTCTCTCAGATAGGTATGACAAAATCCTTTTTTGTGTGTGTGTGACATCATCACATTTAATGCCTTATTCAAATGGTTTTATCGAGTGGGTATTTTTTAATTCAGATATGTTTGGGAACGAAACAAAACTGAATGAGCACATAGCAAATTTAACAACTTACGTGCCTAGAAGTATTATGCCTGGAAGCGATACTCAAGATTTGCTTAAAATTAAAGATTTCGTTCCTACGGTAAATGTTGACGAAATCGTTAAGAAACTTACAGAGTTTTACTTTAAGAACGATGATGACAAGCATTGTGGAACCAACTGCAAAATGGACAAGGTGAAATACTGATGTTTTATTTGATTTCTCCAAAGAACTTTCATAAAATTGTTGTCTTATCATGGGTCACTATCACCAGACCAAAAGCTGTGATGAAGCTGCGGATATATTTTCTGTTAACATCAGTTTCTTGTTTCAGTATTTGCATCAAGCTGCTATCAAGGCAGATACAAGCCACTTTCTTCGGCTAAGGTCCAAGTACATACAAGAGCCAACCTACGCTTATGTGTTTAATTTAAGAACGGATTACAATATCGACCTTTCAGCGCTGCCACCCCCTTTCCGATCTGGTATGCTTCAATCTTACCGTTTAAAATACATTTTAATGGCACAAAATTCATGAGATTGAACTTTATTGCAGACGTCGTTCACGCAGATGAATTAGGTTACATATGGAAGCAAAAACAGAACACGTACAGATACGGAAACGACACCGCAGCAATTGCTTCACGGCGCCTCGTCCGTATGTTAGCAAACTTCGTCAAAGAGGGGTAAAAGCAATTTTTATGCTTCACTGCTAAAAAAAACACAACAAAGAAAGAAGAATTCCTGGCTTTGTTTCTATCTGGAACGTTCTTGATAGAAACAATCCGTGCGAATTGTACTTTCAGAGTACTACAATAATTGTACAAAGAAAAAAGGAACCGGCACGAATAGTATACAGTCCAGTCAAAGCCTCGATGTAACTTACTTTGTACAATTCTCGTTGTTCTTTTGATGCACTGTTCACACTTTTACTTACATTACAGTGACTGTTTTAGTTTAAACTGGCAGGAGTGAAAAATTGTTTTTTTTTCTTTTTTCAGGAATCCAACACCAAATATTGACGACGTTATCAATGTCAAGTGGCAGCCCGTGACGCATGGAGCAGAGGAGACGTATCTCGAAATAACGGCGAACCTCGAAAAGCGAACGGCTAGCATGGCCGACTCGGAGATCTGGTCTGACATTTATTCATCGTTTCGAGCATATAAAAGCCCATGACTTGGCGCTCCCTTCAAAGTTGTGAATCCTTTCGTTGAAATAAAACAAAATCAACTTTTGAAATATCCGCAATATTGTTCCATACATCCACATTTAACAGAGCTGAACGTTGAACGGACGCGTGTTGCAGTGGATTTTGGATGAGGGTATGAACCAGATGACTCAAGAGTACCTTCTTTAACATAAAATGAGAACATGTCAAAATGTTTCTTTTCAAAGTAAATATTATGCTGCCAAATTTCACATTAAATATCCTCTCTGTCAAAGACAGAGAGTCCCCCCCGGAGCCCCCGTCGAGCCCGTCCAGCCCCAGTGCAGGGACACACAAAAGACCAAAAACTAAGGGCCCAAAACTAATAAACTACAAACAAATTGGCAACCCTCAAAAGGACCGACGACGGGGTGACCCGGGACGACGGCGACAAAGTCGCGTATCGGTACACTGCATAGAAAGGCGTCCAGGGCCGCCGCAGAGCCACAGGCCCCTGTGTTTACTTACCAGCCTGGCCCGACCCGGTCGCTGACCAGGCAAGTCTGGTCGGCGCGCGGTCCAGTGACGAGGCGGCGCGGCGGGACGACAAAGACAGTGACGGGAGCAGCGCCGCGTGCACGTTGCTTATATCCTTGCTGCAGACGGCGGGGCCGAGCCGCAACATTGTGCCGACATTGCAACAAGTGTGTGATAAGACCACGCACAGAAAACAAGTCGGAATTCGTCGAAGAAAACGAACGGAGCCATTGTGAAATCTACGAAGAAATGCATCGCAGTGTATTTTGAAGCAAAATCCTTCGTACCATACATTTCTTCGTAGTACGAAGTAAGAATACTCTGCAAACTCAACAGTGTACTCAGTACACTCTAGTTAGAGTGTGCTCATGAGTACACTCTAACTAGCGTGTACTCAGATGAGTACACACTTTCAGCTGCATAAATTGCCAGGCGTGCTTAGGTGTGTACCCATCTGAGTACACGCTAGTTAGAGTGAACTCATCTGAGTACACGCTAGTTAGAGTGTACTCATCCGAGTACACGCTAGTTAGAGTGTACTCATCCGAGTACACGCTAGTTTCATCCGAGTACACGCTAGTTAGAGTGTACTCATCCGAGTACACGCTAGTTTCATCCGAGTACACGCTAGTTAGAGTGTACTCATCCGAGTACACGCTAGTTAGAGTGTACTCATCCGAGTACACGCTAGTTAGAGTGTACTCATGAGCACACTCTAACTAGAGTGTACTGAGTGCACTGTTGAGTTTGCAGAGTATCTTCAGTTTTTCTGTACTGTACTCGAAACACACACGCACCGTCGACTTTTCAGCGCTTTTCAGAGTGCGCACCGCACTAAACGTGTGCTCAAGATTTACAGAAAAATGTGGCCCACTTGTCTCTGCCACCCCGACCCCTCCAGGGGCCGTTATCCACCCACAGTTGGAGCACACTAAATTACTTTGTAGGCTTTTCTGCGCGATAATGCACGACATTAAACATGCTCTTCGTAACGCACGAATTTGAGCGCGACAATGCACGATTTCCAGCATACTTGCGCACGAAATCGTGCATTTCCTGCATACTTGCGCACGAAATCGTGCATTGTCGCGCACAAATTCGTGCGTTCCGAAGTGCACGTTTAATTTCGTGCATTAGCGCGCAGAAAAACCTACCTAGTAATTTAGAGCGAGTCCTGTTTGTTAGCGACTCTGGCGCTCAAAAGGCGTCCGCGGGATTTTGACCACCTCCACCGGCCTTCCCGCCCACTGTGCGCCCCCCACGCACTCCTTTTCTCCAGCCAGGAGGCGCGTCGAGGGGAAGGTGGTGGTGGTAGGGTAGGGTGGGGGGATGCAGCGCGGCCGACGGTCAGGTCAGGCCGCCCGCGCCCCGCGCGAGGCGTGCCAGGCGGCGTGGCAGTGTCGCGTTGGCGGTCGTCCTGGAAGGCGGGAGGCCCGCGCCGCCGGACGGCCCTATTGGTAGGAAGTCCTGCGCACAAGGATTATTCGGCTATTCGCCGGAAGGAGTTCCTGCCTTTATGGAGTGTGTTGGCTATCGACAGGAAGGGATTCCTGCGATTGTCTCGGCTTCTGACTATTTGCAGGGATTGTTCAAGAAATAAATATGTTCCTGCCAATAGATTGCGTGAATCAAAAATGCAGGAATTCCTGCGCATTTTTATAAGAGATGCTATTTACAAAAATTCCTGCATATTTCCATTAAAAGTGCTATAAACAAGAATTCTTGCGGATTCACAAATAATATGTTATTCCCAGGAACTTTGGCCCATTTCAAGTACTATGCACATCAAATGGCCATCTAAGTATATATTTATTTTGGTTCTTTTGGCTGAGTTCTAGGTATCTGTCAATAACTATATTAATGCATCCCATAATATACATTTATTGAACTCGTCAGCAATATGTCACAAGATTACACATTTAAATTAGAGGATAATGACAATAAGATGCCTACAGACCACCATTGGAAGTACACGGAAATTCAACCGTTTTGCAAGCTTGTTTTGCAAAATTGTGGCTGTAAATACTCATAAATAATTACAAGAGACACACCTACAACTACAATACAGCTTCAATAAGTTCAGGCATTTATGCTCTACTTCAATACACGGACATATCACAATAAAATTCCTTATTCCTTAATAAAGATCACAAAATTTTATCTTGAGAGGAACTGTTTATAGTCTTCCCAACAACATAACAAGAACAAGAACCCTGACTAAATCACTAGTCTAAAACTCTTAGGTGTTTTCGAGCAGTAAAAATACTTTGATATTAAGGCACTTTACAGCATTTTTCCTGATACATTGCTATAATTTACCCATGAAAATAATATTCTGCGTTCAAGAAATGACAACTTGATCTCAACCAGTCTTAAGAAATTGTGCTCACTGGGAAAATTGCTTACGTATATTTTTTTATCAGAGCAGAAGTTTTGCTTTTTCTTCTTCAGGAAATATTTAAGAGCACACCTGTGATTAATGAGAGTTAGGAATTGAATAAAGCTAAATAACAAAGAAATTATAAGACTAGTATATAAAAGTATATAAGACCACAAAGATATGATAATGTAGTAATGTTTTGGTAACCCTTGAAATAGAGAAGGCACAGAGGCATATGTAAAACACTACACCATTTCCACTGTGGAGAAGACCGATGGACTTAGCAGCATTTGCTGCAACTCCAATGTCTTTTGCTTGGATTTTTAGTGAGGCCTTCACATTTCATGTGGTAGTACATGCGGCAGGTGCTGCACTTCACCAACATTTTGTCGAAGTGGTCTGGAAGGCGACACTTGCAGTAGACCTTCACGAATGACCACTTGCTGGAGCTTCCTTTCTTCAGCTTTGGTGGCTCTCCCCGCTGAGGAAATCTTTCCATCCTACCTCTTTGCATGCACTGTAGAAAATGTGGCCTTAATCTGTCAGTATCAAAAGTAGTCTCCTTTATCTCCCTGGTGAAGCAAAATTCAGTGGACAGAGCAATAGCTAGTGGCCCACAATCCATAGTGGCTCCTTGGTCCTGACAGTGGGGGAAATATACTTTAAATTCTGTATGGTCAGTGTGCATCATGAGAGCAACTTGCTGCTCTGCAAAACTTGACAGAGAAAAATTGTTCAGAGTGTCCAGGACTGTTGCTTTGCCGTGAGGACCTGACAACAAAGGAACATTAAATGTAGTCAAATCAAAAAGTGATACAGTGCTGTTAAACCTAACTGGATTTTTATATTTTCCCAGTCCCTGATAAGTGGCAAAGGAAAAGATTATTTTCAAAAGAACATAGTTACCATGTTTAGATGGTAATTTCTTTTTCAGTTCAATACGGTTATTCTTTCTTAAATTAAAATTACATTTGTGGCAAAATATTTATGTTTTGATGATGCTACTGGTTTTTAACATACCCTTCAAAATTATACAAGTGAGCCAATGCATATGGCCATTTGATATAATTTGGACATAGTCACTTCCTGGACGTCTTTTAGGATACTGAATTACATTCGTAGTAATATCCTTCTCCTGTGCTATAGGAGGTTGCAGCCCATCCACATCTGGAAACTGATCCTGCAGCATTCTTATAGCTGCAATGATATGAACATCAGTGAGCATGGCTCCATTAAGCAGCAACCTTGTGTCGTTACGGCCCCATCCAGTAACTGAAAATGTAATGCATTGTCATTAAATGGCATACTTTTTTCAAAATTCACTCAAAAAATAATAAGTACCTCGAATGTAGTTGCAAGGGTCACAAAAAGCGTTTTTATGTGAGATGCACCTATTGTGGCTGTATTGGCGGCAGTTGTTACATTCAGAGCTGTCGTCACTGTCTCGAATAGCTCTGTGGCAGGTATGACACTGGCACAGATGGTTCTTCGTTTTGGGTTTCTTGCACCTCTCACAAAGACAGCGCCTACAAACTCTTACATCCTCATCAACCATCACACCTGAGACACTTGGAATGGAGCATTCTGTGTCCTGATGCACTACCTTCTTGCACAGTGAGCAAGTCGAAATAAGCGCACCCTGCTGAATAATTTTGTTACAAGCACCACATTCATTGAGTAGTCTAGGTTGTCGAGTTGATCCACCTGTTCAATTAGAAAATATTGTATTACTTTTTTTTCACTATAAAAAAGCTATTTTTGTGAAACTTTCTTACCTTTTTTCTCTGGTTTCTTGATCCGAGGATTTCCACTCACATTATGACTCGGCAATACAAGACTAGACAATTTAGACACATCCCTGATCACTATTCTCCTAGAGTTTGCATTATTTTCTGAAAAGTAAAATTTGATTTATGCATTTAACATAAAGAAACTAGGATTTTCACACAATAGTAAAATATAAAGGTCAAATCAATATTATTTAATAATTTCAGAGTCTACCTTCATTCTGCTTGACGACCTCATAAATTTTATAAATATGTTTACATGGAGCCTTTCTGTATCGGAAGTCCTGACATGAGCAGCTGAACATGTGGCTGCATGGAGGCTCAGCACATGCACTTATTTTGCACAATTGCTGCTTCTCGATGACTTTATAGGATTGATCCTGATCGGTACTTGAAACTACAATCCAAGAATTGTGGGAATGCTCTTTGACATTTGCATCAGGAATTTCTTTACCCTTTTTTCTACGAGCTTCCTGGGCGCTTTTATCCAGAGGTTTCAGAGGTCCTGTAATGGATAGGTAAAGTCCATGACAACTGGGCATTGGTGCTACAGGTTTGATTATTGATAAGTGAGTGTAAAGTACCTTGGTTTGTCTGAGGGAGAGCGAAGGAGGGCTGATGCTGCAAAATCTTGTTTGCTGCAGAATTGGTTGATGGAGTCATTCCTTGAGGGTTCCTTTTAAATTTATGAATGGACCCACCAGAATTTTTTTCAGAACCTGGCTCCTGCTCCTTGTTTGCCCCAGAGTTGGTTGGTGAAGTCAATTCTTGGGAGCGCCTTGAAGGTGAATGTATGGATAACCCATCCAAATCTTGATCATGCACAGAGTTGGTTGGTGAAGTCAGTTCTTGGGAGCGCCTCAAAGATGTATGTATGGATAATCCATCTGAATCTTCATCAGGCTGTACTACAGTGTTGGTTGGTGACGTCAATTCTTGGGAGCGCCTTAAAGATGTATGTATGGATAATCCATCTGAATCTTCATCAGGCTCTGACACAGTGTTGGTTGGTGAAGTCAATTCTTGGGAGCGCCTAATAGATGTGTGTATAGGTGACCCATCTGATTCATCAGTAGCAGTCTCTTGTCCTCTTTGATCATTCCTCTTTGGAGGATTTCTCCTGTCAAAATCTGAAAAGAAATGTGTTAGCTTTCCTGTGCAATCACATGATAAGATGATGAAATATGAATACTGACCAGCTAGAAGTTGGGAAAGAGTTTTCCCTTCACTTATTTGCTTTTGAATTAACACATATTCAGGGTCATTATTGGCAGAATTAGTAGTGAATACAAATTCATCACAACTAGGTAGTGATAGTGACACATTTTCATCAGGACTACTATTGCCAGGAATATTCTCAGTTGGTGAGTCCGAGATATGAGAGTGGGTCTCGTGTAATTCAGGAGAGCGTCTTGAGGACATGTGGAAGCTTCCATCTGACTCGGGATCTGAGGGCCCAAACATATCAGGACTGCCAGGTGGTTGCATCCTTGCTGATGATGCTCTGCTTTTTATTTCATAATCTGAAATGAAATTTGTTAAATGGTGCTTTAACTGTGACCCTATGAAATGTCAACATAAGAACACTCACCTGACACGAGTTCGGCAAGAGTCTTTTCTTGATCATTGTTTGAAGGCCCAATTTCACCACCACTGTTAGCAGAATTATTGAGTGGTGATCTATTTCCAAAAATGTTAGGAGATGATGTATTTTCACCGGGACCATTTTGGGAGTGTGGGATTGCATCCTCTTGATAATGTCCCTCTCTAACATCTACTGCATTGCAATGGAAACATTTTTCCCACCGATAAAATGGGGCTGTAGGATGGCACCGGCAGACATAATAGAAACGTTTATAGTTCCTGCTTCCCTGTTTCTTAACAATCTTCCTGCAAAAAATGTAATGAGAAGATTAAACAATGTTTCATGAGGTCTTAGGATTTTTTTGTGTTTGAAAAGGTATGACAAAGTTTTTACCGGGGTATTGCTACTTCGCAATTCTTGCAGGTTACCATGTATATATCTGAAATGAAACCATATCTATAAGCCTCAGAGTTAACCCAGAAATTTACAAAAAGATGCAAATGTTCAAAGCTGTTTACCTGGGGGACACTTTTGGGCTCCCAAATCATCTCTCAAATTATGAGTGCCTGAAGTTTCTGTATTTGATGAAATGTGAACTTCCTCTGTTGTTCTGTCACTAGCAGTGGGTTCAACATTATGTGTTTCAGAATTTTGAATGAATTCCACTGTTAAAATTTTAGAAGGATTACTTGTGAAAAATATATATCTCAGACACCTGCAGGACATTAAATTAAGAAAACTTACTATCAATTACACCATTGGCTGAGATGGGTAGAACTATGCATTCCCTCTTGCTCATCCACAGCTTCAAAATATTCTCCAAAGCCTCCATTCGTTGCTCAAATTGCTGTCCACCAGTCAGAGACAGCAAACTGGAGATTTCAGTGCACACTTCAAGAGCTTTTTTGTACTTAGCTGCTTTGTCCATAGGTCGTGGTCCTAATGGGTGGCGCCTCATAGAGACCCTAACTTGACCCCCATTTTGAAGTTCTCTAACTGGACTTTCATCTTCGTCAGGGTCTTGGTTTCTGTTGTCAGTCTTTAGCCACCTTAATGGTACATCAGCTACCACAAACAACTCATGTCCTGTTAATAAAATAGAGAAAAAAAATTGAAAGCTTTGCAGTGAGGAATATTTTATGGTAGTAAATGAAATTAATTCACACTATTTGAATCTAACATTTGGAGGATAAATACTTTACCTGAATTACGTCTTTGAAAAAAGATGTGAGCGCAATGTTTCATGCCAAACATCTTGTAGAAATTGCAAGAGCACAAGTTTTCATCCTCGGTTACAATGTCAGGACCTTGGACATAGTCTGGGGAAGCACTCTTTTTCAGTTCACTAACTAATAACCTGCCTCCCCAATCCGAGAGGGAATCGAGGATGAGTTGAACATCAGGATCTCGGTTGTGCGCAATGTAGGCCTTAGATGCCATCTCTCTGAAGTCTTTGTATGCACTATCAAACTCCCTAGACTTGTGCAGTCTCAGCAACTGTCTAATGAGATCAGCAACTGTTTGTGTCCTGTTGATTACAGATTTAATCTTGCCATTGTGAGATTCCACATGTTGATTTGATCTGATGCCAAGTGACAGAGAGGCATTCCTGACATACAATATCCAGGCTGAGTCAATATCTTTCCAGAATTTGTCAAAGTACTGGGTCATAAAGTTCTCTGATGCTACAGTTTGTAGTTTTGAATACAGTTCTAAAAATTCTTCTTTGCTTTGACAGACACTCATCTGCTTCACAATCTTGAAAATTTCTGGACCATTATCCTCCTTCTTAGTTTTTCTCTCAAAGATTCTCAAGACATGTGTGTGACAAAGATGCACATGAACATGTGGAAGGACCTTTTTAATGCCTCCAATTTCTTTGTAATCTTTGTCCACTAACACTGTTTTCACATGTGGCATCACATCCTCATTAGCCTTGGCGAAGGTTGCTATGCTTGCTTCAATAATATCCTTCGTCTCTCTCCGAACAAGAACATAAGCCACAATTCTCCCATTCCCATGATTATCTACCACTTGCATCACTACAAGGTGCATGTTATGCTTGTTGGTATCGTAAGTAGTGTCCATCCCAACAATGTCTGGAAACCGCCGCAGATTTTCTCTCATCTCCGAAGTTTGAAAAATTATAAAGTCAATAGGTCTAGGTTTCTCAGCTTCATCTCCATCCTCTTCTTCTTCTTCACTCTCTCCCTCATCAACATAACCGATTTTGTAAAAGGATCCAGGATCTTCCTCCAGAAGATGGTTCAACTCAGCCAGCAGATCCTCTTCATCGGTTTTCCCTTTCCTGTTTTTCTTTTTAATTTTTTGCCTGCAACCATGAAATATGATAATGAGTCAGTATAGCTTAGCAAGCTCGTTACAATCATTTGAAATTGGTCAATATCATCTTAAGGCAAAGCATAGTGCTTTTCGCCCCTATTATCACTCAAAAAGAAATAATACACACACTCTACACAATTGGTTGAAATAAATTCAAATAAGACGTTGCCTCTGAGGCCCTTGGCTTCACTCAGTAAGACTCGCAAATTATGTAATTTTTAATATAAAAAAATCATTAATGGGAAAATAGGGCAAAAAGGCAACATTAAATCATATCTACAAGTAGAATTTCTTAGTGATATCAATCTAGTAAACCACAATCAATTCTGTGCCATCAATACTTCTATTCAGAAAAAAAAAACAAAAAAACTTTTGATAAAAACTATTTGCTTTGATATTTTTTTAAGAAAAGTATTAATGCCACAGTATTGACACGGTGCCTTGTTTACTTACTGCAGGTTTGAGAAGTCCTTTGGAGTCATTTTTTTTCTCGTGGTGCTTCTCACATGAGATCTGATGTGCATTGGCTTTGCTCCACATAAAATCATATTGTCAACAGTTGTTTCAGTCTCTGCATCAACTCGTCTATTCTCAGGATAGAATGCAGCAAAATCCTCCGTTTGCAAATGTGAGTGTTTCTCCCTTAAGATTGTAATCTGCAGTCTCTGAGTTGGATGCCTCACAGCTTTCAAGGTGATCTGTGCAGGGCACCCTATTTTCATCGTCCTGCAAGCAAATCACATGTCAGCAGCGTCTGATAATTACAACATCGAAACTTCTGAAATTGATGATTATATTTTTAATGAACAAAATGCAACTATTTCTCTTTATTGTAACGTAAAACACAATGTGAGAAGATGGTAAAATGACCACTAGAACAGGCAAACTGACAAACTACCTAGCTTTGTACAGATGGCTAGAAAGGTGGACTTTTTGATTTAGTGACTTACCGCTGGTGAGGGCGTAAACCCTTGCTTGACGATGGTCGATAATAGCCTCCACTTTTGCATGTTAAGGTGAGGTTTTTGTACTTGAGGGCTTCAGCGTAAGGCTCCTCTCCTGCTTTCAGATTGTTGTTGGCTATGGCTACAGCCTTTGAAGATGCAGTTGTAAAAAGAACGTTTTTTTCCCTGTTATATATGTCTAGAGCCTCTTTAAACTCAGCGTAAGAAGAAAAATACGCTCCTTGCCGTATTCCCTCTGCCGGCCCCGCCATGGTGGAACGACAGACACTGAGCAGGTTCCCTTGACGGACAGGGCCAGATCACATTTCAAAACAGTGCCCTCAGTCCACAGTAGAGAGCGCCACTGTCGCCTCCACAGTAACCAACCTACTGATTCTCATTCCCTCAGCTAACCAGAATTTAAATATAATAGCCGGTATACACAACTATCGGCTCTGCTTGAGAGTCTCATATTTTTATGGTAAACCTACATTGAATCAGAAGACTTCATCGTTCACGATGAGAAACGCCAATAGACACAGTGAAGCGGAACTGTGTAGGTTGGTATTGGAGGGGGATTCTGCGGAAGCGGCACCCCCGCGATAAGAGTCGGGGAGCTGTTTGAAATATGAATCGACACCGACAAACAAACGTGTCCCGACGTGTTTTTCGTCGCCCCATGGCAGAGGCAGGGGCAATACAGCTTGGGTCGTCGTTTCCGTCTGAGATAGGTTAGGTATCTCTGTGTATTGCTTGTTACAAAATTATTCAGATTGGCTTGGGCGAAATGGGGGATGACCATAAATGCCAGTGTCGCCATGGTGTCACACCTGCCACAGAGCTTATGGAGATAGTGGAGGGAGACATGTGGGCTGAGACCTGTGATTTTCCCTAATGAAATATTTTTTTGCGATTTATTTATTGTTATTTTTTTGCGATTTATTTATTTTTAAGCATCAGAGATGAAGTAATTATGGACAGACTTAAAATAATTTGCTAATCTATAAATATTCCTGCCAATAGTGTTAATGTTTTAATTCGACAGGAATTCCTGCGGATTTGAATGAAGTACCTGTTTGCAGAAATTCCTGCGCGCAGAGCTTGCGAGGCTATTCGCAGGAATTCCTTGCAAAGTGAATTCCTGCGAATAGAGATTTCGTTCTTAATCGCAGGAATTCCTGCAAACAATTGTCGTTAGGCTATTCGCAGAGATTCCTGTGAATAGGCACGTCCCGCGCCGCCGCTTCCCGTCCGCGCCGCGTCGTGGTCGCTGTCGCGTCGCGCCCCCTTATTCAGTGGGCCGGATGTGGTCAAAATCCCGGACGCGTTTTGAGCTCCAGAGTCGCTAAATGGGACTCGAACCAAACGCGTGACCCCACCAATGGCTTGCTCTCTGCACGAGGAATCCATTGGTGGGGGTCACACGCGCTGTTTGAGTCCTGTTTAGCGACTCTGGAGCTCAAAACGCGTCTGGAGTTTAGGCCGACGGCCACTGTGTCTTGGTATACCGGGTTGTCGGGGGCTCCAGCATTAAGTTTCGGAGGTGGCCATGAACTTTTGTCTACCTTCAGGCGGTGGTGATACGTGCTTGTTGCCTACTTTCAGGCCGGGACCAGACCTGGGGGAGTAGGCTACGAAGTTCACCTGTTTGAAAATGTGTCAGACCACGTATACAATTGTACAAATTACATTAGTGTGTTCCCGAGAGGTTTTCTCCGATTCTTCGACATAAGTTGCTTTCTCGTTATAGGAATGTCGATTGAAATCATTCTGGTGGACCCAGCTCCGTTTCTATTCATCGGCCATTAGATTCTCCCTGACAATTAAGTTTCTTAATTCGAATCCTTTGTCCAATGACTTCAAATTGAGTATGGGCAGCCATGGTGTTTTCTGACTTCACACTAAATGTTTTTGTTCAAATTTGAATGTGGTCTCACTCAATGCGCAACTCTGCGAGCTTTTTCGTAGAGATTTGTACGCAATTTCGCACGAATTTGGGTGAACCCGCGTGCCAATTTATACGAAAAACTTCGCATGTGTCAAATTGTGAGACCCCATTCAAAATTGTACGAATACATTTAGGGTGGACGTTTCTATCGCGTAGGTCACTCCTGTCGCAGCATGGCGAAGCCTGGCCATATTTTAAAATCGTTGTTAATTGTTGTGATTCGTCTCATTAGAGCTCGTTTGTTGTACTTAATCATGAATGGTATGAGCCGGAAACGACTTGCATTGAATATTTTATTGGTTGATTAACTGAGTGTTTCATGTCTGCAGGTTGACCACTGTGGCAAAAAACTACGGAAAATTCTGTAAACAGCTTGTGGCGATTCTCCGTAGCCTTCTTGTCAGTATTCTCCGTAGGCTCTTACAGTATTTTCCGTGCGGCCCTACGGAGAATATTGATAAGAGGGCTACGGAGAATCCTGGCAAAAAAATTAACAGAATTTTCCGTACCTTTTTGCCACAGTGTACGAAAGAACCGGCGCGACGGAAGACCCAAGAAGCACTGCAATACGCACGCTTAAAACCTTCTGAAGTATTTTGAGCACACAGTACAAACTTATAAAGTTTGTCAAACGAAGAAATAGTTCGCAAATTACGAAATATTTTCTTTGTAAGCTCATGTATGCTCAAAATACTTTATTATGACAAGCTACTTTTGAAAAAAGTTTGTAAGGTTTTCACAGCGCGCCGAATCATTTTTTTCTCACTGTCGTCATCTGTTCTACAAGTATCAAAAGAAATATTCCGAAACAATATTTTGCGGTTTTTGTAGTGTGGGGCTGAGTAAAGCCCCTGTCGTACGGCGCTATTCGTCGCGGAAGACAGTCGAAACGAAATTCCTTGCGCAATGTTTTCTATTTTCTTTTCCTTCTTTCTGCTTTTTCATGAGGTTGCAGACTTAAAAGTAAGAGTTCACTGTGAGAAAAAAGTACGGAACATGTCTGGTCAATAATTTGCCTGGACGGTCCGTACTTGCCAACTACGGAACGTTCCGTATTTTTTTCCCGTACCCATTTTCATGGGTTCCGTACTTTTCTCCGTACCTCCGTACAATATTTTTCTGTACCATTTCCGTACAAAAGTACGGAATTTTTTACAGCGTTCCGGACTTTGGTACGAGAATTTTCCTTCGTGTCCCTTTCCCATCTGCGGCCTCACAAACCTGCTTGCATGTATTGTCAGATTACGTACTCTACCTATCGAAGTGTGTACATTCTTCTGGAGAAGACAAACTCCCCATGCCTTAGGCACTACGCAAGTGTCACAGTGGGCCAGAAGACCGGCGGGGGTGGCCAAAATCCAGGACGCGTTTGGAGCTCCAGAGTCGCTAAATGGGTCTCGAACCGAACCTGCGACCCCGCCAACGGATTGCTCTCCGAACGGGGAATCCATTGGTGGGGTCATACGGCTCAGCGGCTCTGGTGTCCAAAACGCGTCTCGTATTTTGGCCACCTCCACCGGTCTTCTGGCCCGCTGTACATGTTAACTGCAGTCAGCGCACACTTCAATGTACACCCTTCCATTGGTAAACTATCCAGAATTTAAAAATTTGGAGGTGGTGATGCATGTTCAAACAATGGGATGAGTGGTGGTGGTGGTGGCATTTATGCACAGATGCACTAAGACCAATAAGAAAGGCAGAACGGAACAAGTCATGGTGATGACCAAAGTTTGACCGCACAAAGAGGTTTGTCGAACAACTTTGTCGGCAAAATAAGGTGCTTTGGTCTTTATCATGATTTTTAATCTCCGAGATTTCTAATGTAAATTATTTCAGTTTCAGAAGCTGGTCAGTGGACACAGCAGGGATACCATACCATCAACTGCGTCGTGATGGGTGAGCTGCCATTAACATTACTTACGTTTCCCAGTTCACGACATCCCCTCTGGGCCAAGAAGGCCGGCGAAGGCGGCCGAAATTCTCGATGCGTTTTGAGCTTCAGATGGGACTCGAACCGATAGGTGACCCCTCCAATGGATTGCTCCCCGAACGAGAAATCCATCGGTGGGGTCACACGCTTGATTCGGATCCTTAGCGACTTTGGAGCCCAAAATGCGTCTAGAAATTAGGCCGCCTCTTACGGCCCAGTCCCCAATGTTACTCAAAGATACGCTGCTCTCTACAAATCGAAGAGCGTACATTGGATGCTGTACACTTTCATGCCAGGAACGTGACATCACGTTGAAACAAACGTGACGTCACGTTCGTTTGAGCATTGTGTCACGTTCGTTTGGATGTGAACAAGCTGATTTTTGGCCAATTCACACCCAAACGAATGTGACACAACGCTCAAACGGGACATTTTGTCACGTTCGTTTAAACGTGATGTCACGTTCCTGAAATGAGAGTGTAACTGGAGCATGCCTGCAAGCACGCTCTAGCTAGCGCATGCCTGCGAAGCATGCACTTGGTGCATACATGCTGTGCAGACCGTAACTGAAGCGCATCTAGTGCATACGGGATGAGTTGCCTACATCAGGAAGCGTGTACATGGCATGTATGCACTAGTAAGTGCATGCTTGCCAGACATGCGCTAGCTAGAGCGTGCTTGCAAGGCATGCTCCAGTTACAGCATACTATGCACGCTCTTCGAAGAGTGGCTCGACACTGTTGAAAAAGCCGTACTTTTTAAGGAAAAAGGTACGGCTAGACCGTACCTCACGGTGTACAGAACAACTGTACCAAAAAAACCGTGCTTCCCATAAAAGCCCATGTTATGAAAAACCGTACTCCGTACCCCAAAAGCCGTACTGGCTGAGGTACGGTGGTACGAGGCAAATTGTCTTCTAGACTGTGCCTGTACCTTTCCCCGTTGATTTTTTTTTTACAGTGGATGATCATGCAATTTGGTGCGTAGTCTCACTCAATTGTAAACATGTATGCTAATTTTTCCGCTCAAATTTGTACGCTGAGTGACACAAATTCGCACAAATTCGTGTGAAATAGGGCACGAAAAATCACTTATTTGAAAAATTGAGTGAGACTAGGACAAAAACTGCACAGAGGAATTTAGTGTGTTCACCTTCTTAATCATTGCGGCACTTTTTCAGGCCCCAGACCTGGTTACACTTGCTCGTGTTCGCAGGAGGACGGAAGCGACAGAGTAGAGAGGTAGGGTCAGGGCGGGGAAAAACTGGACAGGGGAAGAACTGGACACCCCACATTTTACTTCAAATGCCGTATGTACTGGCCTGACAACTGTCGTGTAATGAACCGCTGATGCCACGGAACAACTTTTGATAGTTGTTATTCCTGTGCCTACGGTATTTGAAGTAAAATATGGGGTGTCCAGTTCTTCCCCGCCCTGACACTATTTGAGAACATCTTTCAAATATTTTGAAGTGCATACGCTTAAAACTTGAAGAGGTAGTTTGAGCCTCTGCAAGGTACAAACTGTCGAGTTTGTAATACGTCATACAAAGAAAATCCTTTCCACGCTTAAAAACCTTACGAAGTATTTTGAACGTGTACGAATTAATTTACTTTGGTGTACGAAGTATTATCTTTGCAAGCTTAAAACCCCCGTTATAAAAAGCTGCTTTTCTTTGGAAGGCCTGCAATAGTATGTATGGTTTTCAGGGTGTCGTACACTGTGAGAAAAAAGTACGGAAACAGAACGGAACATGTCTGGTCAATAATTTGCCTGGACGGTCCGTACTTGCCAACTACGGAACGTTCCGTACTTTTGTTCCGTACCCATTAACATGGGTTCACATGGAGCAAGTACGGAACGTTCCGTACTTTTCTCCGTACCTTCCGTACTATATTTTTCTGTACCATTTCCGTACAAAAGTACGGAATTTTTTACAGTGTAATAAGAGGGAAAACCTCCTTTATATTATGCTCTTGCGCTCCTTCTTTCGTATCGTGGGAAATCAAGACATTTGGAACGCTTGAGAAAATCTGCTCTAACTGTGCTCCTCTCTGCTCTGCAGTCCACCGCTGGAGGCTCTCGTGGAGCGCGGGGCGGCGCGGCTCCACACTCGGCGGCGCTCCTCGCGGTCCAGGACCCGCCGCGACGTCGACGGTTGGCGATTCCGGGGATCCAAATCCTGTTCCCGCAGCAGCACATCTGGAACGGCGGCCCCGCGTCGCTCCTCCAGATCGCTGTCGCGGAGGACAGCGTCACCGCCTGGGAGTGACGAATCCCTCGCCAACCGCCTTGACACTTACTGGAGTTTTGCTGACTTCCGCTGATGAGTCACTTCACTTTTGATGTCATGGAAGTGTTTCCTGATCCCATGTACTACCACTTGCAAAAGGAAGCGACCTCCCGGCCGGGCCCGGCGCTACCCCGCACTCAGGTAGCTGCTGGAGATCCCATAGCCGCCTGGACGCGGGGTAGTGCCGGGCCCGGCCGGGAGGTCGCTTTCTTTTGCAAGTGGTAGTATGATGCTGTTAAGCATATCCGTCGGTGACTCAATTTAGGGTCCACCGGGTGACACAAATCGTCCCATGCCCATTGCAATTTGCTATTACATTGGACAATTCGTGTCACCTGGTGGACGCCACATTGTATCACCGACGGATATGCTCAAAATTGCGTCACTCATAGCTCACAAATAGAACCGTGATATTAAGTGTGAAGCTCACTAAATTACCATGTTGTTTCTCGTGCTTTGCTTTAGTACAAAATTGAACTGAAAAATTGATTAAAAACTTGTTCTCAAGACAAATGATTGTACATTCACAACTTGATTCGAAAAGAAAAATTTGTTAGGAACTTGATTAGAAAATATAAATTAAACACAGTTGATAATGAACGTTTAATTTGCGTCTGTTAGTTCTCCGTTCCAACAAATTCCTCGAGCCTCTGAAGAACAAAAGTAATATTCACCGACTTAAACCGATAGCCCTCACTAAAATATAAACAAGGAATGAAGTGGACTTCTTAAAGGTCTCACTCGGTAGTCAACAAAAACTAAACACAAAAAGGAATTCCATTTTACATTTGTAACGTATCACTCAATGGAACATGATGGCAGCTTCGTCAATAAAGTGACACTCAGAGGACCCGCCGATGGACACAATGACGAGGCAGTTGGCGTCTGGACCTGACTATCTGCCACCGAAGGGGTCTTCAATCAGGAAACGCTTCGGCATCTCCTCGTCCCTGTTGAAGTGAAGACCGCAAAGTTGCTTGTTGACATCCAGGACGGCTTGCCTGTACTCCGGCAGCTTGAGCCCGGCCTCCTACAACAACGTGCGCATTTAGTTAGGGTGAGACTCTTCCTAGGCAACAAAACGTCAATACCTCACTGAGAATGAAAAACTCATAGGGTGACATACGCTACACCAAAATATCGTCATGGTGACACGAGAATTGATCAAGACCCTTTTATCCTCAGAGATTTTGGGAGCTAAAAGTGCAAGGGAGCACATTAAATGTTTGAGTACAAATTTTGATCGAGACATCACAGTTTTTGTTTTGGTGGAAACGAACGTTTCACGCAAATTTGAACGCAACTTTGCACAAAACTGGGGAATTAGGTGCAGGTTTTCTTACAAAAAAAAATTGAACGGAAAGTTCGTGTGCCCAAAAACCTGTGATGTCTCGTGCAAAATGGTACTCAACAAATCGAAGAGCGTACATTGTATGCTCCAACTGGAGCATCCCTGCAAGCGCCCTAGCTAGTGCATGCCTGCCAAGCTTGCACTTACTAGTGCATTTATGCCATGTACGCGCTAACTGAAGCATGCATCTAGTGCATACACGGTTAGACTCGATCCTGGATCTTCCAGGACCGTCCTGGTTTCTCCTGTGTTCAATACATAGGAAAACCAGGACGGTCCCGGAAGATCCAGGACCTAGTGTCCCCGAGTAAGGGATAAGGAGTTGCCTGCATCAACATATACACTCTAAATGTTCTACAGTGAAGATTCTCCATATTATGGTGAAAATGTTCCATATTATGGTGGTGCAGCTGACTTCGTAACATACCATCGAGAATTCACTGTACCTTATAGAGATTTTGACGAATTTCGTTGGTATTATGGAGAAAATCTCCACCATATTATGTTGGTGCAGCCTTTCACCGTAAGACATTTACTGTGTATTTAGAGGGATGCAAGTGCTCACCGTGGTCCGGGAGGGCTGGCAGAACGCCTCCAGTGCCGCCTTCCTCTCCGCCGCTCGCAGACGACGCAGCGTGAGGCGACGCAGCTCCAGGAGAATAACGGCGCGGTCCTCGCCCACCACACCGGGCAGCAGCCGGTCCAGGGCGCGCAGCTGGCCGCGGACCACCTCCTCCCAGCGGTCCACCTCGCCTGCAATACAACCCAAATTAAATAGTCTGCCGAGTCACAGTGGGCCAGAAGAACGGTGGAGGCGGTCAACATCCCGGACGCGTTCAGAGCCCCAGAGCCGCTAAATGGGACTCGAACCGAACGTGCGACCCCACCAACGGATTCCTCTCCGAACGAGGAATCCATTGGTGGGGTCGCACGTTCGGTTCGAGTTCTGTTTCGCGAGTGCCGTTCGTCTTGGACTCACCCTCGGTGGCCTGCTCGTCGGCCCTGCGGTCGTAGATATCTTTCCTGAGGTACTCGTTGGCGCGCAACACCACAGTGTGCGTAGAGTGCAAGGGGCCGTGTGGGTACACCTGGGCCTTGGTGAACTGGAGTATCGTCTCTGGCGGAGATCCTGGCGAAAGAGGTCATAAGGAAAGAATTAAGGGCCGTGAAGAAATTTCTCAGCACACACTTAACTCTTGTGAATTTTTCATGAATTATTAGGCATGCATATCGTAATTACACACCACACACGTGTGGTACGTGTACGTATTCAAGTGCATAACATTGCAGAAATAGTTCGTAATTATGCGTTAAAATAGCTTACAAGAATTTGATGTGAAATGAGGATAAAGTTATATGCTCGTATGCCCGAGAGACAAGGCCTCACCAAACGGTAAACGGTTCCTGGTTTTCCCGGGAACACTCTGGAAATCACCAGTGTCCTCACTTATAGGCTGGAAAAACCAGGAACCTTTAAGGCACCGCAATTGGCTTCAAAATTCCGAACCAAAAACCAAGTATTGCAAAAAGTGCAATGCAGCCGTTTGCTTGAAAGGACGAACTAAAATTATGTATCGGAAAACGTTGAAGTCGCCAGGGCCGAGGCGAGCTGTCCTCAGCTGAATGAATGACCCATCATTGACAAACGGGGGTTCCACCTTTGAATGTCTGGATTTATCGGCTTCTTTACTGTCATATATTTGCATCGCATCTTTCACCAGTCAGACATTCAATCGCTTTCCTCTTCAAATCGGACAGGTATATTTACTTTCTTCGTCTTATCGGTCAGATATTCGCATCCCTCCTTACATCGGTCAAACTTCCGCGCCGCAACTCACCTTTGAGCTCCTCCAGCCGATCCTCCATTGGTTTGGTCAGAGCCTTCACTTCGCTCACCGTCATCTCCAGGGGACAGCCCTCGCAGCGCCACAGATCACGATCTTCTTTGACAGGCACCAGGTAGCGCTGCTTGCCTTGAGCTGTCAACCAGAAAACAGTGTCAGCAGATTGAGTCCGGATTTGTTAGGAAGACAGTTAGCATGCACACACTGATCGTTAGGTACAAGCTACTTTCGTACAAGACATCCCTGTTTTTCGTTAAGACGAACTTTTCTTATCATTTTCGTACGAAAAACTGCACACATTTCCCCATATTCGTTCAAATTCGCGTACGATATTCATACGAAAATTTCATCTGCACAAAAAACTGTGACGTCTCATACAAACTTTGTAAAAAACCCTGTAGAGCGCAGTCACATATTTAAGCAGTGTACATGCAGGCACACATAAAAACCAAAGTGCCATGCACGCACTGAATTGAGAATGGTCAGACTTATGACGCTTAAAAGGGCTATACTAAAATATAAGACGGAGAAGAGTCAAACTCTGATGTGACCCTCAAGCTAAGCAAGGGCCAGTCTCGCTGATGTCTGACCCTTTATCGGTCACACATTGGTGTGTGTCATTTTTTTTTCGATCATACTTTTCGTATCGCCGAAAATTGGTCAGGTCTCACTCTTTGAATTTCAGTGCGCACTTAAGTTTCCAGAGCGAGAGACAGTTCCGTCAATGCGAGGGGGGAACAGCAACCCACATTCGTTGTACAAAATTTGAACACATTCCACATTCAGGTGGCAAAAACGCCTGTAAGTAGGCAACGTGTGTGGCAAAAACGCCAGAAATCTTGCACTATCTTGCACATTCACTCAATCATTGAACACAAAATTTTACAGTGGGTCACCCCTCGTGTCAATGCTAGTGTGGTGGGACGAACCTGTACAGCCGGCGCAGCAGGGCGAGCCCACATACACGCCCAGCTCGGTGGGGTCGCTGCAGCGTTCGCAGTCGCAGACGATGCCCTTGCGAACCAAGAGGGTCTCGCGCCGCTGCAGCGTGTCGTCCAGCCAGCGACAGCGCTGCGAACACAATCAAACTGTGAGCAATAACAGACAGAAAAGAGCTCCAAGTCTCTGGGTCCCTCTAGAACAAAAAATGCACTCGGTCATCCAGAAATCAGTTTGCATTCGAAGAATGGCCTTCTTTAAACATATCTGAACAATAAATTGTGTTTTCACTTGAAGAGAGTGATGACATGTCTTCGGCAAGTTTACTGACGCATTCCAACTAGTCGTAAAAGTTGAAAGACAAGTGAGACGCTACAAATTAAACCTAGAGCCAAAATATTTTTTTTCCCACTCAGCTTTGTGAGCACTACAAGTGCACGCTGGGTTACTATGGCATCAATGATAGTCATTGAAATCTAGTAAAAGAAGTTCGCATACAAATATATGGTTTCTAAAAACAAGTTGAAACACATTTAGGCACAAAATATCTCTTATGGTGATTGAAAACTGCGAAGCATAAGTTCTAACTTTTCTAAACCTTTACGACAATACAGTTTACGTAAACTTGTCGAAATATTGTTGGTCACTTCCTTCACGAGGATCCACATGGTAAACTTGTTGAAATATTGTTGGTCACTTCCTTCATGCGAATCCACACTACAAGTAAAGGCGAACTTCGATTGCAAAACAGAACAACCGTAATACTCATGGTTTACACACTGAGTAAAAAAATAAAACCGTCAAATTTCGATCCCGAGCAGGCTTGACACCTCTTAAATGGCTCAGAATTAAAACAATTGTTCTAACCTGATGGTGGGTGGTGATGGGTGCACCTGCAGCAACGTCCCTCGATGTCACGACCACCCACTCCTTGAGCTCGGCGTTCATAATCGTGTCACCGGAGTTAGGGTAGCAGCTGTGCTTTCTTTGCGCCATTCCAACATACAGAGTGCCTACGTGTTCCTGCAACAGACAGACACACAAATCAATCTTTCATGAAATTGCGGGCGACGATGCGTTGATCCTCACGGATATTTGGGAAACAAGCATTCCTCGCCAAAAATGTTAGTTAGACATGATTGATTCCAACCACTTGATTCACAGTGTGAACGTTTCGAACAAAACATGACCTACCATTCCTGGATTGCCACAGTGGCACTCAGGAAGACTTACAAAGATGACTACGACCATTTCTAAGATATAAAGCAGACATATTTTAGAAAAGGAAGCCAAAAATGATACGCAATGTGAACAAATTTGATTCGTAATAATAATTGAAAACATAGACTCAGCCTTTTACTGACAATTTCTCATTAGCAGACACATTTCTGTAAGCAACCATAATACTCAGTATTTTGATCTTAGAGACTTAAAAATTTCTTATTAATTTATTTGGAAAACGATAATATCAGAACAGTAATAAGCAACCCGATAAAAAATAAGCTGTATTATGATTGTTAACAGAAATGCGTCTGCTAACTGATAAAAAATAAGCTGTATTATGATTGTTAACAGAAATGCGTCTGCTGATGAGAAGTTGGTAGTAACAGGCTGAGAGTGTACTAATTCGCACTAATTTCTAGGTTACTTCCACGTTCACTTGCATAAATTTGGAGTGTGTTCACTGCGAGCGTCACGATCAGATATCAACAACGAACTGACCTGTTTCGAGACGTGTGACCATCTGGCAGGGTCGGGGCCCTCGAAGTCCTCTGCGTACATGGAGACGATGCGCGCGGCGCGGATGAGGTCTTGTTCGGGGATCCACTTGATGCCCGCGACCTCGCGCAGGAACAAGGCCACAGCGGCGATGTAGGTTTCAATGGTGTCCACCCAGGACGCGGCATCAGGAGACGCCTGCAAGTCACAACTCGTTACACAGTGGGCCAGCAGAAACCCGGCGGAGGCAGTCAAGATCCCGGACGCGGACGCGTTCAGATCTCTTGAGTCGCTAAATGAGGCTCGAACCGTACGAGGAATCCATTGGTGGGGTCACATGGTCGGTTTGAGGCCTTCTTAGTGGATCAGGAGCTCAAGACGTGACTTGAGTTCTGACCGCCTCCACCGGTCATCTATCCCAATGAGCGTTAGCTTGAGTAGAAACCCACAGTTGAAAATAATATTACAGTACATGAGATCTATGCGCCGAACAGCAGTGTAAATTCGCAAGCATTAGTATGAAGGTTGCTTTTCTACGCATTACAAAGGTTTTTCTTTGAATCTTGCGATGAAAATATTATGCTTGCGCCCTTTCCGTATTATGGGAAATTTCTTCGTAAGACATTTCAAAGTGTTACGAACCTGCAACCCCTGTCCATCTAAAGTCGGTTCACGAAGAAGATTTTGGAGCAGCTGGTTGTCAGAGCATGCCGAGACCACACGAAGCGTCGCGACAGCCGCGCCAAGCATAGCTCCCGTAGCGCCGCGGATATCAGCTGGAAAAAGTAAAAGAAATCTCCGTTAAAGAATACTGTAAAGTGAAACATTGATGTCCTGGAAATATTTCTGGAATGAAAACCATTTAGAGCTGATATTCCCAAGATTCTACTGGGCTCTTCCTTCGTAATGTGCGAACAAAATGCTCAGAAATAGGTAAAACCCTATCGTAAAGGTTTCTCAGTATCTTAATTTTCTTCACATTGCAAACAAATTTCTCTGTATTATGATTGCTTCGTTCGTGCCGCATTGAGTACTGTCTTACTCAGTAGAAAAATGAGAGTGAAAGCAAGAAAAAACACTCTAAATGTTCACGGTTAAAACGGTTCCTGGTTTTCCCAGGAACTCCCTGGAAATCGCCAATTGGCTTCCTGCGAAAACCAGGTTCAGTTTTTATCGTGTTGTGCAGTGAAGATTCTCCATATCAAGGTGAAAATGTTGCATATGATGGTGATGTAGCTGACTTCATAACGACGCCACGGAGAATTCACTGTACCTCATAGATATTTCGACGAATTTCGTTGGTATTATGGAGAAAATCTCCACTATATTTTGTTGGTGCAGCCTTTCACTGTTGAACATTTACTACTGTGAACTTACCTTTTGTCACTTTGAACTTGGCGCGCTCGAACGCCTTGCACTCCACCTGGTGTTCACTGGCCCGGCTGCAGGCGTTGCCACAGACAGGCAGTCCGCAGCGGCGGCACTGCGAAGCTGCCTTCGGGGTCAATTCGGCGCAGCAACCCACGCACAGCAACTGAACACAGAAACGATCATAATGCCGTAGCACAGTGGTGCGAGTGGACGAAATCCCGGACGCGTTTTGAGCTCCCGAATCGCTAGATGGAACTCGAAACGAACGTGAGAATGGATTGCTCTCCGAACGAGAGATCCATTGGTGCGGGGTCACACGCTCGACAGCTCAAAACGCGATAAGAATTTTGGGCACCTCCACCGGTCTTCTGACCCACTGTGCATGCACTGTTAGGAAATGGTTGCACAGAAACAATCAGATGAGTGAAAATTTAGTCGTTCCAAAACATAGAATGTCATCATGAACCAAGGCAAAACAGATGTCATTTAATCTAGTAAGCGACAATTTGTCGCTGAAGAACAAAACTCTTGTTTGCACCGTTAACGATACAATTTATGTGGTAACAACATCTATTGCCATCGTCAGCTCAATCCAAGTATATTATTAATAATCATGTGTTTGGTTCTTCTAAGTCATGGGGAAATCACATTTGTTTACGGTAGAACCATTAAAAATAAATGGCGCGACAAAAGTACTCAATTAATACTTGTCGCAGACATTCCAAATTTTCTTTCTACTTACAATACTTGTCGTTGACTGACAACATTTATTGTTGGTCAAAGACTTGTTATAACAAGCTATTCGTTGCCTATCTTGTCGCTAAAAAAATTAGCAATAAATGGGTCGCTAAGTTAGGATTTTTTTTATCAGTGTAGTGCAGGAATGCTGAGGGGCTGTCTTCGTCTACTCACCAGAAGACACTGGCTTTGGTAGTACGTCAGGGGCGACGCTGGGAAGAAGAGCGCCGGCACCTCCCTCATGATGACCGTGCCGGCGGGGATGTCCCTGGCCGCCACCACACTGCCTCCACGCAGCTCCACACTGCCGCAGCCCACCTTGTGCTTGGGCCAGTGCCTCTTCTGGTGCTCCTTGCTGCAGTAGTAGTCCACGCGGCAGCGCGCGCAGGGGAGGCCGGTCTCACCGCACACCGCGCACGGGCCCGTCCCAGGATCTGGTCAAACGGAGCGCATTGATCCACAGTGGGCCAGAAGACCGGTAGAGGCGGTCAAAACCCCGGACGCGTTTTGAGCTCCTGAGTCGCTAGACGGGACTCGAACCGAACGTGTGACCCCACCAATGGATTGCGCTGCGAACGAGGAATTCTTTGATGCGGGCACACGCTCGGTTCGAGTCTCCTGTTTAGCGACTCTGGAACTCTAAACACGCCTTGAGTTTGGACTGCCCTCACTGTTAAAAATTGGTTGTACAGAAACAATCAGATGAGTGAAAATTTAGTCGTTCCATAACAGAACTTCATCATGAACCAAAGCGAAACAAATGTCGTTGAGTCTAGTAAGCGACATTTTGTCGTTGAAAGACAAAATTCTTGTTATCACCCTTTACGATACAATTTGTGTGGAAACAACATCTTTTGCAATTATCTGCTCAATTAAAGCATATTATGAATAATCATCTTTTGTTCTTCTAAGTCATAGGGAAATTGCTATTGTTGAAAAAAAAAAACATGCAAAATAAATTTAGCGACAAAAGTACTCTATGAATATTGTCGCAGACATTACAAAATTTCTTTTGGACTCTCAATACTTGTTGTTGATGTGTTATTGTTGGTGCGTCATTACAAGTTAGTCGTTGTGAAATTATCCCTTGGTTCCAATACGACTACCGTTTAACAAGCTATTCGTTCCACAACAAATCTTGTTGCTAAAAAAGTAAGCGATAAATGTGTCGCTTAGTTGCGACAAAATTTTTATCAGTGTTGGAGTTCCCGATGCACTTCATAGTGAAGTCGGTGGAAATTTGGTGCGGAATCTGCTTGCAGCAACATCCTCAGCGCATTGCTGACTTTCTTCAAAATTTGGTGAGCAGTGATCGTATAAGCAAGGATAATACCTAGTATTTATTAGGTCAGTGTGAATAATTTCCTTTTTAAAATCAGTACTTACAAAAACAAATTGTTATTTCACTACATGATAACAACAAAGTACTATAATGATTGCAGAAATTACTTGCGAGTACAACTGACAAATTAAGCGACAAGTCAGTAATGCGCTGAGAGTGAATAGAATAGACATCAGTTGTCTGTCGCCGAGGAAAGATCAAACGAAACAAAACAGCCAGAAACCCACCTACTAGTTCCTGGCTTTCTGATTACTTGTGTTCTTCACTCGGCGACAGACAACCGAAAGGGTCTATTGGACATGAAGCATACAGTTTCTAAATCTTATCCTGAAATGTGAGTTTGCTTACTGTGCGTGAGAGGGCGAGAAGCAGCCATGTTGCTCAGAAATCACCGAAAATGGCTGAAAATGAAAAAAGAAGAGATCAGTTTGAGTTCCGTCGGATTTAGGGTCAGGCGACCAGGCATTCACATGAGGGTGCCTTGAACAAGGAGAAGATCTTGACGACCTAACACTAAATCGAGGGGGCAATAACAACGGATGTTTGGGGACACAAGATTTCTTAAGGCTAAAGATTTCGTCGGATTTCGCAAGATTTTAACCGATAATACGCCCAAAACTAGCTTGTTTTTGGTCTTTTAGGGGGCAAGATTTCAGATTTCCAGGGATTTCTAGCGTTCAAGGGGACACAAGACTTCTAGGGTTGTTGCCCCCTCGCACTAAGTATTTAGGTAGAATTTTGTGGGTGCAACCTGCACGATTTCGAGAATACGTGGAATATGCATATCGTGCGTGATGCATGAAATTATGCAAATTAACGGCCAATTTTACGCACGACGGTACGCAGGTTAAAAATTAGGCATTACCACGTACTATATTGTACATATACATTTAGTGAGCTCACAGCGAAAGTGACGCATACAAGGGACGTTTAAAAATTACGTTACGAACTTGGAGGGAGGGGGTCTTTGTCCTGCGTAACGCTGCGGTTCACGAAATGGGGAAAAGGGGGGGGGAGCCAGCGTAACGCTTACACTAAACACATAACATGTGAGAACATTTCGGAAATTGCAACAGTAAGTAAGGGTAAAATAATGCTTACACAAGAAATTTAGCGTAACGTTTCGCTTTGAAAGGGGGTCGAGGTTCAGGCCTAACGCAACGCGGCATTACATGGGGGAACGGGGAGACCAATGTGTCCAAACGTGCGTAACCTTGAAGGATACTCCAATGAATCTTGAAACGAAAAAAAAGAACCAGAGAAACCCTAAACACAGCTTCCGCGGAGCTCGACACAGATGGTTTGAGGTGTGCAACCGATCATTTTTTTGAATCGCAGTAATCTCTCACAATTTTAATCATGCGACTTGTGGCAGGATGGCCGAGCAGAAATCGCGTATAAATTTGAACGAAAAGCACGCATTCTCAAAATTGTGCGAGATCGCGTTTGAAAATTGGACAGATATTTTCAGTGAATAGAAGCCCCCAGATCAGAATTGACTGAGAAATCGCGAGTGAGAAATTGAGCCACCCTGTTGGACTAAAATGAAGTCATACACGTTTTGATCTAGTTGAAAATCCGAGGCGGTACTCGCGTGATACCCAGTACACACAAACCCTGTATTTCACGGCACAACTTAGGCTGGACTGTTTAGATTCTTAGGCTAGACTGTTTAGATTCTTACCACGCGACGTTAGGAAAATTCTACCGGTAAGATTTAGTCTAGTTGGGCTGGCTAGCCGAAATTTTCTGACGTCGAACGTCGCTTACACCAAGCATATGAAGAATTCTGTACGTGTAACTTGCACGAATTAGAGCATGTGTCCAAGTTGCATAACATGCGTAAAAATGCATAAATTCGAGCACAATTTCATGCAAAGCGACACAAAAGCAAGCATGCATCACCACGTTTAAAATTGCACTTTAACATTTAACGTGCCGCGAGGAAGTACCGAGTGAAAAGTAGATGTGGGAAGGATGAAACCTTGTGCACGTTTCGTAAGTCCACTCACTGGCCACGGATGAGGTGCTGTGATGTGAGTCGCTCCACTGCGCGCCGGCTACTGGCAATCCTGGGCCTGGGCCTGGCGAAAACCGCACCGCTGCTGCTGCACCGCATCCCCCCTCCCCTCTCGCTACCACCCGCTTCCCGTCCCTCCCCTCCCTCCCGCTACCTCGAACTTCGGCCTGCTTCGGCTTCAGCCGCTCCCTCCACGGTGGGCAGCTGGCCTGGCAAGCTGCAGTTTCCGCGAACCCAGCGTGCTGATTCTGAGCACTCAGCGCTGTCTCTCTCGCTCCCTTACGGGACGCCCCGTGAGTGCGAGAGAGACAGTGCGATGGTGGTCGTTGTCAGTGTGTCCGCGGGCACCCCGGCTCGGCTCAAGAATTGTTCGGCTCGTCTCTGCTCGACTCGAGCCGCGCGTGGGGCTGGCCCACGCAGCCCACAAGACTGGCTCCCCACCACTCTTATTTGCCCGACAGTGCCCACGTCAGCGTACAAACTGTACCAACCTACAGAAAAGATATGCCACTTCACGCTGAGGGACTTTACCTTACCGATGGTCTTTTTGGGCACAATCAATGAATGATAGGCAAATTTTTATCTTAGTGTATTTTTGTGAACAAGGTAGGTGTACGCCAGACGTTGTCTTGTCGTAACAGGCTTCGCGATGCTGCGCCAGTTTCGACAATCCACGCCTGGCGTATACACCTTCCTTGGCCTGCGGCGTAACCTGCCTTCGGCAGGCTGCTTTCCTATAGGCAGGCCGTAGAAATAGGCGTGATCCCCTCTAATATAAAAAACATTTGATCTTCAAAATTTACACCAACGGGATTTAACTTTCGGTCGGGGGTCTGAACGGGTTCTATTTTCGTCATCAGCAGCCTCGAAAACATATGAAACGATATGAAACTTGACAAAATGTTTCAGGTACCCAAAAAGTTGTCTTTTTTCTGCCGTTTTTGATGTGTTTTTTAGCTAATATGAGCGACTGGATTGAGATAGAAAGCTGAATTTTGGTGTGTGGCGAGCCAAGAACATATCCAATGACCCTGCAAAATCTCAGCCAGATCGGCCGAGCCGTTCAGGAGTAGTGCACACACACACACACACGCAGACAGACAGACAAAACTTTCAACCCCACTGGAGTAACGGGCTTCGCTTGTTGATTCCTTTCAGAGCTACTGTGCTCACATAATGAGATCGGGAGGACACTTGATGCATCACTGTGGACGCTGTCGCTCTGTTTCTTTGAGCTTTCTCCAACAGGTCCAAAAGCTCTTCTGCAGATGAAACCGTCTCAACCTTCAGAGATAGAATAATTAGTTAGCCGGCACACCGTCACGAGGTGGCCTTTTCCCCTCACGACGACGTTGGGTTTTTCTGGTTCGGAGTTGTTCATGAACGACACAGGGCCAGCCACATAAAACCCGTCTTCGCAGAGACTACGTTCGACGACGTGGAAGGCCGGGTGCTCTCTTGGTAGGCCTTTGACATCACAGAAAAGAAATTCATGATGAATTCAAATACTTACAGTTAAATTGGAAACATGAACATTTTCCGAAACTGTGTCAACCATTAATGCTAGAGGCCAAACCTGTCGAAAAGGATGGTTGTGTGTGACAGAGTTTAGAAAATGTAATCTGTCTCTCTGGAGAAGCAGTAAATTACTCTTGAATACCTGTCCAAACTGAAACACAGTCAGTATAAAGACTTGTTTCCCCTTGGCACATTGGGAACACTTTAGAAGGTCCCATCAGCAGCAAAAGTGTCCCCCGAATTACAGATGAAGAGCATTCGGTCACAAGCAAATATTAGGGACGTCACTGCTATATAGTTGTTCCTCATCCAGCGAAGTCCGACCTAGAAAACACAAAACAGACACCAGTTTTTAACTTAACAATTTTAACTGTCCTACACAAGGTAGGTGTACGCCAGACCGTGTCTTGTAACAGGCCTCGCGATGCTGCGCCAGTTTCAGCAATCCATGCCCGGCGTATACACCTGCCTTGGCCCGCGGCGCTAGCCTGCCTTAGTCAAACCGTAGAAATGAGCGTGATCCCCACAAAAATTAGAATTTGGTGATCTGAATCTTCACTAGTAGGACTTATCTTTAGGTCGGGGGTCAGAATGGGTCCTATTTTCGTCATCAGCACCCTCCAAAACATAGGAATCGATAGGAAACTTGTCAAAAAAAAAAAAAATGAAAGTACCGAAAAAATTGTCTTTTTTCTGCCATTTTTTGAGCATTTTTTGCTTAAGAGACGGAATGGATTGAGGTAGAAAGCTGAATTTTTGTGTGTGGCGAGTCAAGGACATACCTAATGACCCTGCAAAATCTCAGCCAGACCGGCCGAGCCGTTCAGGAGGGGTAGTGCGCACACACAAACACACACACACACGTACCAAACTTTTCGACCGCACTGGAGTAACGGGCTTCGCTATCGCTCAGCCAAAAAAGAAATAACAAAATAAACAAATGAAAATGTTTTGAAAATTCTTTAAATGTTGCCTGCAAGTCTGTTTACCTCCTCAGCCAAACTCTTAACCACTTTATTCCAAGTTAAAAGCCATAAATTAATTTTTTGGGTCTCTTTTGAAGCCGCAGCCTGGCTTCCACAGAGAAGCTTCTCTGAACCCGTCAATTTGGTGATCTGAATCTTCACTAATGGGCAATTAAAGGCTTGTAAATGCCGTTTCAAATTGTAAGGGTATTGTGGCGGAGTTGGCGCTGGTGGGCGTGGCACAGTGGGCCAGAAGACCAGTGGAGGCGGCCAAAACTCCAGACGCGTTTTGAGCTCCAGAGTCGCTAAATGGGACTCGAACCGAAACGTGTGACCCCATCAATGGATTGCTCTCCAAACGAGGAATCCATTGGTGGGGTCACACGTTCGGTTCGAGTCCCGTTTAGCGACTCTGGAGCTCAAAACGCGTCTCGAGTTTTGGCCGCCTCCACCGGTCTTCTGGCCCACTGTGCGTGGCAGCCTGCTATGGATGAGGTTCGGGTGGTTCGGGCCGCGGGCGTCGGGATTCGCGTCCGCAACGACGCGAGAGCGCAGCACCGTCGCCCTCAGATAGCGTGCGACGGAGCACCGCCCTTTTCGAAACAGGTGGCTTGTTTTCTTCGTTATTAATGTACTTTCGTTAGATTCTATTCTTTGTCTGTGGCTTTATTCTCTACGGAAGATAAGGACTCCTATGACCTCAACTGAGCGTGATTTTAGCAATTTGTTAAATTTAATATTATGCCACTTTTCCCCTCCTCCCCGTGTCAGCAGTTCTCCGCAATGACCTGGCTGTAGTGGTGAATGCATTGCATTTGGCTGTTGCACTCTCTCAATCAGAGGCAGAAAGAGAAAGAAAAATGGTATCAAAGGCACCTAGCACTTCAGCGCATTCGAGAACAAGAGAGGGGATTCAAACCTACTCGGTACACTGACACCCCTTTCCGACCTCTGGTTGCGGAGGTTGGGCCGAGACCCATCGAAAACGACACTGCAAACTTTCAGTCGGTCAATCTCCGTTTTTCAAGGCCCTCCTCTCGTTACGACGGTTGTGGCGAGATCCATCGTAATCCGCGAGTTTTGACTTGACACTCAAAGTTGTGATTTTCTTGGATCTCCTCTGACAGCTAGGATTGTCTTCGAGAAATTTTAGGGGCGCTTCGATAATGACCCGTGTTGCCAGACGTACCACCTCGGTGGTACATGTACCACTATTACGAGCCCCGTACCACCTTTACCGGGAAAACACCGAATTATGTCCACACGCAGGCAAATGGATCTTTTCGGGCGCCTGCGTCAGGTTGTCGTCCCCCAGAAGTCAAGCATGTAATCCTTTGCCTGCGTTCGTGACCTGTTCCAAGGAAAGGGGCTCTGGTCGGACAGGTCGGGCGCGGGAAACTGGAAGTGCCCCGCCCTGGGCACGCGGGCAACAAAACGGGTCTGCTTGCAAGCTTGCTTGTACACCAGCCTGAGGGGCCGCGGCTGACTTCTTCAGAGTTCTCAATTTCCAAATTCTTCATTCCTGATATTTACGCCTAGCGTAAATTTTTATCCCCCCCCCTCCGTACCATCTTGCGGCTCCAACGTACCACCTTACCGTACCACAACAATTATTACTAACTTTTCTCCCATTAGGCCCTGAACCCGGGTCAGACGTTCAAATGGAGTCCATTTTCATTTTCAGCACCCTCTACAACATCCGAAATGATGTAAAACAGAACATAACAACGCATGTCAGTAACAAGCTCATTTTTCTTACCGTTTACGTGTTTTTTTGGCTGTACTGACAACATGGATTGAGATAGAAAGCTGCATTTTGGTGTGTGGCGAGCCAAGGACATACCTAATGACCCTTCAAAATCTCAGCCGTATCAGCCGAGCCGTTAAGGAGGAGAAGTGCACACATGCCCGCACTCAGACAAAAAAAGTTTTTCAACCTCACTGGAGTAACGGGCTTCGCTATCGCTCAGCCAACTATGGAATTGTCTGGAAGAATGTGGCTAGCTTCCTTAACATGGATGTGTCCTTCCTCATCTTTTATTGCTTTTGATTTGTCCGTGACAGGCCAAACTTACTGATACAAGATCCAAACCGGATGCAGTGACGTGAACTGAAAAGTAGTGGAAAGATGGCGCTGAGCACGCTCGCTCTTGCAGAGTTGGATAAGCTTAGCAAAGAACATGAATCTTTGAGAGGGTAGTAACCGAGGGGTGAATAACTCAGCGTTCTGGTGTACTCATGAGTACATGAGTACGGGTGAGTACACCTTACTTTGCTCACAAATTTTGCATTTGTAAACGCTCAAAGGCTTTATTTAGCGTTATAAACGACACCCAACGCCAAATCAAGCGAAAAAGTACAGAATTTCACCCTTATTAAACTTGTGAGTACACTGAGTACGGGCAACTTTGCACACATGAGTACACAAGTGATTCACCCCTCGGTAGTAACGTCTTGCATCCAGACTACGTTGCCGAGACGGAGCGGCGAACGGGCGTCGGTGTCAACGCTGGCTAGTTCGTCTCTTACTCTATTCACAAAGCTAAAGTCCTGCATTTATCCAAGGTGTACGCCAGATCGTGTCCCTTCTCATCACGCTTCGCTATGCTGTGCCATTCACCCAGGCCCTCACATGCACC